GATCACAATGAAGCTCGAGCATAGAATATCTAGTGACAACAACTGACCTTTTGCTGCTGATCCGCACCTTGTACCCTACGCAATACTCGACGGCTCGCCATTTTATGTCAGCCTATGCTAATTCGTTGGTAAAACGTGACCCTGTGAAAGTTCAAAAAGTTATTGGAACATTTCGCTCGTTCGCTCGTGGGATTTGTAAGATTGGATTCCAAAGCAGAGACAATGTAGAGGTCAGTGCCAGTAAGAGGGCTCTGGCCTATGGTAGCTTCGAAGGAATAGACTTGGGCTAACGAGTAGCTGGTGGTTTTGTGAGTAGGGAGCAGGGAGGTGAGGCTTTCACTTCCACTTCTCAAAAAAATGTAACTGCGAAGCATATGTCCCAGGAACCAGTTAAGGCGTTCGGCTTACCCCTTGTTTCTGGGTTAGGCACGGAAGTCAAAGAGCGTTCGATGCTGAGCCCTTAGGACAGCTACTATCTTAAGTCGGGCTGAAACAGAGTTTCCCTCTCGAAAATGTGTACTTCGGGGAACACACAGTAGCAAATGAGACAGTCAGCAAAAAACGCAACAGTGTCAGTTGCTGTCGACATATTCTTCGTGAGAAGAAAACCTCTCACTACCTCTTGTAATGACTTATTTTCGGTGTTTTAGGCACACATGACTTCAACTGCGCGACGAAAGGGGAACCGGGCTGCCGTACTACGACTGCAACACTCGACCAACGTGCTCAGGGGCTGTCCTTGACGATCCCCATGTACGCGAATGATAGAAGGCTTGCGCACTTCGTGTACAGCCACTATGATTTTGAGTCTTGGCACGACACTCTGTAGATGTGTTATGAAAGCATGAGCTCCATGCAGTAGCACCTTGATAGAGACCCTATCCCTGGCTTTGGGGTGCGCCTTGGAGTGTTTGGAGGTGGGGTGAAGGAGCGTATACCCGTTTGGCGAAGTCATGCAGTGCTCCCATTGCGCCTACACAAGTTCGTAGCTTTTCATACAGGAAGTAGCGAACCACTTTATGCTCCGTTAAGCTGCATACTTCTAGGAAATCATAAGGAATCGGTCTTATAAGGAAGTCCGCCGCTAGACAGTGATTCCCGCAGCACGTATGCAGTTCTACAGTTCGCGAATCAGGTATCAGCCCGTCGGTATTGCGCATTACAGATAGATCGCATTGCTTGCCACTTATGCAGCTTCGCAGCTTATCAGGTTGGAGGTACCAGGCTACCGTGTGCCGTGCAGGGCAATCAAGTAACAAAGCCCATTCATACGGAATTCTTCCAACAGAAGCTACTCAAAGCACATGCACTACTCGAGTAGTCCTACCATTAAGCGCCCAACACGAGGTCTCTTGCTGCTATTCAGATTTAGAACGTAGTTCTTAGTGATCACCTGCACGCTGTGCTATCGTCGCATCATCGCTGGTCGTCTAAAAGAGAGCCAGCGTTATCTACGCAGTAGGCGAGTATGAAGAGGCTGCGCACCGGTATGGACAGGAGCAGCAAAGTAACCAACAGCTGTAGCACCTATGCTACGCAGCAAGTTCCTGCACTCGCTTTGCTGGGTTGCTTACGGGATGAGCTGTTCACAGCTCTACTACTGCAACGCAAAATCCACAGTTCCAGGTGAATTGGTATCTTCTGTGCCTGTTAGACCTTCTACTACTCTTTCTAGCGTCTAATTCCGCACCCTTATTGCCGTTTCAAATGTCCTCTCTGCATTCACAACCAGTCGGTCTCGTGAATTTCTTAATAGCTACGGCTATTTCCTGCAATTCAGGAAATCTTCGATGGGGTAGGGTCCTAAAGTGAGTGCAGTGAGCACGGCCTCAACTCACTCGTACATGATTACCCTTCTCACTTTAGCACTTGCAGACCCAACTAGCATCAAGGAGCCCAAGTAGACAAACGAATACCGGGGACAGCGAAGATCTGGAGACGCCAAATCTGAAAACGAAGAAATCAGATTTGGCGTCTCCAGATCTTCGCTGTCCCCGGTATTCGTGTGTCCCTGCACGCTGCAGTGGTGACGCAGCTAGCCTCAATTTCCGGCCTTCCAGCAATACACCTTACGCTAAGTCTGGTGCAGGAGCTAGATATCTCTAGCCATAAACTTTCTTGTAACGCTTCATGCGTAGAATATTAAATGCTTCAACCTTATGGGGTTGTGCTGGTGCGACACTCTAGTGTTACGCACTACAATGAGCAAATCAGTTCTTTTCCATATCTCAAGCCCCTAGGGCGTTCTTCTCTAGCAAAGCTTTGGTTCAAGCACTGAACCCTTTACTTGCAGTCTTAACACATGCATACAGTGAGGGCCTTTCCAAACCATGTGGCCCGTCTAGGGTCAGATAGGGAAAGGAATGTCCTTCTTAATGGCGTCCCATTTGATTACACCACTTCCACGTCTCCCAGAATTTTTTTTTGGTTCTCTCTTTCGTAGTGGACAGTATTTCCCTTAATGGCCTATCCGCTAACGCCTGCATTACGTTAATGCGTCTCTCATGAGCCGTTGCTCTCGTCGACGCAATACTCTGTGTTTGGTCCTTCGCCCCCTATTAATTTTCCTGGCTGCCTGTTTCTCGCTCAGCTCCTCGTTCTGTGTCTCTTAGAGCTAATGAGGAACCTTGGACACTGCCCGGAGCAACTGTTACTTCGCCCTACGAAAACTACTCCACCATTTTCCTACAGAGTTTGAAAAAGTAAGAGTTGAGCATTTAGTCCCTCCTCGTAAAGTCGCTGTCTACTTAAAGCTGGATACTGTGAAGGCTTCGCATAATCACGTCTCCACACAGTTCCGGCCAGCACTTCAGCACCTATAAACGATTTAGTTGGCAGCTTCCAGTTTTCCAGGTACATAATGTTCCTTAGACACTTCCACCGTTGTGGGACACGGCCAGCTAGATACACAAGTAGCTCATGGCACTCTGGCCTGGGGGTAATCCGAGCGTCCTCGGAAAGAATATTCACAAGAGCTAAAAATATCCTCATACCGCTTCCGTCCTCGCACTTTAGCAGTGGTAGTCGGGAAGAATCTGCTTTTCGAGAACTACTTGTCCTAGGACTCAGAGAAGCCATTCCACCTCTGTAGTTGCTTGCTGAACGAATTGTACATGCTCAGTCGGGGTTGAGTATGCGTTATTGTGGCCCCGTCCCCTGTGCTACATCTATGCTCTCATTATTTCGAGCTTCCATTGCTTTACTAGTTGGCTTGCAGGTTTTGGCCTCAGTGCTATCTCTGTAGAGATCTGCGGGACAGTCAACGCGCAGAGGCATTGGAGAAGTACGTTCGGCAGATCTTGACTGTCGAAGTGCCTTACTTGAGAAAATCGGAAATCCTAGGGGACCATAAAGTAGAACTGACTTTTTCCGCACGCCTGACGACGTAGCCTGCCCGAAGGTTCTCCGTTTGTTACGGGGTGACTGCCAACTCTCGATGCAGGATTTGCGGCAGATCACGGCGGGGCGAACCACCCACAGGGCTCAATTTTTCGTGGTCGCTATTGACGGTTTATAGACTAGAAAAGTGTAGGCGGCTTTACTCACTCTCTTGGAACATTTTTCTTTCTTTACTGTAGTGCCTTACACTAGATGCATACTCATGGGCCGTATTTTATTCCGGTGCGACGACTTTGCGCTGACAACGCATGTACACTCCTTTAAAATCTCCACGGTAATCTACAGCAGCAGGCTCCAAGAATACCGGGTGTACGTTTACGTAACAGATTACCAAGTGCTGAAGGCTGAAGGAGACGAAGTGCTTTCAAATTCCCTGGTCTACGTGCTGTCGCACTAGAAAACCCCGCTAACTAGGTGACCTTAAGGCAAGTGTGCGGCGGGTTGGAGAGCAGACGGCGGAATACGAGCATGGTTAACATGAACTGAGTCGGGAATCAAAAGCACTTGCAGAAGTTTAAGACGACAAGCCTGGTTCACCAAGAGCGGAAGACGAAGTTACTCATGAGGGTGGTTTGCCGCTGGTCAGCCAGCAAGGGACCCAGCTGACGCATTTGGCTAGATGCCCAGGAATTCCAGAAGCCACGAAGTTATATTTTGAGTGATATCGAAGGTTTTGGTCATCACCCAGTCATTAGAAGCCAAGGAGCCCACCCGGCCAGTGTAGGCGAGCGTCCTCAAACTGATCAGCATCCTTGCATGGATACGGGTCTAATGCCTCATACTCTAGGTGCCCTCACGCACAAAAGGAAAGAAGCTCTAGTAAACTTATACCCTTAAGGCACATAAAAGCATGTAAAATGACTAAATATTCTTGCTTCTGTTCTGCATCTATCGAGAGAATAACTCCTTGTAGAGGGACGGTCACAGCACGTCACACATGGATGGGGCCCACTGCTGCATGGCGGTGTGCACAGGAGCAAGCTGTAGCCAGCCGACGTTAAGGACAGCCCGAGAGCGCTGAGCAGCACCCTCTTCGTTCTACATCAGCGGACGATTTTGTGCATATCGTGTACTTGTCATCACACTCGGAAGACTTGACAGTATTTTGGCTTTTTGGATTCTCAGGCGCGTGTTTAGCCTGTACCCTGCGGGAAGGGTGCTTCCTGTCAGTCTTCCGCCTCCTGCCCCGGGAGATACGGTCTCAAGGTCTTGGTCTTTGGAATTAAAACCTCCAAATGAGCTGCAAAGATGGTGGCTGGAAAACGTCAGTCTCTACCTTCCTGCCGTAGTCTGGGGTGGACGTGTAACGAGTCTCACGGTGCCTCAACGCGGAAGAAACCATTTTTAATGCTGTTTGGCAGTTTATCCCCTCATATTTCCCCCGTATATCGTATTTGCGCTCGCTTTTGAACATCTTGGGGCTGCTTAAGGGCCAGTGTTTTGCGGGTGGAAGTCTCGGCTTGTCCTTAACGGCACTGGTCACCGCAGCCACTGAGGGGACATGTCCCCTGTTCCTCGCAGCGGTAGCGTGATCATCGTGCTTCTCATTCTTGTGTGTTAATTTGGGAAGTGAGCATTAAGCTTTAGAAGATTCTGTGGCCATGGGCAACCTGCTCGAGAGGTGGTGAAACCGTGAGGTGAAATTTGTGCTATTGCTATTTTCTTCAGTTAAGAGAAACCCGGACGCCGGTGTGGCGACCGCGGTCCAAGGAATCATTCAACACCAGAAGTTCAAGCGCATGCTCCTCTTCGGCTTGCGCTCCCTGGCAGACTTTTGCAGCCCCACCAACCAGCTCTATCAGTGAGACACGAACCAATGGACCGTCATCACACAGCTCCTTTAGTCCACGTCTCCTTCTTTTGTCAATGAGGCAGTTTTAATTGCCGATATTTGCAAGAAAATGGTTTGCTGCATGTGTGCTCTCAGGGAAAACGCTCAAGATGCTATGGATAAAGGAGTCCTTCCCGCTATGCAGACGGCAGTGGAAACCTTTCCAGATGACGAAGATCTGATGAACTGTTGTTCACGAGTCATCTGGGCTATGTCGGAAGCGTGTAAAGATGAGATGGACGCCAACCGTATTGCCCTTTTGGCTGCTCATGGAGGGCCTGTCTGCCTTGCCATTGTCAATAGGTGAGCTTGAATTCGGTGCGAATGCTTCACCTACATACAGAGAAGTATAGATCATGGGTGGACCATGGTGCTTACTGTCATACGTCTTCATGCTGCTTGAAGTGGTTGAAACAATAGGGGACAGACGAGCTGTTTGTTCTTATGTTCAGCTGTCCGACCGATTCACAAACAGTGTCAGATGCTATGACATTTGTGGAAAACATGGACAAGGCAGGTAGCCCTTTGGATGGGGGAACACTTGCGCCAGGGTTGTTGGCAATTTTTTCCAAGAAAATTAACATGAAAACGGCAGCGCGCGTGGCGGCGGCTCTCGCAGTCGCCACGAACTCTCCTTCAGGAGCACAGGCAGCGGACGCAGCGGGAGGGATGGGAACTGTTTTGGATTTCTGCCTTGCTAACGGAGACATGTCTGAGAGTTCAGTGCAGTGTGTTGAGTCGGTATTTGACGCGTGCAAACATATGGCAGAACAGGGATGCGCGCAGCGGGCTGTGTTGGAGCAGTGCATTGGCGTAATGGATAAGTACAGAAGCAAGAAGGGAGCTTTCTCAAAAGGTTCAGCGGCTCTTGCATCGATGATAGGGCCGGAGCAGTTGCAGCAGTGTCTGGCTACGCTGAAGTCTAGCTCGCCTGGATCTCCTGAGCACGATGAAGCTTTGACAACACTAGGCTCCATGTCCTACATTTCTTCATTCACGGATGAGATTGTGCGGGCTGGTGGTATCCCCTTGCTGTGCGAATTGATCAACAGTGGCCTGACGCAAATCGAAACAAACCCCGACAAGATTTACAAGATGGTGGGAGGAGCGGCGAAAATGCTTGCACGCATTGCATCTAATCCAACAAACGTGGATTCGATGGTGCAGTCAGGAGCAGTGGCAACACTTGCAACGGCAGTATCATACTGCACAGACAATCTGGAATGCCTTGGTGCCCTGTGCATGGCGTTGACTCCGCTTGCTGCACGTGAAAGTTTGGCTAGCGAGATTGTCCAATACCAGACATTTGCTACGGTTCTTCCACTGCTGTACCAGCACGTTGAGAACGCAGACTTTGCTCCCTTGGCTATGGAGCTCGTTGCCACGGGTCAGTCATTCTGTTGCCAGTTTGGAATTGTGATGGATGGGTGTATTGCTAATGCGAGTTAAGGAGATTGTGTGCTTTCTGAGGAGCGCGCTGCAGACTGAATGGTGTATTTGGGCTCGCTTTTGTCTGCGGTTGTCTATGTAGGCTCTCAGCACCCTGAGCTTCATCAGCACATGGTGGCGAACCTTGCAGTTGAGATCTGCGCGATGTGCTGTAGCTACCATTTGAAGGACACCTCCTTTCAGGCCAACGCGATTCTTTCGCTAAATCGTTTGGCTAGCAATCTGTCCAGCGTCCACAGTATTTTGGAGTATAGCGGTTTTCAAGGCATCAATGCGTCTATCAAAGCGAATATTCAGGACGCGACGATTGTTCAAGGGGCCATACAGCTCTATGAACAGCTCTCCAAGGTGGCAGATGCGAAGACTTATATGGCCAGCACTGACTGCGTCGATGCAGTTCTGGAAGCCATGCTTGAGCATGAGCAGAACGAGGCGTTGGTGAACTCAGGTGTTAACTGCTTGAGCGTCATCGCGACGGAAAGTGACTGCCATCGGCACCTCAGCGACCTCGACACTGCCATACAGACAGCAAAGGGGGATCCGGATCGTGCCTACCGTGCATTGGCCGCTGTCGCGGGTCTCAGTCGCGTGAGTCACTTGCGGCAGTCTTTTGAGGCGAGAAATGCAGGTACGCTAGTAGACAATTTGTGGCCTATAGCTTCAGGGCCTGCTTGCGGCAGCTTCGTTCTGCCCAGCTTCCATGCATGGTAGCGTGCCAATAGAGCTGTTTCCGGGCGCGCATCATGCGTATTTCGCAGCGGAGGTGATCATGAAGGGGATTCAGAATTGGATTGACGGATCGCGATTTGAAGGGCAAGGTCGCGTAATCCGTGCTGGTCTTAAAACAGTCAAGATCATCAAAGTTAATGGCGAAGGCGACCTGACGCCTGTACTTGTGAGTATGTGCGAGGTGGCGTGCCTCCCACCAGTGAAGCGTATTGTTGAGCTTGAGGAGCCTGATGACAACATCCTGGTGCATTGCACCGCCGGTGCTCGGGACGTCGCTGCTACCAGCAGGATTTCGAGAGAGAACATTGATGCTGCAGTAGAGGCCATCATGAAAGTCATGCGTAAATACGCAGACAGTAGGCGGTCTCAGATCAACTGTCTGGAGGCACTGAATTACCTCGCTTTGTGCGACTCTGGAGGCGGCGTGGAAGTGATAGTAAAATCTGGAGCTTTGAACGCTGTTGTGCAGTATCTGAATAGGTCTCCGATGTATCTAGATGCTCAAATCGCAGGATTTACGGTCTTGGCAACTTGTGCTAAGATTGACCCATCTTCAGCAGAAGTAATGAAAAAGTGCAATGTCCTTTCGGCATTAAAGGTGGCGATGCGCACACACTCAAAGAGCAAAGAACTCAAGAGGACAATTGCTCCCCTGCTGGCGCTTTTGATGCCGGTTGATGCTCTCGAACGAGAAATTTCCGAGAGAGTTGCCGAGTGCAAAGACGCCATGGAGGTAAGGATTTCAAGCGTCCAGCACAACTGCAATCTATTCAGATATCTGTAGAGTTATGGACATGCTAGAGATATGTTTGTTCCTGTGTTTTGAATATCGTTCTCCACAGAAAAACAACATGGTTGGCATGCATGAGGCCCTGTCGGAGCTAAACGAGCTCTTAGTGTCTGCCGAAGGGGCAAAAATTGCTGCTCGCCTTGGTGTTGGGGCGGAGCTGGAAAGGTTTGCGACGTACGCAGTGGCCCACAAATCTGTTGCAATGGCTGCCACAGACTATGACATTCTTGGCAACGATCTGTACGTTGCTACAATGTCGGAAATTGCTCATGCTGTTGAGCAGATGGCATCGGTGAGGACAGGCTGTATCCATGCCCTTAAGACAGGGAATGTTGAGAGTGTCCTAAGCATGTACGGGGCTCTGAATGCGACTGAGAAGAGCAGCTTTTCTGAGGAAGCCGCGCTGCACTGTCTGGAGGCCTTGAGGCTTATGATTAAGACCGATAGGAAATCAGCAGACGTCGCCTTCGAGCACAATGTTGTCGCAATTCTTTGTAGTGGGATTGACAACTACCAGGACTCCGCCCCAGTGCTTGCAGCGACTTGCGGCTGTCTTGCGGCTCTGGCTACAACCCCGTCCCGTGTTGCAGCGTTGGTGGCGCAGCCCGACTTCGACAACCTTGTCAACAAACTTGTGCGCATTATTAGCGAAGATCCGAAGAGGGACAACAGACTTGTGGCAATCAAAGCTCTTAGGGAACTCGTGGAGAGGTGCAATGATCCTTCCTTAGCGGTGAAGATTTGCGATGCCGGTGCGGTTGTTGCACTCTTCTCGACTATTGAGAATTACGGAGACGATGAAGAACTTGTCAGGGAAGCAGCAACGACTTTGGCGCTGTTGGGAGTCCACGACGACTTGCGTCGTTTCTATGGAAACGACGTGCGTGGCCCATGCATGATCCTTACTTCTGCAATCGACAAGCAGAAGCACAGTGACGCCGCAGCTTACCAGTTGCTGAGTGTATTAAATATTATTACGACGCGGGATGATCGCCCCATTCTTAAAGAGCTTGGTGCCATGGGACAAGTAGCAGAGACGATGCGCCTCCATCCCGACAACGAAAATATCACTAGGGTTGGAGGTGAGCTCTTTGCGAAGATGGGAGCTGATGAGCAAATCAAGAGCCTCATGCTCCACATTATTTCCACTGTTGAAAGTGGTGACGAGAATATGGTGACCACAGTGGACGGATTGTGCGCACAGCTGGCCATGTTCTTGGCTGCACCGTTGGACGATCCAGCAGACGCATTACAGCATACAGAGAAGTGCCTTACGGCGCTCACAACTGTGTTGCAAATGGCACCGGAGGATCAGCGGCTCCATGGGAATGTGGCTACTGTGGCACGGCGGCTGTGTGATAGGTGCTTCGATGATCCTAATGATTCATATGGAGCTTGGGCAGTTGCAAGCAGCGGCTTGCTGCATCAACTTGGTGCGATGATTGCTGCTGGGCAAGTTGACAGCAACAAGGGGTTTTTGGTGCCAGGCTACCGAACTTTGGCTGCCTGTGCTGCCAATCCATACAGCATGCCAACCCTGCAAGAAGTTGCTCCTTCCTTCCTCCCGCAGACGTATACCTTGTTAGAAGCCCATAAGAACGATGCAGAGACGACAGCTCGTATCCTCGAATTCCTGAGATACTTCGCAGAAGATGCGAATGGAGCAGCTATGATCACACAAAGTATGTTAATGCCTCTCGCCTCACGTAACACACTAGCTTATGTGAAGTATGGTGGCCTCATTGACGCGCCTGTGCTTTTTGTTATTTTTCATCAGATATGTCTGGATCTTCGGGCGACATTGTCTCACTCACACTTCTGTTGATGCAACAGCATCAAAACAGCGACGCTGTTGTGACATCTGGCATGTACTTACTGGGCGCTCTCGCTTACAACGGAGCTGTATCAGGGGCGGAACCGATTCCCAAGTTTGCGGATGGATCTGCTTTGCGGGAGTGCGAAGCCCTTTGCGGAACAAATGCAAGCCAGGAGCGCATGGTTGCGTATGCAAGCTTGCTAGAGCGCTTAATTCTTTCACAATCGTACGGGGAGGCTCTTGCGAAGCAGAAGGCGCTGGAGAAACTTGTCCTTAGGATGCAGGCAGAAGAAGAGTCGAAGAAGCTTTCCGAGGAGGCTCGTGCAAACATGTTGTGCTCTGTCTGCCGGGTGTTCATGGCAGCTGGCGCAGCCGCCATGGTTGGCGAAATCGAGCAATCGAAGGGCTTTGATTTGATTATTCAGGCTATCGAGGACTACCCAGACAACCCAGGTGTTATTCGCGATTCTTGCAGAGCTCTTGCAGCCATGTCAGCCAATGATGCCAACTTGGCTGCACGGACTATCAAGGAAGCAATACCACTACTGGCGGCAGGTGAAGCACAGGCAACAATAACGAGTGATGCCGAGTGTGCTGACGCGTACTGTGATTTACTGATGCAACTTTGTGCTGCTGAGGGCAACGGTAGGCAGCTGCTGGCAATCGACGGTGTGGAAGACAGCTTGAATAAGATCGACGCTTTATGTGACTCCGGCGGCTCTGAAGATGCTGCTGAGCTCAAGAAGAAGACTGCCATGATTCGTCAGGCTATGGCGGATGACCAGCCCCATGAGAAGACGTGCAAAGATGTTTACGACCTCTTGAATAACCGTGTTGCCTCGTCACTTTCAATTGCAATCCCCGAGGTCGCGGTCCTTCAGGAGGAGCTCGAGTTCGTATTCAGTAGACTGCAGATGTACAATGCCGAGAAGCTTGACTGGCGCACTCCTATCGGTGCTGATCACCAGTACGGAAACATGGCATTGGAAATTTTCGCTAGTTCGCCTGCCAACTACAAGGCTCTTCAACAGCAAGAATTTGTCAAGATGGAGCTGTCGATTCTGAAGAGCGTAAAAGATGAAGAGATTGTCCTGTACGCAGTCAAGGCCTTAGCTTCCGGCTGTAAGAACCCGGCTTGTGCTCAAGATTCAGCAAGAACTGCAGGCTGCCCGACCATTGTAACGGAGGCTGTTAGCAGAGTCAATAAAGCCTCCGACATGGCTAATGAAAGAAAGGAAGAGCATCTTTGTGCCAGGCTTCTGCTTGTGGAACGCACTGCTGTCAACCGCAACCTCTACAACAAGACGAACGCCGTCTCTGAGCTCATTCGTTGTTGGAATGACTTTGATAAGGGCATGTATTCAACCACGTTGCTGAGGCACGTATTCCGTGCAATGAGACGTATCGTTTCCGATGCTCATGTGGACGAGTTACTGAAGGCCAATGTGCTCCAGCGATTGATTGCGATAATAGCAGTGAGTGGATCTAAGCTTCACACCTCGGGAGATTTCATGTGTTTAAGGATTCTTAGGAGCATCGAATGGGCGCGTTCTTTGTAAGCCATAGTGAGGTCGCATCAAGTTTAGCGGGTCTTCCATGTGATGAGTGTTTGCAGGATCTAAATGCTGATCTAGCGCTGCTGCCTGACGTGCTCTTCCTGCTAGGGTCCCTGGCAGTAGTACCAGAGATCAAGTCAAAGATTGGAGAGCTCAATGGCGTAACAGCTTGTTTCGAGCTGCTCCAACGGTCTTTGCCGAACCCGCAGGCTACTGCGGTAGTCACAAATACTTGCTTGGCGTTTGCAAATATCTGCATTGGCCACAAGAAAAACACAGAGTTGTTCCACAAGCTGGGCGGGCCTGATCTGACTGTTCGCGTCCTGAATGAGCGATGCACGGAGTATGATGTGTGCAACGCGGCTTCAGTGCTGCTTTGCAATCTGCTGTACAAGAACGAGGCTATGAAACAGCATCTCGGCACCAATGGTGCTCCGGCAGCGCTTGTGAAGGTAAGAGGAGGATGCAGCAATCATCCAAGTAGAAGCTGCTAGCATCACAGTATCAGCTGAGGGGAGTTTCCCGTTAACGTGATGCATGCGTCCATGTATTACTCGCAGGGCCTTTCAAACTACGATGGCTCGACGGAACGTTCAGCGATACGCTGTTTAGAGTCTCTGTTCAAAGCTATTAGCAATCTTTCTCTGTACACGCCAAATATCCAGCCGTTCTTGGATGCAGGTGAGGATACATGGTTGAATTCCTGCTTGAGCTTTGTATCCTCAAATGGCGACGTCTGCTGTGGAAGCTGGTGGCTCTACTTTTTTTGTATGAACACGCAGGAATCGAGAACGCGTACAGCGCTTGGCTGAGCAACTTGACGGAGGAGTTTCCAGACGCGCAGCTGGAGACAGGTTGCCGTACTCTGGCCAACCTCGTAATGGAAAATGATCCGAACAACATGAGGAAGTTTGGCGTCTGTTTGCTGCCTTGCATGCAAGTAGGTGTACACGAGTTTCTTGCTGCGGATAGTCTGTTTTTTTTAAATGTTTGTCGACGTTGTCTGTAGGCTTCTTCATCCGTCTCTCTACTTCACGGATCTGTTCGACCTTTTCGTTGTTTGCAGGTGGCGAGTCAAGGTCGCCAGGACACGAAGGCGCTTATGCTACTTCTAGACATTGAAGCGTCTCTGTGCCGTCTAAATGACAACGCAGTGGCATTTGCTGACAATGGTGGCATTGAAACAACGATACGCATTATCCACCAGTTCGACTATGATGTAGGATTGCTGACTTTGGGTAAGCAAGCTTCGTAGACAACTTTGTTTCATTTATCTTGCGATAGGTTGCAACTACGATGATTGGAGACACAAGCACTTAATTCTGCTTTTTAACGAGTTCGTTTCTTGTGCAGGGATCCACTTACTGAGCATTCAATCTACCTTAATGCCTTCAATTCAGCGCATGGTAGAGGCAGATGTGTTCTCTATTTTAGTTGGATGCGTTGAAGTTGATGCTGAGGGTAACGAGGTTACCGATCTCGTTGTGGGCGGCCTGCGCTGCACGCGTCGCATTATTAGGTCGCAGGAGCTTGCTTTCGAGTATTGCAATGCAGGTAAGAGACACGCTCCAAAGTTTCGAGCTTGTCATTGATTTCTCTCCCTCAGCAGCTCCCCGCATATTCACTTGGAGCGGTCGCCTTGCTTTTTATTCTGCATAATTATTCAGGTGGCATTGCAACCGTGGCAAACGTAATTTGCAAATCAATTAACCAGCCGATGGTCATGCTCGAGGCATGCCGGGTGTTGCTTTGCTTGCTCGCCTTGACAACACGACCTCAAGAGGAACGCGCTGCGGCTGTCCAGGCATTACATGATGCTGCTGCAAAGGCTGCACAGGAAGCCGGAGCAGTTCCAGATGAAAATGGGAATATTCCTGATGCAGAGCCAGACCCAGAGGAGCTCGCAAACGCTGCCTATGGTATGCAGCATATTACGGTTGAGAATTTGGCTTTTGCTCGTAAGGTCATGCGATGCCGCCAAATTCCTTTTTAAAACTGCAGGGTGTTCGTTTTTTTGATGTGCTTCAGGCGGTTGGTATCACATGGGGATGGATGAGGTCATGATCGGAGCGATCATTCAGGCGGTCTGCGCATGTGCTGGTTCTGAAAGCCATGCTAAGCAGCTACGTCTTCAGCGTATCTCTCTCGGTAAGCATTTCAGCTAGCCTATTCCACTGTGCTTGCTGGATAGTTCTGTCCTGGATGCCCAAGTGTACAACATGGTGAATGCTGCGTCGCTTGTGTGTTACAGGTGTAGCTGCTCACTTTGTATCGGAGCAGATGGGCCAGGAGTCTTTTGTTGGAAGCGGAGGTGAACTCGTAATAATGCAAGCCTTAAACACTTTCCCTGGCGAGCAATCTATTGCGCAGCTTTCATGTATCATAGTCAACTCCATCGCCATGACGTCGGGAGACATGTACGATAGTATCAAAACAAGGGAGCTCGTCGCGGCATTCAAAGGAGTGAGAAGGAAATGGGAAATGCTTGCTCCACGGCGTTGTTGGGTGGAAGCGGCTGTTCCTTAGTCATTGTTGGTCCCATGTCTGTCGTGAGTTTTGATTCAGAGCATTTCAAAGATTGGAAACAAGAAGCCTGAAGAGAAGGCGGTTCGCGATGAGTGCCAGAAGACTCTGGATGCTTTAGGCTCAAGTGAGCTAGTGGAGGAATTGCAGTCGCACTATTCAGTCTTCTCGATGCATAGGACGGTGCATCTGAACGGTTGCAGCGCTTATGTAGTGCTTTGCGTATTGTCCAGATCTTGATCCTATGGACGCTTTTGCGTCGACTGTCACCGAGTTGGACTTGAATATTACGCAGTGGAATGTAGACCCATATCCCAATGGTGTCCATGACCTGCCTGTTCACGTGAAGGAGGCTCTGCGCAAGGGTGGAGAACTCAAAGTGTATATTGGCGACAAGGAAGCAGAAAAGATAAGATGGCGTAGTTCCCAGGATCTCAAGTGAGTGAATGCTGCTGCAGCCCGACTGCATAGCTCGTTTCGCTCACGGTTTTTACGGAGCATCGCTGTTATATCTCGGTTTTTCTCATTTGCAGTGCTTTCGAGTGGAATATCGGTAATGAGACGGACTGGAATAATCGCGTGCCCATTGTTCGTATCCGCAACGTTGCGAAGGGTTTATCGCACCCAGCGCTTGTCAAGGCAAACAAAAAGTCCAGAAGCGGTCAGCGATCACAGCACGTTGCCGACACGAGTTCACTAGTTCACATCAAACCTACTGTGCTAGTTCTACTTTATTCGTATTTTGTTGCGATATTTTCCTTGCAGCATCGTTAGCTTTGTTTGCTGTCTTGCTCTGGCTGCAGTTACATCAAAGATTTGTCTATGCATATTTGGCCCACCGAACGAAGACAATCCGGCCGGTATTGAGCTCCCGCTCCGCGCGAAGTCTCAGAAAGAGCGTGATCACCTCGTGGAAATGCTTGTCCAATGGCGCGACGCTGCTACATACAACTTTTAAGTGCCATTTGGACTCGAATACTTAGGGAAGTGTCGTCTACGATGGCGAAATCTTCAGCATTGCTGTAGGGTTGCTGATGCTTGCTTTCACTTCGCAGCATCATTGCGGAGACTTTTACGTTAAATTGTTGGTGTTTGTTGGCTGTGCTCATGCTTTGTAGTAACGAGGCCGATGGCACACTATCTTTATCGCATCCCACAGGGAATTCCGTGGATAAAATTGCAGTAGTCAATGACAAACTCGCAAACTTGCAACTTTGACTTCTTGAGTACGTCTAGCTTGAGAAAGCAGTATGTAGTGGCGGCTCACTGTTTTTGGGCAGCCTACGAGCCGGTGCAGTTCTGACGTGTTATCGTGGGTACTTGTGGAGTCGCATTAGCTTAGAAGTATTGGTGGATGGTAGAATTCATGAGGTTTGACAAAACTAATTGCTTCATGTAGTGCAGCAAGTCGAATATTTTTGCTGCGTGTACCTTGAGTGACCCGCAGTTTTTCGTGAGCAGTTTACGTGGCGCTGTTGTAGCCGTAACATTATTTGAGGTACTAGGGGAGTCACATTAGTTTTGAAACATTATTGAACAGTATGGAGTTTCAGAGAGTTAATTGCCCCACTCAGCACAGTATGTATGAAGGGAAGGACGCCTAGAAAACTGATGGACTTCGCAAAACAGGGTCGATGTCTTAGAGGGCGATTGAAGTGCGGCTTCGCAACGAGAGCGTGGCTTCGGTACTCTGTGAAGACACTTTGAGCACGAAGCCAGGAACACAGTGGATGCAACATTTCGACAGTGTGCTCACGTAACGATTCGTGACACAGGCTTACTAGTGGAGAGACTGATGGATTATTCAGAACTGCCCATTAACTTTTTCGGGGAGCGAGTTCAAGATGTCACCGACTCTCTTCTCAGTCACTTCATCAGTAACAAGGTCTTTAGGCCCTTCAGGAGAGGCCTCCCCTTGAACTAGCTTAGCAGCACTCCGTGCTGTATTTGCGACAATGGATGACAGACCCTCACCCACAGAACTGGCGAGAGCGGAAAAGGAAGTGATGGGCGATGCGTCTAGTTCCACTCTTTTTGGTTGGAGTGTTTGCTGGGCTTGTGGTACTGGGTAGGACTGAGCAGGCTTCTGTGACGGAGAAGGGAAAAGGCGACTCAGGAAACCGCCGAAAATCCCACCGTCTTCCTGCGCACCATCCTCCTTCCTGTGGAGAGGTACATCTGATGTCTGAGCCGAGCGCGTTTGAACGTCTTCTGCCGTACTTCCCGATCTCCTTTCTTTAGTTGACACTTCATCGACGGCTTCCTCTGCTTGCATTATCTTCTCCTGTGGTGGTACCACAGCGGGGACTTCCTGTGCAGTCTGTGGCTCTGTTTCTCTGTGTGCACTTGCATTCGGCTCAGCGTCTGAGAACAACAATGCTAGCCAGCTAGCTAGATCATCGTATTCAGAACGGCTGAAACGAATTATACTTTTGGCTTGCATCGCGGCTTGGAATAGAAACGCATCAGCATAGTATAATGCCTCTTTTGTCTGCTCTGGGCTTGCGGCCCTGGTGTCGAATGCCGGGAGTAGCAGCTGGCAATTCCAGAAGGCGCCAAGGGCTCGTATTGCATAATGGAGAAGCTGCGGTCCTAAGGTAGAGTTCAAATGCGGGTCATCATGGAGATTTACTTGGCCTTTCTTAAAGGAATCGACGAGGGAACTTGCCCCTACAAGTCTAAGCAGTTTGCTCTGTGTTGAGCTGGGAGCAACCATTGGATCACTTTCAAGAAAGCCAAGGTGCCTGCAAACTTCAAAAGGAAGTATTCCTAAGCGACAATCGCCGTAAGCTAGCGCCGGTCCTGGAAGCGAACTCCCGGGTTGAATCTTTGCTGGCTGTGGATTTGTCCTGGGCTCGAAAGCGGTCTTCATTTCTTCAAGAAGGGCAGCCTTAGATCTCAGGACGGCTATTGCGTTGATCACACCCATGACCTTTTGCCTCGGCGCAAGCTCTGCAAAGGGTGTGAAGGACGACCGTAACGCAGCTTGGCTACCAACGCCATCACTGGCTTCGCCAATTGGGCGCTTGACTTGCATATGCTCTGCCACCACATTTGGGTCAGGTGAAGTAGATGCCCCGATTGCCGACACAAGACAGAAGGTACACAACGTTAGAGTGAGGAGCTTCATATTCACGGCAAAGAAGGAAATTTATTTGGATTACCTGCACACTTTCGGGAAGCTTCTATGGCAAGCACATAGTAGCCTAAAAACCTGCTCCCAAACAGCTCCTGCTATGTAAATACCAAGAAGAAACCTGTTTGAAATAAATGGCGTGTGAAGATGATATAGACGGGCAGGTCGCCCTGCCGTACCTGCTGTGCGGACAAAGTGTCCTTTAGCATTAAATCCCCCCAAACGTATGCAAGTGCAACCGGAACACGATCAAAAGCGTATCAATTTATGATTTAGCACTTAATAATTACACTGCTGTGGAGCAAGTGGCCAATCTGGAGCGGTGACAAGAACCACCAAATAGTAGTGATCGATCCAGGCTATCTGCGCACGTGTCTTTCTATCTTGGCCGCGTAAGCAGGCTAGCACAAAACATTTGTGCCACACATAAATACTGGTAATTTAGAGACATAAAATTGGAACGTTTGACCGGAAGAGATGCCCTCTTCTTCTGCAAAGCTACGCCACATTTTCTGGGTGGTGATAAAGGTCACCCACGAGCCTGGCCCACCGTCATGGTGTCACGAAGAAATGTGAAAATCTGGAGCGGGCCAACCAGTAAACATACTGTGTTCAGTGTCATATAAAGGAAAATAATGTGTGCTTAAGGAGGTGTACTGTGTGAAGAGGCTTAGACAGACTCCATAGGACAGGTTCTGCTTGCTGCTCCTGCAGTAGCAACGGTGCGCCTTTTGCCCCAAATGGATGAATATCCATGTTGAGCACGACTTATATAGCAGTACATTATCCCAAACATCCTTGAAATTGTCATGAACAACCAGACTAGCCGGCTGGCACTAGTTTGTGCTTAAACACGAAACCAGCCGCAACTTGAAGTTACTTCCGTACATGTCGCATTTCCTCTGAATGGCCTATGGAGCGTCAACACGAAGAGTCCCAGCATTCTTCAGCCCCATGTTTGTCGGCGGACTCCATGTTCTGTTCAGGAGCCCTTTACCCACTTCTCTTGTAGTGCTGTAATGTGATGTAGCCTGTCCGCACAACGCGACCTGAAGGTACTTCTCTCTGCAGAGGAATTCATGTGAGGCTCTTGCTGAAGCGGCAATGATACTCTTTTGTAATTGTATGTAGTCTTTACTGCTACTACGGCAACAAAATATCTGCGCCATCGCGGCTCATGCCAAACCCCCACCAGTCGCTAAATCCTGCAGCGTCACTATCCTGGACATTAGCTTTTTCGACGGTAAGGAACTTTATAGCTACGAACGTTTCACGTGCTTCCGTGGTTTCTTTTCCACGGAATAATCCGAGCTGCAGCTAACCGTGACGCTCCTGGAGTGCTAGGACACGCAAAAGGCCGCAGTCAGGCGCTCAAGCCTGTTAGTCCCTCCAACGCTGTTATTAAGCCAGTGCAACCCGGCTACCCGCTAACTGTAAAAGACTTTTCTTGAGCCGGTGACCTTTCTTGGGGTCACTTGGCGCATTAGAACACTTCTTGGTGTCTGCATCGTGCTTTGGGGCATTGTCAATCATCTGGGAACGGGTGCTTTCTGCAGATCCCCCATCACTAATGCACGTGCTGAAGTCCTTTGGATGCAGTTGTGTACGATGTGCTTTCAAGGGTGATACAGATATCAAGCTTGGCTCAAATCCTATGGAATCGTAGGAATATGAACTGCTGCTGTCTTTCCCCAGCAAATCACTGTCATGCTTTCTATAGCGTCGGCAGTTAGATAACGCTTCTGGAGACTCCGTTGAAAGCTTGCTGCCCCTTTCTTTGCCGGGACAGATCCTATCGTCAAATAAACTATCCTGGGAAATAGGTGAGACGATTAAATGTTCGATTGCCTCAATCTGCTCTCGGTATGTTTTGTTTAAATAGGGAAGACAATGCCGGTGATAACGCTGCAGTTCCTGTAGAGCACCCAAAACAACACAAGGGATTTCTTGCCAAAATGAGCAACCAAGATAAAACACGAACGCCTGACAGAAACCGTAGGTGCCCACACAGGAGGCGGCTTTATACCTGCAAGCTTAGAGATGGCTTGAAGCTCTGTAACACATCCATAACCTGCTCCCTGGTTATCGTCACTTGTTCAGGGTCATCCACGCTCCACTCAGCTGCGAGCAAAACAGCACCAACACAACAGCACAACGCTCCGCCAGAACTCCCATTGAGGCAAGCGCATGTAGTAACCGCGAACTTGTAGCCGCGGACTCTTCCTGCAGTTCATGCGGACTTATCACCACATACATGCCGTGCTGGTAAATGTTTCCTGGATCGCAAAAAGCTGCGCTTGGTTAACAGCTGCCTGAAACACAACATGATCCACTGCCACACTGGACATCAATGGGTTCCATCTGCGAGTGCCCTGCAGCGTGATCACTGCGTACGAGGGTACTTTCAAGTGCGATTAATGTTGCTTTCCAAAATGCGGTGCCCCTTAAGAAAAGTACCTGAATATCTGCCGGGGTGAAGGCCCAGGGAACCGACGGCCCCACAGTGTCGACGTCGAATGCAATACGACAGTTAAGAGATTGGAGGGCTACAGCCAAGATCTCCGTTTTCTCAACAATCGAAATAGGAAGTCCACAATAGCACACCTGCAATTAAAGCATAATTAATTCAATGAAGCAGCGAAGAGAGCTTTGAGCTTTTACAACCAAGCGTTGTTGAAGAGGCGTGTGGATTCAAGATTAACGTCGGTAGTACTTAGAAGTGCATCAGTGAAAAAAATAGCATTCACTTGGGTATTTGCAAGGTAAGGGAGTATATGCAAGTAGTTACAAGCAGCATGCCAGTACCTTTTCAAAGCGTCCTGGGCGAAGCAAAGCGGAGTCTACAAGGTCAGGTCGAGATGTCGTAGCAATTACGAAAACGCCCTGTGCACATACTACCACTCGCTGCAGCGCGCTGTCCTTTCAAGCTTTTAATGACCGAGCATGCAGTCCAGCTGTGAAGACTTAGTGAGTGAGAGTATCTGCACGCGTCTTGCAAGTAAATAATTCATGCTTCGACTCAATTGCTGCTTGCTGGCATACTTCGCGCGCCTCGATGCCATCCAAGTAGCACAAGAGCTGATTGACGACTCTGTCCGTTACGCCTGTAGTATCGCCTCCACGCCTGTATGCACAAGTAGGCGCTTACAGCAACTATCCTTCTTGCAATGGATCTGGTGTTGGAGCATAAAGTGGCACATTAAGATGTTCGAGACATCTGTGGGCAGAAAACCCACTTTGTGGCCAACGCTTCGATTTCATCGAATAAAATTGCGCACGGTTTCGCCGCTCGTGCTTTCTGGAACACGTCCCTCACTGCTGCCTCACTTGACCCAATAAACTTGCCAAGCAGCTCTGGACCCTTGACACTGCGTGCAAAGAAAAGCACTACAGTTGTCATAATTATCAGTAGCTGAGCCCAGGCTCAGCAACATCGGATTCACTTTATCGCGATATATTTGAGGCCATTCCCAAGTAAACTCACTGAATACAACGAATCCCTGCTTCTCCCACGGCAGCGACAGCGAGGTGGGTCTTTCCGCATCCAGGGGGTCCAACAAGAATGATCCCTTGATGCATTGAAATGCCAGCAGCGTTCACTAAGGAGGGGTAGGTGCGTTGCAAAGTCAGCAGATCGTACAGCTCTTCCTTTGGCTGCAGTTCAACAGGCAAAGTCTTCACGAGCAAATTAAGCGGTAAATGCAAAAAAACAAGTCTCCCTATAATCAGGATTTTTGGACCAAACTAACCGTGTGCAAGCCGCCAACATGAGAGTAGCGCAAATCCGGCCTAGAAGCAAGACCACACGTCAGGCAAACAATGTGAATATTCTGGAAGCACATAAGCCGCCCGTTGGATGCACCAGACATCAGCAGAAACTTGCTGTAAAACAACCAGCATCTCAAGCTCAGAAAGCCGCCGCTGCTGCTGCTCCTATTGCTGCTTTGCATTTACCCCTCAGAGCTCAGACAGCTGTCTGCTGGACGTACTGAATAAAGGAATGCGACTCTGTTGCCCGTGGAACTACATCCTTAAGAGCCTTGCAGAAATGGGATGCATGAATGACTGCTGAGGGTCTGACATTCCTTGAAGAGTCCCGGGGAAACCCCAGAAGGCTCTCCCCAACGGCACGGGTCACCACTGCCTAGAGGAGGCAAGAACGCAAACACCCAAGAATCCACGTACTCTCAAGTCTATACCTCCTCTTCCGCAGATGCAAGACAATATTGCGCACGCAAGGAATTCTTCAATCGACTGAAATCATCGATGTTTACCATTTAAATGCATAAGGACGCAAATTCTGTTAACCGCTGTACTCACGAGGGCGCAGAGAAGTTTCGAGCCAAGACGCATCTTACTTGGAGGTCGGCCAGGCTGTATCCTTCAAGCTGGTTTGCGATTTCCCAGAAATCCCCTCCATCTGTCACTAGCGCATTGTCAAGCAGGAGGGGCAACCCGTTGTCCAGAGGCGAATCTCGGAAAAGGGGACTGGCGCCGTCGACGGATGTGACTACAGATCTAGCCAAAGCGAACCTCAACAGGGCCCGTAGCAATTCTAAGCGAGCGCCAACTGTCGCTAAGTTCGCAGCAGTACAGGGACATGCAGTACCTACGGTTCCATGGGACTGGACAAGCTACACATATGACAAATCATGGGAGATGCCGTCTGCATGAACTTGCAACTGCCGAATTTACAAACGCTTCTTTATTTCCGCTCGTTGCCCCCAACCCTAGGAATAAAGCGACCTTAGACGTGGTGAAAAGCTTCATGAATTATATGCAAAGATGATTATGCGTGCGTCTATATGGCTTACAAGTGTCGCAGTGCACACGTAGCTTCGAACTGCCGAAAAGCGACGGCTGAGAGAGAAGAGGGTGTAGAGATGACGCATCCACTACCGTTGCCAGAGTCAGCACACGCCGTGCAAATCCTTCTCCCATGCTACTTTCTCTGGACCACTCCAACCCACACGGACCCATCCCACCGGCACCATGCGATACGCGAGTGATCAGGTCAAGCAAGTAGGCAGCAATGGCTGCCCCTCGTGCTTCAGCAACAGTAGGTCCTCCGCCCACTTCCTCCCCCGAAAAACACAAGACATCCTGCGTACACAAAGCCAATCACACGTATATAGTCAGCCAGCCACACGTTAATAGTCAGCTAGCCAACAATGCCACTTTGTGTTCCTTCACGTGTCTCAGTTCCTGTATTCATACTGGTACCGTGCTGCGCTCCCAGTGACGCTGCGTGAGTTTTGTTGCCTGTGCATTGTTAGGTGTACGCAATCTCACCAAGTCCTCCAGCACCAGCAGGGCAGGGGCGTTGGCCTCCGCTGCGTCGAACGCAGCAGCGAGGGCTTTCCAGATCAGAGTCGACGGGATTGCCTCGCGTGCAAGCAGGCGACAGTGTACAATCACACCTGCACACGGCCAAAGCAAACAACCCTGCTGCAGCCCTAGATGCGGCTCTAACTTTCTGGATGATTTTCCAGCTGAAAGAGCTTGTGGTTCTCAACTCCCAGCTAACCCAAGCTAACCCACGCCGTCTTACTGAAAGTGCCCAAGTGGCGCGTCACGTCGACGCATAAGGCTCTGCATAGAGCTGACCGACCACAGCCGCGAGGGCCGCATACCTGTGAAACCATGGCAACGCACTGCAGTGAAGTTACGAGGAAGCAGTATCATCATCTGTGCCACTTGGAATTACACGGTATAGCTCCCAAGTACCACAGTCAGCTTTAACTATTTTGCTGCTGCAGCGTTGGCCCCTCCAAGCTGGGCGACTTCGTCACCCTTCCACAGCTGACCCTACCAGCAAGCTGGAAAGATCCAGGCTGCGCACGGCCCGGCTAAACCGCCTTTCCGCTGCTTTTGTTTCTCCATAGTTGACAGTGGGGATGCGCCCACTGCTGGTGAAGTCGGCGCAGTCTCCTCCGTCCCCCAGCCGTCTATACACTGCGCACCTCCAGATTAAGCATAGTTCACGAGAAAAATGTCAGGCGTCAAAGCACGAACTACAGGGGCATTTCTTGTGGACTGCGATGCGTTGGTTGTTCTGTTTGAGAAAGAAAACCAAAGCTATATCGTGCGAGCTGTAAAGGAGGCTCTGGGGACAATGAAACACGAGTAACTTCGTTTGCTGAACGCAGCACTCATTCCACCTATAGTACTTCCCAGTAAAGTGAGTCGATGGTTAAATGCAGGCGATCTTAATCCAAAGGCAATTCAGTCACTTCTGCTAACCCCTGACAACATATCTAACGAAAACAGAAGAGAACAGGCGCTGCTTACACATCACGCTTAACACGCAAGGACTTGCCTGTTCTTGACAGTGCTGCGGGCTGTGCACCGAAAGCGTTTAGCATGTTGAAGTCTCTCATGAATGGCCCGATGGAGCAACCAACAGAAAGGAGCTGATCTAGGGGATTCAAACGAGACCCGCCTTTGAAGTTGCACAGACAAAAGTGAACCTCAGCCGAAGGGACTTCCACGCAGCCTTGTTGCAGCAGTCGTAGAAGTTGCGTCTCTGCACCACTGTCACTACTTTCTGCGCTCAAGACTGCAGATGGGGGTTGCACGAAGGCCGAGGGTGGGGCAAGCCACCAGAGGCGCTGTGCGGCCTCAATCACCCCGGAAGTGTTCCTAGCTGTGTGAGCGTCCACTGCTAGTCCCCCACCGGAGACTTCACAATGCCCCATTTTCTCAGGCCCCTCCTTGCTGGTGTCACTAGGCTGTTCCAACGCCCATGGAATTCCATTCGCCGTGGGAGTCCTCATAAATCGAAGGGGAAGACAGATGCTATGCATATGCTCCTTTGCGTCTCCAGCCCCTGAAGGCACCACTAGAGGCGAGGTCACTTCAGCGGCTAAGCCGCCCTCAAGGACTAAATTGCGCAAGGCGGAACTCAGCAGTACGCAACCCACGTCAGGCGTAAGCGGCATCTGACGGGGATGAAAGTGGCTACGGTAAAGTGCGGCGAGGACGAGTGGCATGTCTTGGTTGAACTGGGGGGACAGCCGCTGTGGAGCCGCTTCTGTTTCTAAGGAGGGAAGGAAGAGCGACGCTTTGTCTTTTGTATTTTCTGCATTGAAGGAGACTACGACATCGACAATTACATGCACCACGTCTGGGTCCTCAGTGACCTCACAACAAGCTTGTGGCGAGCTTGCCCTGTCGCTAGGCTCCGCCATGGTCTCACCATTAGTACTCTCAGGCCTTGCAACGATACTCTTTGTGTTGGAGCAAGCAGAACTGAAACCATCCTCGACCGGCTCAGCACCCCTAGCGCCTTCCAAGCTTATTTCTTCTACGATGCTGCACAGATGCGAAAGATGCGCCAAGGTCGGAGGCTCACCAACTGGCCACGAGGTCACCTGCCGTCGTGCTGAGGGTCCCGCAGGTTCAGCAGGCTCTAAAAGTTTTGTTTGCTTATCTCCATCTTCTCTTCGACGATGGCTACTGGAGTCCTCATGCGGTTGCGCCGTAACAGCACCTACTGCAACTCCTCCACACTGTGCAGGTTCTAAATCTGACGACGCATAGAGGTCCCCAAGACCTTCTTCAAGGTCCTGGAGCTCTTCACGGAACGAAAAGTCAGAGGGCCTCCGACTTGTTTGGCCCAAAGAGGTCCCCACAAGGCCCTCCTTTACCTTCTGCTCTGTTGCAATCGCAGCAAAAGGAGAGGCATCGGCGGACAAAACGCAAGTACTAGTCCAATTAGTGCCATTTGCATATTCACTTGTTTGTTGCTCCTTTTGCTGATGGAGTTCCACCGGGGCTTCCCTCCCTGCAGTGCGATTGGATATACGCTTTATATCCTCTTTGCTGAGATCTACACTCAGGCGAACAACGGCACCATCCCAAAGAGCTAGACCCAGCAAACTGGCAAAAGCAGACACGGCCAGCTGTAGGCTCTCTTGCCCCTCAGTTGCTTCTGAGCTGTTAGTACGCAACTCCGCAGCAGCCGCAGAAGCAGCAGAGCCAACGTTCGCTGCCGTCCCAGCAACAGCAGCAGCGAGGGTCCTGTCGTCTGCTGCGTTTTTGTCAGGTAGTGTTAGAAATGTCTCAAGCAATTTTCTGCGTCCTTGCTCAGTTTGGATAAGCGCAGCAGTAAGGGCATCCCTTGGGTTACTGCTGGGACCCATACAGCAGTGCCTTTCTCTTTCTCTGTGTTTGTCCCGTTCCTCAGTCTCCCTGAGTGGGAGATGCACAGAAGATGAGACAAGAGGAGTCAAAAGGAGACAGGACGGCAGGGTTGGCAGCTGGACACAAGACTCCACACACACTCTGCTGCTGAGGGCCCAGCCGTAGAGCCGACGCACGAAGGCCGGTAGACGCAGGCAGCCCAGCGGGACAGCAGCAGCAGCAGCAGCAAGCATCATCGCGTGGCCCCCCTGCCAGCCGCAAATGCCAGCATGCGGGCTCTCCGCAGCAGCTGCTCCCCGCACGCACACAAGGGCCAGGCTCTCTGCTGCTGCGATACTCTGCGTCAGCCGCCGCTGCTGCTGTGCTCTTTCCGTCCTGGAGGGGACAGTCCCCTCCGCTTCTTTCCGGGGCTGTCGACTCCGCAGGGCAGGCAACAACCACTGCTGCTGCTGCTGCAGTGCCTTTACATGCAGTGGGTGCAGCAAACAGATATATGGCCAGGCCGGCTGCTTTCTTGAGGCATCTTTGCCGCAGCAGCAGCTGCAGCAGCTTCGGCTCGACTCTGGCCCCTCAAAAACCCCCAGAAGAGGCCCTGGGGATCGCTCCTGCATGCAGCTTTCTTCCACTAGTTCATCTGGCATCGGCAAAACCCTGAGGATGTCTCTTTTGATTTTGTCGCCTTCAACGCCCTCCACTTCTGAAGGGCTGCCCCGACGAAAGGCAGCTTGTGCGAGGGGCCTCACGTGGAGTTCTGTATTTTGACTAAGAAGAATGAACGGGGGCCTCCCGAGGGGCCCCCTTAAAGGCTTCTGAGGGGGGCCTCGCTCTAGCTCGTCCTCATCCTGTGTCTCGAGCTGCGGTGTACAGACACGCAAGAAGACAGGCTTGGAGCTGCCGCCCACCCACAACGGGAAAGGACGGCCAGGTGTACAGACAGCGAGCTGCTGAAGCACCTGATCCTCTAGAGCCTCTGCATGCAGCTGCACGGCATCCCAGTCTTCTCTGCTCAGGGGGGCCACCTCGACAGAGGGCAAGAAGGGCCCCTTTAAGTGCTGCTGCTGCTGCTGCTGCTGCTCTAGCTGGTCCACGTCTACTGCAGCAACCACTACTCGCTCCCCTTTGGCAAGGCCCAGCAAAGAGCAGAGAGCAGTAGCAACGCCAATGTACACAACATCGTCGAGACGTGTGCCTGCTGCTGCTGCTTCTGCTGTTGCTTCCTTGACGGCCCCGGCATCTGCGGGGCCCAAACCCGCTCCTATCCAGCCTACATACAACTGAGGGGCCCCAACTAATTTTGCTGCCTCAGCGAGGCTTCGAGCTGGGGCCTCTGCCTCTGCAGACAGAGCCTGGGAGCCTGGGGAGATGCCTTGCTGCCGCGGCAGCAGCTGCTGCAGCTGCAGCACACGGCAGAAGTGGCGCTGCTGCTGCCACAGAGAAGAAGCAGAGGGGGGGCCACTAAGGCGTACGAAGCAACTCTGCAGAGATGGCAAGGGCACGATGATGCCCACGTGGTGGCTGCTGACAGGGACAGTTTGCTGCTGTTCCTGTCTGCGCTGCTGCTGGTGCTGCTCGAGATGCGGCACAACCATCGTGCCAGCAGATCTCCTGCAGCATGAAGCTTGGGCAAATGCAGCTGCTAAGACTGAGGGCTCTCAAAGAGGGGCAGATGGCAGAGGGGCCCCTTGAGGGCCCCCCTGGGCTGCGGCGCAGATGTGTCTACTGGGAAATTCCGTTGATTCTAAAGACACATACAGAAGCCATTAAAGCATCTGCAGCTTCCCTGTCAGACCCAGCCCTCGTCAAAGGGCCAACTGAAACCATGGAGATTCTGCGGTGCTGCTGAAACTTGCAGGAAGCCAGGGACTCAGTGCAGACAGGGCTCGCCGGTGTAAAGAGGTGGACTCAAGAGTGAAGCTTCAAAGACTTCAGGAATTGAAGGCGACAAATGCATTGAGGAAGGCCCAATGGGGGCCCCTTGGGGACGAAGGCTGCGGGCCCTGTGAGCGAGGAAAACCCCTCCTTCAATGTGGAGAAAACAGGAATTTCCTGTTTTTAGTTCTTCATAAAGCGTAACAAAGTTTCTTCTTAGTGAAAATATAATATGTAGACTCAAGAAGGCTCCTGAGACGCAGCGGGATAGACCGGTCCCCTCTTGTCTCCTGGTGTTTGCACACTGCATTGGCAACTGGAATTGAGGTGCAACAACTTCAATTGTTGATCTGTGTCTTCAGCGCTACACAGGCTTTATTATTAATTTAAATATAAACACAGAGTCAACCGGTCGTGTGCATGGCATAGATAACTTCGCATGGAAACCCAGTAGTGGCAACCTACACCGCAAGTGTCCCTAGTTGAACTCGCATGCACATGCCTCAACTTTACAGTTGGGCAACATTGCTGAGCAACACCAGCAGCTACAAAAACAACTGCAGCAGGAACGCAAGCTGCTGCTGCGGCAACGCCAAGCTGCTGTGGCAGTTGTGCTACGGGAACCGCACCAGGCCACTGCTACAGCAGATGCAATCAACGCATACATCTGAAAACATATTTGTGAGTTGGTTTCAAGCGGGTCTGTGTCTGCAAAGCCTGGCAGATGTCTCAGCCACGGACTCTGTGTCCTGTGCTTCTTCTGCCTCCCCTGCCGGATTCAACGTGCATGCTCTATGCTCGTTATAATAGCAGATATTCCTCTGTTCCAATTCACAAGCATATTTACACTTGCAAATAAGCATGTGCGGATGTGCACTGATCAGAGAAGGAGCGCTCTCGAACGTATCACGCGGGCTTGAGAATAGTTATTTCCCTGTAGGTAGACTGGAGGGTGCAATTCAGCAGCAGGCTCAGAAGAACGTCTTGCAGATTTTTCATGATACGCACGTTAAGTAGTTTTCGTGCAGAAACATACATACGCTGATATACTACCGAAGGTGTTGAAGGAGCTCCCAACCCATTTGTGGAACCCTTCATGGTGTCTGTGTAGCGCAGAAACTCGAATGCAACTACCAAGGAGAGCACAGACAGAAAAACGGAACAAAGGAATGGTACGGGAGATGGTGGCATGTAAGGCCTCCACATGATTTCACCCCTCCCTGCATGCTGGAGGAAATGCGAGAACTCATTTAACCACCAAAGTTGGAAAGACGTGTGCTGCGCATGCGGTAAGCGCACCCAAGGAATTTTGTAACCGCAGCTTTTCATCTCAGCCCCAAAACCGCTGGGACGGTCGGATTTGCGGTTTCTTGTCATGTTGAAGTGTATCCCCTGGGGATACAGGAAGGTACCAATGAGACGCAACTGATAGCTACAAGTGCTAAAATCAGTTCTGCTTCATGTCTCAGTGGAAGGGACACTGGCCCTCTGGCTTTTGTGCACAATGCCAGGTCTAACTACGCCTGATCGGCAGCCTGTGCCTCAAATCTTATAGTCGAGAATATGTCTTCTTCAGCTCGCGCGCTCGCTGCACGTACTCCCTCTTTGCCTCCAAGGCAGAGAGCTTGTCGCAGGCCTTCCAGGCCTCCTGCAAGAGTCCGCAGCACTCATTAGCAGTCAGAGATGGATTGAGTCTAACTCCCTTGAGCTCCACCAGCAGCAAACGGGGAAAAAAGCACCTTTATAGAGTAACTCTGATCCTCTGCAATCCCAACGCGGCTGCTACATGCCATGAAGCCAGAATGGTAGCTCGCTACTATGCTAGTCTCCTACCCATTTCTTGTATTCTCTGATGTTGAAGCGGGATGGTTGCTTGGCCGTGCATGGGCCAGCTGTGGCTCTCTTAAATAGACCGTAAAACCGCAACTGCTCCTCCACAGAAAGCGGGTTGGGGCCCTTGTAATTTTCAGCCGCTTTCACGAAAGCCTGCAGGTGTCAGCAGACCGTGGGTGAAGAGCAAGAGATTCACTATTTGCGATAAACAAGAGAAAAAAACGGCGAAAGAAACAACGGGACAAAGCTACAGCAAGAAGCTGACACGCATTTCTAATCGGATACAGGCACGGGCGCCGCCTATTCTGTATTCTTTCATCTGTGCACTTGTGCGTCAATGTAAGTTTATGTTCCCAACCCACGAATGAGATTTTTGATTAAAAAAAGAAAAAAGGCATGAGGAAGAAACAAGAGATCGAGCAGAATAAACAAGTGGACATGGGAGCGCCAGAAACATGGCACAACAAAAATTTCCCATAATACAGGACACAAGCGGCAAAAGCTTTGAAAGCCATGAGCAGTCAGATTCCTTAGACCTAAATCCTAAACTTTGAACATTCATCCCTAAACTTTGAATCCGTAGCTCCAAAACCTACATTCATAGATTGACTGACAAATGAATCTTTGCGCGTACCTTGAACTCCGCATCGAGCGTCTGCTCTTCACTTTTCGGTTGTGTCGCTCCGCTCACAACTTGCTGCTGCTTTGACGGCTCCTTCTGCACCTGCCGCTGCTCACTGTGTCGTTCAGCTACTCTAGCCCGCTGCTGCTGTTGTTGCCGTTGCTGTTGCCGCTGCTGCTGCTTTTGCTGTGGCTGCTGCTGCAGTCCTGGCGTGACGGCTCCACCATCAAGGCTTATTGACTCTACCGGTCTTCCGTCTTTCATGTCTATGAGCTTCTGAATTAACTCGCCAGCGTACTTCTCGTGAACAGTCAGCTGCTTGCGACCCTGCTCAGCCTTCGAAGAGTATAGAGGTGGCAATTCAGGTATTGGTCCGCCAAAGGGGCCCGCTTGGGCGTTTTTCTTGGGTACTCCCGAAGAAATGCCTGTTGCTTCCATCGCTGCATTGATTCCGTCCACAGCTGCTGCTACGACCCGCTGCAGCGACAGCAGCAAGTCTTTCTGCAGCCCTGCAAACAAGCCCTTCTCTGGCCTCAAGGCAGAGCTGAGACTCTCAACTGAGACAGAGCCCATGCCAGATGGAGCAGAATCAGCATCAGTTGCGCGCCTGCTGCTGCTGCTGTTGCTGCTGCGTGTCTGTTGCAGGCGCTGAAGGGCGTCGCGAGCTAGTTTCGCGGCCACTATGGCGAAGAGCAGACGAGCCACGCACCCTCTAGTCGATGTGCACTGAGAAGTCTGTTGCTGCTGCTGCTGCGGCTGCTGCTGCGGCTGCTGCTGCAGTTGTTGTTGCTCTATAGGACTCACAGTAAGGTGGGCGTGGCTCTCAGGTGTCTGGCCGTGCTGCTGCGGCTGTGGTGGGCTCAGCTGCGGGACGCAAGCCTGCTGCTGCGGAGGCAGCTGCAGAGGCCATTGTGGCTGCTGCTGCAGCACAACGGGGACGATCTGCGGCTGGGGGGCCACAACTGGGGTGGCTCCCAGGTGCGCAGCTCGCTGTATGCAGCAGGGGCAGGTAGTGCTAGCGCCGGGGGTCGTCTGTTGGTGCTGTTGCTGCTCTTGATTCTGTGGTTTCTGGAGCTGCTGCAGTGCCTTTGCAACAGCTTGTGGGTCGGTGAGGACTTGTGCCTGCTGCGCGAGTGCGTCTTTTCCATTCTTTTTAAGGTGTGCGTACACCTCGCGGGCAATGCGGGATAGCTGCTGGCCTGAGAGCCCCAGAAATAGAGGATCAGAATTCAGAGTCTTCTCTGCGACCATGAGGAGCGCCTCAGGCACAGAGTCCATAGAAACCAAACCTGCCATTGCTGCGGCGGTTGGGTGCTGCGCACTCGTCGGAGTGGGGCGGGACAAAGGGCGTTACCAGGTGAGAGAAAGGAGCAAACAAGCTCAGCTCAAGGTGCACTACGCGGGAATCTGCGCAGCAGCGCTGCTGCGGGTGCCCCTGCCGCTGCTGTTGCTGCTGGTGGGCGCCCGTCTCACTCCTGTCCTCCAGAGTCAAGGAGCTTCGCAGGGAAATAGGAAGCTAATTTGAAGCGACAATGGAGCTAATGGCAAATAAAGGTGTGAGGATGGATAGGGGGAGGTCCGCGTGCGCTGCCCGACGGACACGGGCTGCGTGGAGCCGAAAAGAGAGAGGAAGGACTGGGGTCCTTTGTCTGAGGTGTACGTACAGCGGCCGGTAGACAATGCCCCTCTAGTGCTGTTTATCTAGCTAGATGAGGAGCGCAATGAAACTACACACAGAGACACACACCCGCAAACACAGAGACAGGCGGACCGCACGAGACGGGTCTTTGTGGCCCCAGCCAGCAGCAGGCAAAGAGAGGTAAAAACCTCTATTTCTTCCTTCCCTATCCATTCTGGCTCTCCAAATGCATGCAGATTTACTCGTTCGCTCAATATTGGGCGGGAAAGAACTACAGCTTGCAAACTTACGGCGTTAACGCTCCCGCCTACATGCAAACGCTAGCTAGGGGGCCCTCAACGGTTCATTGTTCGGCCTTGTTGTCCATTCATAACCCCTGTTGGCCTATTTCTTTCTATGTACCAAAGCTCTACCTCTTAATACAAACTAACAAAGCTGGAGGGGCCCCTCTGGGCCGCCTGTAGTCAGTGAAACCCTTGCATCGAGCCACACATCTGGGGCCCCATGAGACCTCGTAAAGCACACTGAGCCTGGCTTACTCCCTGAAAGACTAAAATGACTACATAAGGGCTCTTGGCTGCTGAAGGGTTTCAAAGAGCTGCAGCCAGAGGGGTTCGGGAATTGGGGCCTTGAAGTTAGGGGGGCCACTCGTCCCTCTGTGGATCTCCACATGCCCACAAATCCTTCCCCTTCATGACTGCTGAAAACGCTCCTTCGGGGCCCTCTGGGGGGCTCCAAGTCCTGGGGAGAGCTCCGAACAGCCTGGGCCTTTTGGATGTGTCTCCTGTCGATTGCTGCATTTACTATGGCTCCAACTTCTTCACCCAGCTCAAAGAAAAGCCAGAGGCCCCAGGGGAAGCTTCAAAGTGGCCCCAGGAATCGCCAGGGGAACCCTATAAGGGAGCAGGGGGGCCCTCTGGGGCCCCATCGCAGCACAGAGTGAACAAGGCGAGCCGACTAGGGGCCCCCATGGCAGATATGCTGCTGCTGGTGCCCCAGAATCAGCTGCTGCAGTGGCACAGGGAGAATCTTGAGAAAAGAGTTGATCACTATGCCCCATTTTTCAAGTATCTTTCACGTTTTGGGGGCCCAGAGGCTGCTGCTGACTTTGCTGTGCGCCTCACAAATGCCTCGGGAGTTCCCGTGTTGTTCAACTGCAGAGTCCCGCTGGATCCTAACGGCACTGAGGTGCGCTGCGTTTTGTGTGTTGTGCAAATAAGGATTCTAGTTTCTTGATTCTACCCTAGGTCGGTGTTAATATAATTGCCCCCGTATTGCCCCCGTTGCTGCGGGTGTTGCTGCTGCTGCTCCCAGTGATTCTGTTGCTGCTGTTGCCGCTGTGTGTGGAATCGTTTGGAAGTATTGTTGCTGTTGTCGGGGCCCTGCAGCAAGGGGAACTGCAGTTGACCGGCCTGCTGCTACAGCAGCAGGATCAGCAACAGCTGCTGCTCCTGTTTGTTGTGCACACTTGCTACTGCTGCTGCTGTGGTTGCTGCTGCTCAGCTGTGCAAGTATGGCGTACTGCCTACGGAGGCCTTCATTGAGGATTTGAAATTCTGGGTCCACTTCTACTTTGCTGGCCGCATGCAGAAACCAGTGCGCTGCCCACACAAATTTTGGTTTGGGGGTCCCGCCGTGACTGGGAGGCCCCCAGTCGTGGGGGCCCTCTTTGGCTTAACTTCATGGCTCAAAGTCTTGTTTTGTTTTGATCGGGCTCGGTAGTGTTTGTCTCTAAGGAGCTTTGCTGGCACTCTTTTGTCTGGGCCAGTGGGGAAGTCCTAGAAAACCCAAAGGGGGAACCGTGGCCTTGAGCTATTTAAGGTGTATGTATAGCCATTCGCAGCTGCCTGTCTGGAATCGCCGGGTGTACCTACACCAGGACTTGGTGTGTGCTTTACTTCTATGGATGTGACAGCTGCGCTGTCCATACACCGTAGCGATGCTGGGAACAGGATGCATTTGCACCTGCTGCTGTCACTGGACTGGTGTGGTGTCTGTACACAGGTGCACTTGTGCTGGAATGGTACCGCCAAAGGGCAAGCAGAAGTGGAAGAGGCCCTCCACCTTAACAGGCTCAACGCGGTAAGTTTAGTTTATTGTAATGGCTGCTTTGTTGCAAATCTTTATCCTCCTCTGTCTTCTCTGCTAGGTGGAACCATTTCGTCCATCTTCTACCTGTTGTGACTTCGTTGGGGTCTTTGCCCTTTCCCAGCTGCTCTGCAGGTGTCCCTCCCTTCTTATGTATGTGTTTTCTTTGTCGCACATGCCTTCCTGTGTGTTTCTCGTCTTGGTGATTTGCCTGTTTCGGTGTCTGTCTAGGGCCGTCTGTGTTTGTCCTTTTGCTTCTGTCTCCATTTTGACGGCTTTTATATGCTTGCTTCTTTCCCTTGTTGCATTTGTATCTCCATTTGCATTTCCTCCTTTCAAGCCCAACATCCTTGTGTGCATGCTGCTTTCAGCTTCGCCTCGCCTTGCTGCTGCTGCCTGAAAAAGTGACCCTCGATTGTCTTTTGGCCGAAATCGTTTCTCTGTCTTATATAGGTGGGTAAGCCTTTCTCCCACCCGTCTTACATTGCGGTTTTCTTATATGATAGATGATATATTAGGGTTAAGGGTTATGCATGAGACATGGGCCATGAAAAGCCACAAACTAGAATGCAGGCATGGATGATACCCTCATTGTGTGGGCGTCTGCACGCAGGCGACTTTAGAGTACTCGTCGCGGAGGACCCCAACAAAGTGCAGGCCATTGTAAGTTCAAAAGCGTCTTGCTGGTTCAAAATAACCCCAGAAGGGATTTTCAGAAAGCCTGGAAAAGCCCTGTAGGGACATCTTAGAGGTCCCGCGAAACCCCTTTTAAACGCTAAAGGGGGTTCCTTACTACTTCCTTAGCACAGTCTAGGTTCTCATGGGACTCAGCTGATTACCCAGGGTTTGTTCAGGCCCCTAGGGTTCTTCGTATGAACTTATGAAGATTTTCTAGAAATATTGAGGGCCCTCTAGATACCCCTTGAGGAGCAAGTCACCGACCTCCGCCAACGGCAGTGGCGGATAATTTGACCTGTTATGAAGGAAGGATGCTTCCAGCTGCTATTTGTTTGTGTCTTCTGCATTTAGGTGAGAGGCCAGGCGAAGGAGCTTTGTGCCATTTATCTCCCACTGCTTTTACAGATTCCCTCAGTGCATGTTGACCAGGATGGCCCTCACGGCTTGGCCCAGAGGCCCTTCACTGGATTTCAAAGTCACACACAACCGCCGGGAGCAAGAGCCCCCAAGGACACAGAAAATGGAAGTGCTGAGGAGGGAGCCGCACTCAGCAGCATCCTTATTAGAGTGAGGCTCAAAGGAGAAAACACAGAAAGGCGTAATGTTTACAGTTCCAGATCTAGGTCTTTGAGTTTAGACCTTGCGTGCGTGACTCTGTGCAGCAAGACAGGTCCCCTGCTGCTCTCGCAGCGCTCTACAGCCCGCTGCCCCTCTCTTTTCGCCGAAGAGCCGAAGCTTGTGAGTCCAAAAAGTAAAACTTACGGCGAAGAGCCCAAACCTCAACCTGTCAACATCTACTAGCCTCGTACTAAACGAAGTTACGCAAAATCGTCTGCGCTGATTGCAGCACTGGGAACTTTGCCTCATGTCTTTTCTTTATTGTCCAACCGCGGGACATCTGATGGATCACAAAGGACACGCACCCAAGGCTTCAGTTCCCCTGGAGGCTCGATAGATAATGAGCCCCCTGAGGGCCCTTTGCCTAGAGGCCTTTCTGGGAAAGTTCCACCTCCAAGAGCCCTTAGGTTGGGCCTTCAGCAGCTCGTGTTCTGGCCCACAGTGAAGTGCAGTTTGAAGAACTCTGTCTCTGCGGGAATTTCAAATACAGTGAGCTCCGTGCAAGTGTGTATGCCGGGGTCATGTGAGAGCAATGCATGCAGCGGCTTGCTAGTTTTTCCGCGCCTTCGCCCGCATTCCCGCTTGTTTCAGTTATTCTCTTTGCATGCTTGCTTGCCCAAGTTTGGCTGTTCGTTTGCGTCCGCCTCTTCTTCACACCCAACTACCTGTTTAGGCGTAATCGTTACACAGGGCTGGGTACAGGTTTCTGTAGAGCCAATAGAGGCACGGGAGTGTGCAGCTCTTCAGAAGCGATCCCTCATGGATAGGCCTACGAGCAAACGTGCATGCATGTGCATGCATGCCCTTGTGCGCTGTTGGGGCTGCTGCCTGTTTGCAGGTGCTTTACAGCTTGCGCAAGCTCGGGAAACGTCTGGGACTGTGAGGCAGCAGGCCACTTGCTCCTATAGTGTTCTATTTCATCTATCCACTGCCTATCTCAGTTTCATTTACCTGTCTGCTGTGCGCATGGAGGCAAACGCAGCACTTGTCTAGCTCGAACTTCAGCAAAAAGCCTGTGCTTGCATGCGGTTCACACAAGCACGCATACCAACATGGACACATGCAAGCATGCCTGTGCTCATGCACTGTACCATACATACATGCATACGCAGACGCACTCATACGCGTATGCACGTATGCATCTGTAGCCACAGAGAATGAGTTTCAGCTCAACTATTTGTCAAGTACGCATGCGTGCAAATTTACTTGTACAAGAGTTCATGACTACGGAAACGCAATTACATCTGTGGATACATGAACGCACATTTAACTGTAGTATTGCGTAGATGCATATACTTAGGGATGCACACATACTAGCCTGTGGGTATGTCTGGAACGGTACTTTCCTTGGAAATATAAGAGTTTCAAATTGGCCCGGCTATCTCCCTCTAATATAGCCTACATACATGTACTTATGGATGCACACATACGAGTCTGTGGGTATGTCTGGAACGGTACTTTCCTTGGAAATACAAGCGTTTCAAATTGGCCCGTGTATCTCCCTCAAAAGGCACTTCATTAGTATGAATGTCACATTTGCGGTGCACATGCAGCCGAGAGCCTCTGCGTGCATCTGTAGTGCAGCGGAACGACAACAAACAAAACGAAGAAAAATGGAAAGACAGGCTGCCGCTAAGCGCGCGCATCCATCTTGAAAAGGAGCGCATACTGCCCAGCCTCTAAACGCCCGCCTATAGATAAACCAAGGGGCTAAGGAATACACAAAATCGGGCCAGTGCAGAAGCACCGCACGGGCCGACCTAAGTACATATGTTGTTGCATCTGGCTATTTGTATAAAAGCGACAGAAGCAGAGGCAGCCACCGCACTCCTCTGCACTTCTGTTATTAACTGTCTGCGCACAAAATTTACCGCCGTCCTACATCTTCGGTTCACTCGAGAACTAAACACCTTACTTACACACAGCATGACGCCTCTGTTCCAGGTGTACTGCTTTTGACTGCCCCCAATTCAACTGCGTGGGACTGGGGAGTGTCTGTACATCCGTCGTTGTTGCTGCTCCTTGTACTGTTGCTGCTAGCTGCACGCGGTTGCTGCTGGGAGGCTTCGCTGCCCGCTGATTGCGGGGCTGTCTGTCCTTCCGGGCTCTTGGCAGTTGCAGAGGGTGGGGTTGTTGTTTTGGTTTGGTTGCAGTGACGATCCAACGCACTGATGGCCGCAGCCGCCACAGCGCCCACAACAGGCACCACAATGAACGAAACTAAATAAGGCACAGACGAAATGTCCTCGGGCGCAAAAAACGCAAAAGAAAAAGGAATTCCTGAAACAAGTGCTGCTACCACTCCACACAGCGAGAGCGCCACAGCTGCACAGCCCAGGCCTCCTAGGAACCCCAAGGCCGTGATGCTGGGGTGCACAGTCACCACGAAGGGGCCAGCGAGCACGGCACAGAGGAAGTTTGAAACCATATAGAGGGCCAAGAGGGAGACCTGATAGAGAGCCAGCAGCACTGCTGGGACGTTGACTACCACCATGGCCAGTCTTGCCCAGTTGAAAGACAGGTGGAATTTTTCCAAGTCCTTTCCTATGAGCGACACAATGGCCGCCTGGTACGTGTCCACGCTTGAAGTCACACAGGCCACGGCTAGCACACACAACATCACCACCCACTCCACAGGCAGCCTCTCCGCAGCAAAGGTGAACAGCGAAGCCCCCATCAGCGCCTCCTCCCGCGTGAGACACACCAGCCCCGCAGTCCCGAACAGCAGCACAGAGCCACCCACCAGGACCGCAGCCAGCACAAACCCTCGCTGCATGTCCCCCACAGACCGCGCGGCCCACACTCGCTGCCATATGCCCTGATCGCACAGAAACACGGGCCACACGGACAACACCAGCACGGCCCCGGCCACGGCGCACTCGCTGGGGGTGAAGCTCACGGCCTCGATCTCGAGGCCCTCTAAGGTTGGGGGGGCCCAGGGGCCCCCGGGGCCCCCCTTGCATATCAGGAATACGACGAAGGGGATGAACAGGAAAACAATCACCACCGCCTGCACCACGTCGCTAATAATGCAGCATTTCAGCCCTCCCAAGAGCACGTAAAGAAGAGGAATCACCGCCACAAGGATTACTGCACACGGCAGGGGGAAGGCTCCGCGGGTTAAGGCCTTCATAGACAAGCCCACAGTGGTGAGTTCTGAAGAAAGGCTCACGAACATCATGCTCAGCGACACGAGCGCTGCTGCTACTTGGGAGGGCAGGCCGAAACGCTCAGCCAGGAAGTCGCAGCTGCAGAATGCGCCCTTGCTGCTGCTATAGATGCGGGAGGAGAGCCACAGCAGCAGCAAATAGGGTAAGCTGCTGCTCAGGGCGTACCCAATAACCCCAGGCCAGCCATACAGCGCCCCCGCCACCGGAGGCAAGTACAACACCCAGTTGCCCATGAAAGAGGCATACAGCGAGAGCCCTAGGGGAACCCAGGTCACCTCTTGCCTTGCCGACAGAAAGGAGGGCCCGGGAGAGAGCAGGCGGCCCAAAGACTGACGCCGTGCCCCATAGAGCACAAATAGACCAAATCCGAACACGGTTGTTAGGAACACACCGTACGCCCAGTTCAGGCTGAGGGCCCCCATCGTGCAGAACTGATGGAGGCACCAGACGGACGCATATAAAGAGCCTATGGGCCCTCAGGCCCCCAAAAAATAAGGACTGGCTTACGGTCACGGCGCAGAAAAACTCAGGTGAAGCACAGCGGGGGCCCCTAGCCGTGCCCACAGGTTACTGGGGCTCACCGCCGAGGCTGGGGAGCGCCCAGCAGCTAATTGAGTGGAGAGGACTCTCAGGGCGACGGAAAGAGTTGAAAGATGAATACAGAAAAAGCGGAGGTCCTCTTGTGGCGTAGCGGTGGAGGGTCACTTGGGTGTTCTGCCTGTTCACCGCGCTCCCCTTGGTCGCTGCCCTTAATACTCCACTAAATCAAGACAAGTCCAGGAGAGTCAAAAAAAAACTTAAGGTCTGAACCAACACAACCAAAAGGGACAAAAACAACCGTATAGACGCCCGTTTCACGTGCACAGGCAAACCTCAAAGGCCAACAGTAAGGCCGCCGCAAGGGGGAGGGCGGCCCCACACCACTAACGGCCTTTGTAGGGGAGAGGACTCCTCTTCCTTGGAAGGCACAGCAAAATCCGTTTGCGTAAACATTAAAAGTTGTGTTTTTAGGGGATATCTACGTCTGCTGAGGAGCAGAAATGACACGGAAGAGGCAGGAGCTGCGCTGCCGGCCACTTCTACGTCCAGCTCGCCTCGATTTTCAGTCTCCGTAGAGCTAAAAATTTGCATTGATGGAGCTCAATTCATCCTAAGATGCATATATGGCATTGCACGCTATATTGAGACCCGCGCATTTGGTAGCTAGCTGCAACTAGCTGCATTATTGCCGGAGGCAACTACTGCGGAATGCGGATATCTTCAGCCCGTCTATGCATGCTAGGTGAGTGCAGTAGCATTCCCAATATATTGCACACCTTCTATTCTGTCTACAGGGGCTCGTTAAAGTTTTATAGGAGCTGAGCTCGCTCGCCCCTGTGTCCCAGCCATACATACAACTCTGCAGTTGACACTGCGCGGCCTGTCTGCGGGAAAACAACTATGAGTTGCCGCTTCTATCCTTATTAGACATTTGGAAGTGCAGCACAGCGTACAAGACACTTCCTTTGTGCCTTTGGCCACTGGCACGAGATAGCGGACCTTGAATTAAGAGACAGAAAGATGGCAAGCTACAGACGCGGAATTGCTGCACTGCAGCTATCGACACCATCTGGCTGCTGCCGCTGCTTCTGCATCAAGGCGGAGCCTTTAGATACAACCAAAGCATCTTTGCATATTGTTTTGCCGCCGCTCCTATGTCGCTTTTGTCTCCGTCTGTTTCTGGCCCAATATCCTGCCCCTTTTCACTTTGATGTAATTTCGTGCTCTAATGCGGGGCTTTTAGGTATAGAGAAAGTCTATTACTTGCCTCTCTAAAGTGCAGGTACTCGCCAGGCCCTTTGTGGTTCAGCGCAGGAAGAGCACCTTCCTCGATTGAAACAATTAGCCCGTCGCTTCCTTCCTTTAAAGCCCCAGAAAGCCCCGAAAAATCAAACTAAGACCTACACGCTTTGCACGCGTGCACGCATGCATGCATGCGCAATGCCTCCATGCATATTAGCAGACATGCGCAGAATTCGCGCATCTGCGAATATGCAGCCCCATCCTTGTTGCACACAACTATGCATGTACGAAGGACGTGGCCGTTTACACTTACATTGTTCATGACAATATGTGACAATATGTGCACGAACGAATAAATAGATAAACGTACTTTTATTGCTCATGCACAGCAAAGGCATATAAGTATGGATATGTACCCATACATATAGGAACACATATAGGTATCTGCAAGTAAAAGCAGATGACCAAACGAGCTCGCTTTTGCAGTTTGTTTCCTTTTTGCTATTGCTTTCTCTCGGCTGTCCGGCCTCTGCGTCAAAAAGCCAAGTTTTTGAACTTCTTGTTTCGCTTTGTCTTGGCAGCCGAACTGCCTTCACCTGAGGCTGCCGCATCCCCTGGAGCCTTCGTCTTTTTCCTAATGGAAATGGAGCCTGAAGTCAACGAGAGAGAGACACAAACAAGAATTTAAAAAGCAAAAGAATGTCAGCAACAGCAACAGTTACAGAAACAGAAACGGGAGCAACCACAGACGAGAACGAAAAGCACACATCAAGGTAGGGGGGAAGATAAGAACAAAAAGAGGAACTGGAGAGAATATAAACGGGAACTAAAGAGAGAATAAGAGAAGATAAAACGCAGAAATTGCGTCAGGTGGCACAGTTAGTGAATTCCATCTTTCTTACCCGACACCTCTCTTCCCTTTGCGGCGTCCTCAATGTCCTCTGGTGTAATGTGACTGACACCGTATTTCTGCAGCACCCCAACAGGTCTTTGCGCCTTTCCCAGTGTTTAATTTGCCGTTTTCTTGGGTGTTCTATTGGGTGCAATTTGCCGTTTCCTTTTGCAACATTGCCTATTGCATCTGCCTCTTTTTCAATATATCATTACTCCTGCTGCTCCTTGACAATTATATGACTGCAGCCAGTGCAGCCTGTCGCTGTCCTGCCCCCGCGTCATCAGCCTTAGCTTTATAGTACTCTTATTTTTGTGTCTTCTCTATTCTTGCTGCACTGCTCATCTGCCTCCTGTCTGTCTCGTTCCTTGCTTCTGCCTATCTGCCTCATCTGTCGCTATCAGTCTCATGTTAACTTCCTTCTGTCTACCCTTTTCCGCAAGTTTCACATTTCCGTGCTTACCTCGAGCGCATCTGGACCCAGCGCCTCTTTGATTTGCTGCAGCTGGATACTTTGCTGCTCCAGCACTTTTGCTGCATCTTTCTGCTGCTCCTCCGCCAGGGGGCCCTGGGGTTCAGCCCCCCCCACTAACTCCCCTTGCTTGATGGCCACTCTCCGGGCGGCGAAGGCCGAGGCCTCTTCGGCCTCCAAAAGATTCTAAACAAACACAATGCACGCACAGGTGGCCCATCCTTGCATGCAGACTCTGCGGGGCTTCTACCTAGCTCTGCAGCCTCCTGGCCAGGGGCAGAAGCAGGCAGCTCAGCAGGCAAAAAGGACAGAGAAGAGAAATAAATGAATATAGAAAGAGCAACAGCTCAAGAAAATTGAGTGTTGGGGACTCCCCAGAGAAAGCAGACTGAAATCGGCTGCGTGCGAGGCAGAAAGCAAGAAAAGGTAAGACGGAAGAAGTGGACAAAAAGAAACAAGGAAATGGTGTAACAGAGAAAACGAATACACAGCCAAATAAGGCAATGACAGAGGCAGACAAACACCAGCACAGACATGGCAAGAGGCTATTGCAGAAAAAGACATAAAGGGAAGAAAATAATGAAGAAGACACAGAAGCAGCAGAATCCCTCAAAAACTTGAAAGCAGCCCAAGAAGCTGCACAAACGCACATGCAGGTGCTGGTGGATCTTCACTATTGCCTTGTTAAAAAGCGCCAAAATCTGATGGACAGGAACTTTGAATTCCTCAGCCAATGTGTCAGCTGCAGCACCACACCAACCACCTCAACTCCTTAGCTCTAAATCAAAGTCCCCAAGCTGCTGCTGCGGCTCAGTGCATGCATGCGCAGCACGCAGTCTTGGGAGTCTACTATTCACAAGAGGCTGAGCCTTCCGCTTCCACCCCCCCCGGCGCCTCCGTTTGCCGCCACTGTTGCATGTATGCACGCATGCATGCATGCATGCATGCATGCATGCACCGTGAGGTGTCTAGGGAGACAGCAGGCGGCAGGGGCCTAGGCTGTGCACGTACGCTGTCTCCTCTGGCCGCCCATGCCCAGCAGCGCAGCTTCTTGCAAAAAGGAAAGCTGCAGGGGCCTCAGCCTTTGGCCGAAGTACAAAGTGCAGAGCAAAGGCACCAAGTCCGTTATTAAGGCCAAGTCCGCGAGCTGCTGCGCGTACTTGTGCAGACGACTCAAGTCGTGGCGAGTTAAGAACTGGAACATCTGAGAAAAACGAAATGAAAACAGAAGTATAAACAACAAGGTGAAACGCAGCGGCGCCCCCAGTAGACAGAAGCAAAGAAACGCCCTGCAGCGCACGAGCCTCTGTATACTCCTCTAGACACTTTGTCTCTTCCACTGCTTTTTTTCTTTTCCACTCTATCTCTTTGTCTCTAAATCCCCGTGCTAAACAGCCAAGTCGGCTATTTGTCAGGATTCGTTTTTTGTTCTTCACTCTTTGCTGCGCCGCGGCCCGTGGCCCGTGGCCCGCGCAGTGTACGTACACCGCAGAGGCTCACCGTCTCCGCGTTCAACGCAGGCAAATAACCCTCTGCTTCCTGTCCCCTCGAGCCCGCAAGTGTGGCGAGGGCCAAGGAGACAGACATGTCTCTGAAGGGCCCCCCTGTGAGTTCCACAAACCGCCTCCGGAAGTCTGCAGCGAAGAGCTGCACCCAATGGCCGTCTGCTGCTTTGCTGCGCTGCAGCAGCAGAAACAGCCACAGCCCGTCTCGCCTTTTGTGCAATTCTAGTTCTTTTTTGCTGCCTCTTTCGCCCTATCCTGCACTGGCTGTTGTCTTCTTATCAAGATCCACTCTAGTTGCCCTGTCCCTGTCCCCTCTTGCTTTCATTTTCTGTTTCTTCTGTCTCTTTTTATCTTGCGGCGCCTTGTCATTTTCTGTTTCTCGTCTACTTCCTAGCTACTTCGCGCGTCTATCTGCGCTGCACGGAGTGAAGCTGTTCTGTGGACTCGACTTTGCATCATCAGGGTTTAGGGTTTAGGGTTTAGAGTTCTCTACACTTGGTGTCTTACCGCCTCCGCCTCGTCAATGCCGTCATAGAGCCCCCGTTTGTTCATTTCCCCCTGCTGGGCGTCCGAACTCGCTGCTGCTTCTGCTGCTGCTGCTGCTGCTGCTGCTGCTGCTCGGGCGGGCGCAGCTGGCCGCAGCATGATGCAGCTGTGTTCGCCCGTGACGTCGTTGGGCTGCTGCCTCAAGTAGACAGGCACGAAGCCCCTGCGGGCCCAAAAACGCAGCAGCTGGTCCGTAAGGCCAAAGGCAGTGCCCAAGTAGTCCACGGCGAAGGGGGGGCAGCTGCGGGCGCAGGGGCAGAGCAGCGGGGGCGTGGTCTGTGGCCGCAGCTGTTCGGGGGTGACGGTAAGTATGGAAAGCGAGTCGGCGGCTTTGCCCTTGTCTTTTTTCCCGTTTTTGGGCTTTTTCGCTGTCTCCTTTGTCCCCTTTGACCCCTTCTCTTCTTCTTTTGCTGCTGCTTCCTCGGGCTCCTCAGGCTCTGTCTCCTCGTCACTTGTCCCTGCTTCCAAGTCCAAGTCTTCGATGTCTGCGTCCATTTTGGACACTTTCTCCTTCCTTTTGGACCCCTGCTGCTGCTGCTGCTGCTGCGCGGCCTTGCGCTGCGCAAAGGCAGCAAACTCCGGGGGCTCCTGCAGAGACAGGCCCTTGCCCTCGAAAAAGTCTATCAGCTGCTGCAGCGCAGCAGACCCAAAGCCCATTCGCTGCAGACTCGGGTGCACAGCAATTCGCACAATGCGCGCCTGAGACAAGAAACACACAACAATGTGCTCGAGCAGTCCAGCCACTGCCTGTGGCAGCAGCAGCTGCAACCGCTGCAGCATTAGAGCTGCAGCGGCAGCAAAGCTGCAGCAGCAGCTGCAACCGCTGCAACATTAGAGCTGCAGCGGCAGCAAAGCTGCAGCAGCAGCTGCAACCGCTGCAGCATTAGAGCTGCAGCGGCAGCAAAGCTGCAACAGCAGCTGCAACCACTGCAGCATTAGAGCTGCAGCGGCAGCAAAGCTGCAACAGCAGGAACGCCGCTGCTGCAATATTCTCCTAGCTGCAAGAGTCTCCGGAAATATGCCTCTTCGCCGCTTTTATGCGAACTGACAAATGTAGCTGAGGGCCTAGATTTCCGGGTTTATTTCTAGTAATTAGGGTTTGAAAAGAAGAGAATAGGAATATAAAATTGACAACTCACCCCGGTGAGAAGCCCCACGTCTTCGTCTCCAAAGGCTTGCGCCAAAGTCCAAGGAAGCAAATCCCCTGCAGGACGGAGGCCTCTCCCGAGGGCCTCTCGAATGGCTCCGCGGGTGAGCGAGCCCTCAATCGCAACCTGCAGCAGCAACAGCAGCAGCAGCAGCAGCAACAGCAGCAGCAGCAGCAGTGGTAATGAGGCCTCTGGGGCCGCTGTTTTTGGCTGGCAGGCCGCGGAGAGGCCGGGGGAGGGCCCACCTGTATGGCGCAGTAAATGTCGGGAAGTGTGTCTTGTTGGTCTTCGACAGTTTTGAGAAAAACAAAAAGAAGGTGGGCCGGGGCGTCGGCCATCAGCTGCAGGTCGTTGGGGCTGTTCTTGTAGTGCGAAGAAACAAAAAGGCCCTGCAGCCGCTGCAAGAAGGCCTCGCTCGCCGGGTGGTAAGAAAACAAAGCGTCCCTGTTCACCAAGTACAACGCGCAGCTGCTCGCCGCGGGCAGCCCCTTCTGCACACAAACGGCCCCACACACTCGCCTGCAGCTTTGGGGCCCCAGCGGGCCCCACAAGGGCCCACATGGGGTGTGGTGGGGTGGGGCCCCCTCCCCAAACCTCACCTGGGGGCCCCCATGTCCTCTGGGGGGCCCCCAGGTGAGTGTAGCAGACCCCGCCCAGGGTGGCAGTTGGGGACGGGGGCCCCTCCAGGCCCTCTGGGGGGCCCCTAAGTGAGTGTAGCACACCCCACCCAGAGTGGGATTTGGGGAGGGGGCCCCTTCAAAGCCCTCCGGGGGGCCCCTAAGTGAGTGCATATGTGAAAGCATGCATGCGCAGAATGCATTTGCTGCTGAAGAGCCATGGGCAGGCTTGAGAAACGCCCGAGAGAAACACACGCAGAGACTGGGACAAGGGAGCACACAAGCCCTAAACCCTAAACCCTAAACCCTAACCCTACACTCTGGGAAGCAAGGCACTTGGGAACATGCAGCGAAAACGACAGACGAGCAAAGAGACAAGTGAGAAAGGGAAAAGAGCAGAAGTTCAAGACAAAGAAAGACTGCCTCCCGCAGCCCCAGCAGCAGAACTTTTCTGAGAAAGAATGAGCAAAAAAGACAGCTTTCTCACTGCAGGGTCCAGAGCTGGAGCCGTTGTGGAGTCCAAACAAAGCAAAGAATGCAGCCACTGTTCAATTGCGTCTCCTGCTGCGTAGCGAATGGGGACTTCGAGAGAAAGTTCCTTCAGCTGCCGCTGGGGTGTACGTACACCGTGGCTGCCAGGGGGGCCCCTCAACCCCCGCCGCAAATCCGCCAACAACTTCAGAGAAAGAGATCTCCCCGTGCCTTCATATCCATTTACTGTTGAGGACAGCAATACAATGTAAGGGCCTGCGTGCAGACAGAAGAACCCCAAACCCTAAACCCTAAACCCTAAACCCTAGCTGTAGGCGGGAAGCGAAGCTGCTCAGCAGCTCGGGGGCCCCAAGCCCTTTCGTTTCTGCAGCCGCGAGCGCTCTGGGCGCAGACCCAAACCCTACTCTCCAAGCCCCAAACCCTAGACTCGAGCCCATCCCCAAACCCTAAACCCTAAACCCTAAACCCTGCAACTCGCCGAGAAGCTTTTTAATGACTGGCAGCGGTATGGAGGCCGCCTCATCCACCACGAGAAGGTCCGCGTTGATGAGGCTTTGCTGCTCGTGGGGAAAAATGAACTGTACGCGCTGTCTGTGGTGTCTGTACACCTCAATTCGAGTCACCGCCTTCACAGACTGCTGCTGATATAAACCCGAAGCTGCTGCTCCAGACAAGTCCGCGCCTTTGGGGCCCCGGCCCCCAGTCCCCACAGTCTCCAGGGTCACTTGGAAGTCCCCTTGCTCCCGCAGGCCCATGGCCTTCAGGCCCTGCAGCAGCAGCAGCAGCAGCAGCAGCAGCAGCAGCGGTGAGACGGGAGGCGCAGCAGCTGCGGCCAGGGCCCACCGGCGCACGCGCGTCCCACACGCGGCGCCTTGTCGCGCAGCTGGCCTCAAACCCTAAACCCTAAACCCTAAACCCTAAACCCTAGAAGGCGCAGTGGAGCTCTCTGCTGCAGCGCTAACCTTTTGGACGAATTCGAAAAGGGTTTGGACATTTTCTGCCTGTGGGGCGCAGATGAAAATGCTGCTGACTCCCAGGGAGACAGCAGCAGCAACAGCGAGCCCGAGAGCAGCAGACTTGCCCCTGCCTCTGCCTGCAGTGAGGGCCACGGTCTGGTAGCCTTCGCCCCCCTGGGGCCCCCCCTGGGGGCCCCCCTGGGGGCCCTCCTGGGGGCCCCCCTGGGGGCCCTCCTGGGGGCCCCCCGAGGAGTGGCTGCTGCCGCGGAAGCTCTTGCAGCTGCAGAGGCAGTCGAGGAAGGCGAGGACTGCGTTGGCTTGGTCTTTGGTTGCGCAGAGTTTGACGAGGGCGTCGAGAGGAGGGGCGTGTTGGACTTTGTCTTTGATGAGCTGGAGCTGCTGCTGCTGCTGCTGCTGCTGCTGCAGCAGCAGCGGGTCGGGGGCCCCCACGCCGGGGGCCCCGTTGATGGGCAGCACGTTGAGCTCGTCGTCGAGAATGAGACAGCGCCGGCAGTCCACGAGAGACAAGAGGAAGCGCTGAGAGAACCTGGGGCTGAGTTGGGCGGAGTCGCGGGCCTTGAACCTGGCCTGGAAGTCGAAGGCGAGGCGGTGGAGCTGCTGCAGCTGCTGCTGCTGCTGCAGCAGCAGCAGCACGAGGCCCCCCCCCGCCACCGTCTCCACCGCGCGACACAACACGTTCGCAGACAAACCCCCCAAGTCCTGCAACACGCACAGCCCGAACGTGCAGCCCAGCACTTGCTGCGAGTCCGCGTAGTGCACGTAGCGAATTTGCGCAGAAGACACGAAGAGCTCGAAGGGGTCTTCGACGTTGGGGTCGTAGAGCCCGCGGCTGATCTTCTTGCGCAGCAGCCGCTGCCGCTTGCGGCGGTGCGAGCTGAAGCCCAGTTCCTTTTTGTAGCACCAGAGCACAGCGGGCTTCTGGGGCCCCACACTGCTCAGCAAGTAGTACAAGTTCACCACTTGTTCTCTGCCGCGGTCCCCCACGATTACGAACAGGCCCCGCTCGCCGCTCGCCACGCAGCTCTCCACCAGCCCCCGCACCACGCGGTCCACCTTCTTCCGCATCGCCACCCCCAAACCCTAAACCCTAAACCCTAAACCCTAACCCTGAGGCCTGGCCCCGCAACGCCGAGCACGCCCAGGCCCGCGCGGACAGCGCGCCGATTCAGCCAGAGCAGCGGAGCGGAAACGCTAGCCAGCAACAGCTCAGGCGCGGGCTCACGGATTCCAACGAGGGTCTAGGGTTTAGGGTTTAGGGTTTGCGGCTCCAGACTGCATGCCTTCGGGGCTAAAGCTGGCCCTTGAACTTTGTTAATTTCGCTTTTTCTTCCGGCGGGTGCCCGCTGAATGCTGAAGAAAACAGATCGCCGCCAGCGAGGCCCCAGGCCTTCTAGCCACAAACCCTAAACCCTAAACGCTAAACCCTAAACCCTAGCCTTCTTATCCCAACCAGAGGGCATGCACGGATCAAATGTTCACAAAAATTAAAAATTGATCCGCTAAAACTATGAAATATGCAGAAGACCCACACGGCCACTGCTGTGGGGCAGGGGCCCCCACGCCAACTGGGGGGCCCCTACGTACCAGGGGCCCCTGTGGGGCCCCAAGGGTACACCTTTATCCTTCATATTCTGTCTCTGGGATTAAAAAGGAAAATAAAATGCTCTGAGCCCACAAATCAGCTTTCGTAGCGCATGCGCTTCAAGTGGATACACTTTCGCCCTTTTCTCCAGAAACCCTCGGGACCCTGAGAACCCACAGGGGGCCCCTTGGGGGGCCCTCAGGGGGCCCCCGGGGGCCCCTCAGGGGGCCCCCGGGGTTCCCTGTGAGACGAGAGCACTTCAAGTTCCTTCTGTGCAGAGGCTGCTTGCTGCAGCAAGCTATATGTTGCTGCTGCCCGCCGTGGCTAGCTGCAGCTAGCTAGGGGTCGCTGAAAAGAGCACGCCACAGCTAGCCACAGCTAATCACAGCTTGCTAAGGACAGTGCTGCACGTAGCAGCTCATCTTTGTATGCGCAGAAGGACTGGCAGATGTCACAGTTAGCTACAGCAAGCCCTAGCTAGCTACAGCTAGCTCGAGCTCCCGCTGCAGCTAGCACCCTACAGATACAGCTGCACACAGGCACCTAGCCATTTCTGTCTTGTCCTGTGGGGCCCAAGAGGCCAACGGCTTGCTGCTAGCAGCCCCTCTGTGCATTCCTTACTGGCTGCTTGCTGCCCTTTGGCTGCAAAGAGTTCGGGTTGGCTAGCTACATAGGCAGCTAGCTGGCTAGCTAAGTAGCTAGCTGCAAGGCAAGTATCCTATGAAGGCGCTGCAGTTTCCCTCTGAGCCATTCAGCCCCTTCTTTGTAGCCAGCTAGCCAGCCTGCTCCTCAGCCAGCCAGCCTCGTCCCCAGCCACTGGGCTGGCTAGCTGGCTAGCTAGTCAGCCCGTCCAGCCGGATAGCTAGCTCACAGCCACAAGGCTGCGAGCTAGCTGTGAGCTAGCTGCGAGCTAGCTGTGAGCTAGCTGTGAGCTAGCTGTGAGCTCGCTGCGAGCTCGCTGTGAACTAGCTGTGAACTAGCTGTGAGCTAGCTGCCAGCTAGCTGCCAGCTAGCCGCCAGCTAGCTGTGAGCTCAAGGATCTACACTTGTAAAGCGGAAAACGTAAGGAGATAAAAATCGGGGGGCCCCAGAGGGGGCCCCCCGAAGGCTCCCCTGGGGCCCCTGGCCCTAGTTTGGGTGTCTCCCTGTGGGGCCCCGCGGCCTCTTGGGGCCCCTGCAGCCCCTGCTCTTTGCTGCTGTTTTCATTAAGACTATAAAGATTAAAACTGCATTGCTGCTGCTGCTCCTGCTGCAGTGTACAGACAGCTGAAACGCCGGCTTGAGGTGTCACTGCAGCTACGCAAAGCCCCATCAATTAAGAACAAGATGAGCCCCTGCATGCGCCGTCAGTGTACAGACACTGTCTCCAAGCTATTACTGCTGCTGCTGCTGCTGCTGTCGCTTTCGCTGCTGCTCCTCCTGCTACTGCTGCTACTGCTGGTACTGCTGCTGCTGTTGCCGCTGCTGCTGCCCCTGCTGCTTCTGTTGTCGCTGCTTGTGCTGCTGCCGCTGCTGCTGCCGCTTCTGCTGCCGCCTCTTCTGCTGCCGCTGCTGCTGCTTCTGCTGCTGCTGCTGCTGCAGCTGCTGCTGCTGCTGCGGCTGGCGGCAGCTAGTGGGAGGTGGTGCGGACGAGGGGCACGTAGATAACGCTGGTGATGTAATTAACAGAAATTTCTCCTTCAGAGTTTTTGGAAATAACAACAAGAGCCTGGCCTCCTCCTAAATCGGAATTAATTCCCAAGTCCCTTTCGCCCAAACCCTCGAGGGTTATGCGGCCCCTGCTGCACTGCACGGGGATCACCATTTTGCCCCCAGCAGCAAGCTGCTGCAGCAGCGCAGCAGGAACTGCAGCAGCAGCAGCACCCACGTGGATTGCGTGGTAGGGGGCCCCCCAAGAGGGGCCCCCCGCCCAGCCGTCTCCTTTGATTAGCTCAAAGTTGGGGCTCGACAGCAGCGACGGGAAGGCAGCAGCCACGTTCCTGCAACACCCAAACCCTAAACCCTAGGCCGCAAACCCTAAACCCTAAACCCTAAACCCCGGAGCCAGCAGCTCTACACAGAGGGCCCCGACTGCGCGCTAATGTTAAAACCGTTTAACAAGAGCGCTTAGTCCCCAAACCCTCGGCCAGTGCGTCTGCACCCATTATTTACCCTCAACCCTAAACCCTAAACCCTAAACCCTAAACCCTTTTGCTAATTCCTCAGCAACTAAACCCTAGCACCTTAACCCCAACTAAGCACCCTCGACAACAGGATCGGAGACGGAAACCCTAAACAACAGTCCCAGGCTTCGACCACGGATCTGGGGGCCGCCGAGCCCCAAACCCTAAACCCTAAACCCTAAACCCTAAACCCTAAACCCTAAACCCTAAACCCTAATCCCAAACCCTCGCGACTTGCTTGCGCGACAAGTCCACCAAACCCTGCACGTAGTCAATCCCCACGGCCACGCCCCCGCCCTCTTGCCCAGCGCCCACCATCAAGGCCATGCAAACTGTCAAATAGCCTGTCCCCGATCCTGCAGCAAACCAGCAAACCCTCGATTGCTTTCTTTTCCAAATTACAATTCCAAAAGCTCCTAAATGCAAAAACTGGCGCCCCCCAAGTCCTGCACTGGGGCCCCGGGGCCCCCACAACCCGCGCAGCACCCGGGGGCCCCTTCGGGGGCCCCCGGGGGCCCCCGGGGGCCCTCAAACTGCCCTCGGGGGGCCCCTTTGAGGCCGTTGGAGGGCCACTTCGGGGGCACAAGGACCCTTCGGAGTCCCTAGGGCCCCCCTAGGGGGCCCGCAGGGGGCCCCTTCGGGCGCCCTAGAGGGACCCTAGGGGGCCCTCCGGGGGCCCTCCGGGGGCCCTCCGGGGGCCCTAGGGGGCCCCTTGGGGCCCTTGGGTGGGCCCTCGGGGGCCCTCGGGGCCCCTTGGGGCGGAAGCGCCTGAGCAGCGGCTGCAGTGCGGGGCTGCTGCGGTGTACGTACACCTGGGGCACGCACCGACGTCGAGGGCCCTGTGGCCCCACACCAGTTCTTCTTTAAGTTGTTCAAGAGCAATTGCATGCATGTGGGGTGCAGAAATGGTGGCCCCGAAGCCGATGGACTGGGGCATGTCCAGGTAAGGGTCTTGGCTCACGAAGTGGCCCCGGTCCACCTGCCGAAACACCCACACCCAAACCCTAAACCCTAAACCCTAAACCCTAAACCCTAAGCCCTAGAGCCCACGCACTGCTGGTGGGGAATACGCGGAAAGGGCTCCGCTGGGGCCATCTGCATGCAGCTGCTGCGTCTTCTGGCTGGCTCTCTCTGCTGCAAGTCCCTTTCCCTGTGTGTGCCCCCGCCTCGCTGCACTAAACCCTAAACCCTAAACCCTAAACCCTAAACCCTTGGCCCGCGCCGCGGCCTAGGGCCGAAGGCGAAGGGCCGCACCTGCAGCATGACGTCGAAAACCCTTTGGTCCTTGAAGACGCCTGAGCGCCTCAAATTCTCCACAAGCTCTTTGTTGCTGCTCCCGTGGCTGCGCCACGCCATGGCTGCAGAAGGGGGCTCGGGAGGGTCTTCTGCTGCTGCTGCTGCAGCTGCTGCTGCTGCTGCTGCTGCTGCCGGGGGGCCCCGCGGCGCACTTGAAGGGCTGGAGGAAAAGGGCTGGGGGGCCCCTGGGGCTTCAGCGGCGCCCGTAGGTGACCCTATGGAGGAAGAAAGCGGGGGAGAGGCCTGGATGAAGCTCGGGGGCCGCTGGCCAGCCAGAAAGCGAAAATGGTGAGTTGGTTTTCGGAAAATTGAGTGAAAATGAGTCAAAAAAGAAGCAGAAGGATCAGAAGTGACAGCAAAGAAGGACACACTGTTTAGAGTCGCCGCCGTCGCCGCCGCCACAGCTGTAAGTACACCCCAGATCTTCGCGCGCGAGGCCCGGCGGCCGCAACCCCACAGCATTTCGAGGCAAATGGCACACCACTTTAATTAATTCTTTATTTTTTCTACTATTATTCAACTAATAAAACAAAACTGCAACTTAATGCCCCCGAGACAGCCACCAGAGCACTCCCGGCTGCGCAGCCGCGCCCGGGGCTGACTGACACTTCACTTGGATCTGGAACAGCGGGGCGGAAAATATTTATTGCAATAAAAATAAAATGCATTTTTGTGAAATAAAAAAAAAAATAACTGCGCGTACACCCCAAGACCAGACACCCCGGCCCACTACTGTGCACAGAGCTCTATACTGGCTGTACTCAAAGCCTACAGGACTAGAGAAGTATCTGCTTCTGCATTTCAAATGAGCAGCAGCAAAACAGTCATCAGCAGCAGCAGCAACAGCAGCAGCAACAGCAGCAACCGCGGAGCCTCGAGGCCAATCTTAACAGCAAGTTGGTTTGAGTGTTCTGTGGGTCTTTGCCCAATGCACTCCCCGCACAAAAGACAAGAAAGGGGCCAACAGTTGTCTCAGTGAGTTTCTCGGCATGCGTACATTGCAAAATGTACTTCTGCGCCCGTCTATGCATAAATCTGAACACATTTACCTTCACTGATGTCTATATAAATGCATATCAATATATACACATTTGCAGCGCCGCAACTTCTGTACTTGGAGGCACAGCTGCAAGTGCAGACACTGTACATACACCTGAACTGCCGCACTCGTGCATGCACGCAACACACAGAGGCGTACATACACCTGCCGCAGGCCACGCCTCGGAGGGAACTTTGCGGGCCACTCAGTTGTCCAAATAATATATTTATACATTTGTACATATATGAAATGACTTATTCTGCATGCCTCAAATGCTCAACAACATCTTTGCATATCTTATTGCACCAGCAGCGTAGCCGCCAGGCCCAAAGGCGCATGTGCAGCCACCTGTACACTGCACTTCCATGCTTGAAGACACAAATGCAAAAAAGTACAAATACAAATGCAAATAAATACATATGTATACAAATATATACAAATATAAATGTATAATACACATATTTACTGCATGCAAACGGGCGCATTTGCGCGGGGGGGCTCTGCGCAGACAGCTGGATGGGGTGTATGTACAGACACCCGAACGGCGCCGCTCGCGCATAGAAAACCCACAAACGCGAAAAGGCAGCAAATAAGAAATGCAAGTGCACTATACTACACAAGCACTGGGGACTTGTTCATGAAATGCAAAGAGACACAAAAGGATGTGCTCGAGCGCATGCAAAGCCCCAAAAAGACCAGCAAACGCCCCCTAGCACCCAAGCCAGCAAACAGCTGGAGACAGCCGCAGGGCAGTCTCGGCAAAGGGCCCTTGAGCTACAATTCTCATTCATCCCAGACAAATAAAACGCCAAGGCGCAGCAACCAACGCTGGCTAGCTAGCTAGCGCCCGCGCCCCCGCCACCCCGCTAGCTGGCTAGCTATCTAGCTAGCTAGCCAGCTAGCTAGCTGCCTCTTCACCTCTGCCGGCCGCCCGCCTTGGGCCATATGAACCCCAGGCACGCCCAGCTAGCCAGATAGCCAGCCATATAGCTAGCTAGCCAGATAGCTTGCTAGCCAGATAGCTAGCCAGATAGCTAGCTAGCCAGCTAGCTAGCTGGCCTGATCAAAACAAGTCGCGAAGGACAACTATTAGCGGAAGTCTCAACAAGGACGTTGCGCTAAGGGTTGCCTCATTCGGGGTGTCTTTACATCTGCAGCACACAAAAAGCAAACCAAAAACACCAAACCCTAAACCCTCGCCAAAACCCTAACTGGCTGCACGGGCCTAGCCCAAGCGCAGACGCCCAAACCCTCAAGGCAGTAACTCGCTAAACCCTAAACCCCAAACCCTAAACCCTAGTCCTAAGCCCAAGCGCTAAACCCTAGCGCTACCCTAACCCTGAACCCTAGCGTTAAACCCTAGCACTGAAAACCCTATAGCACTAAACCCTAGCGTTAAGCCCTAGCAATAAACCCTAGCGCTATACCCTCGCACTAAACCCTCGCGCCAAACCCTCGCGCTAAACCCTCGCGCTAAACCCTCGGTCTAAACCCTAAGTAAACCCTCGTTTACTCGCGCTCAAACTCGTCAAAAGTGAGGGTGAGGCCGGCATGCCGAGAGAGAGTTTTCCAGGGTTCTTCAGTAGGGTCAACATAGAGCTGCTTGCGAGCGCACTCTGTTGCTGCTGCTGCTGCCTGTGTTGCTGCTGCTGACGCTGCAGCTGGCGCTGCTGCTGCTGCTTCTGCTGCAGCTCGACCCTGCAGGCCGCAGCAGCCCTCAAGGGCCATTGTCACAAACGGGTACTTGTCTTTAAATAATTCTACAGCACTCGCCAGCGCCAAATCATCTACCTGAAAAAAAACAAAAAAAAAGAAAATAAATTTGTGACAAGAAATGCAAATGCAGACACTCTGCGCGCGCCGCTCAGCTGTACGTACACCTCAACCCACTTACACTTTTAAACGACACGCGAGCCCGCCGGAGCTTGTCCACGATAGAGGGCGTAAGCAGCACTGCACAACTCAAAACCCTAAACCCTAAACCCTAAACCCTAAACCCTTGATCTAAGCCCTACTTTACGCTGAGACAAGCTGTCAAGTGAGCCGCTTCACAACGGGGCCCTTGCTGGTGTTTTCTTCTACAAAGTACCCATGGCTCAAGTGCTGGACTCAGTCCTTAGGGTTTAGGGTTTAGGGTTTAGGGTTTAGGGTTTAGGGTTTAGGGTCTGAGGACGCACTGCGGTGCAAATGGTGAAAGACAGCAGCGACGACGAAGAAGTCCAAAAGGCCGCGGCCTTCTTTGTCAAGGAGCACAAAGCTCGCTGAGGCACAGGACCCCAAAACCCTAAACCCTAAACCCTAAACCCTAAACCCTAAAACCTCATATCTTGGCCCTGACTCCGGGATATCAAAGCTCAAACCCCGCAAAATCAAAACCCAAGGGTTTTACTTCTGCTCCAAAACCCCAAGGTAGGTAAGCTAAGGCCCACCCCAGCAGCCGCTGCTGCTGCTCTTGCTGCTGCTGCTGCTGCTGCTGCTGCTGCTGCACTTACCCTTGACTCTCTCGTCCTCGTCAGCTTTGCAAAACCGACAAAGTCCCGAAAGCAACTCCAGCGCGTCGGCGATCCCGCTGCGGCTGCCCTGCACGGCCTCAAAGGCCTCTGCAGCACGGCCCGCAAGGTGAGGGTTTAGGGTTTAGGGTTTAGGGTTTTGGCTAGGGTTTGGGGTTTCGGCGAGGGTTTAGGGGTTCGAACTCAGGCGCTGGATGCTGCTGCCATTTGGGGTTTAGGGCTTTGCTTATGGGAGCCAGTGCGTAAGCACGAGGCCGGCAGCAACTAGGGTTTAGGGTTTAGGGTTTAGGGTTTGCAGAGGGGCTCACCTTCAAGGGCGGCCCTTACAAGCTGCGGATCTCTCAGCTCCGGAGCATCTGCAGCAGCAGGGGGGCCCCCCGTTTGCTGCTGGGGGGCCCCCTGCTGCAGCAGCAGCGGCTGCAGGGCCTCGCAGAATTCATTAATGTTGAAGTAAAGAGTCGTCGAGCTACTCACAAGAGCCTTTGCCGCTGCAGCACCAACCGCACCAAAAACCCCAAACCCTAAACCCTAAACCCTAAACCCTAAACCCTAAACCCTAAACCCTAAACCCTAAACCCCGACTTGCGGGGTTTCCCCAAACCCGCAGCAGCTCCGCCTCCCCATTCCGTCTTGAGAGCAAGTGGCTTTCCTCGAGGGCCTGGCTGCAAGAACAGGGTTTAGGGTTTAGGGTTTAGGGTTTGGGGTTTGGGGCTGCGGACCTTGGCTGAGGGGCAGGCGGCGCAGCAGGCGCGCTGCTGCTGCGCTGCTGGCCCTTGCTGCTGCTGCTTCCGCCCAAGCAGCAGCAGCAGCAGCAGACACGAAGTCGTTGAAGGGAATTCTGTTTCCCAACGAAGGCCGCAAACCCTGCACAGACACTTGCCGCGCCATTTGCTGCGAAAGGCCCCGCCGCAGCACAGCTTCTCTTTCCAAACGGCCCACCCGCTCCATTTGCTGCTGCAGCTGCTGCAGCGTCAGCAGCGAACCCAGCGAACGCCTGCGGTGTACGTACACCCCACAGCCTCCCCTCTGCGCTCCCACGACCGCACCCGGGGCTAGGGTTTAGGGTTTGGGGTTTAGGGTTTGGGGTCTGGGGTTTGGGGTTTAGGGTTTGGGGTTTAGCGTTTGAGGTCTAGGGTTTGGGGTTTGGGGTTTAGGGTTTAGGGTTTGGGGTTTAGGGTTTGGGGTTTAGGGTGTGGGGTCTAGGGTTTGGGGTTTAGGGTTTGGGGTTTAGGGTTTGAGGTCTAGGGTTTGGGGTTTAGGGTTCAGGGGTTTAGGGTTTGGGGTTTAGGGTTTGAGGTCTAGGGTTTGGGGTTTGGGGTTTGAGGGTTTAGGGTTTGGGGTTTAGGGTTTAGGGGGGCTTACTCGTTGTTGTAGCTTTCGAAGAGGCCGCTGAGACTGTTTTCCTGCTGCAGCAAATCACTCAAAGTTTGGAACTTCGCTGAGGGGGCCCCCGAACCTGCTGGGGGGCCCCCACTGCCTTCGGGGGGCCCCTCGCCTGCGATCTTGGCTGCAGCAGCCCTCGAAAAAAGCCGGTGCCCCTCAAAGGGGGGCCCCCCGGGGGGCCCCCCTCTTCCTCGCCACAGGGCCCCTCTGCCTGCAGGCAGGCTCTGGGGGGCCCCCGGGGGCCCCAGGGGGCCCCCCCGAGACGGCTCGGGCAAGCGATAGCGCACGTTTGCTTGCGTGGACTCGCGTGCGAAGGAATGCAAACAAGGCGAGCTTGCTGCTGCTGCTGCTGCTGTTGCTGCTGCTGTTGCTGCAGCTGCTCGCTGCAGCGCCCGGGCCAGCAGCACGGAGGGGGCCAGCAAAAGGCGCCCCGAGCTCTGGGCTGCCCTTTCCATTAGTGGCTGGAAAGGCTGTAGCTGCTGAATGGGGGGGCCCTGTACTTGGCCGCAAGCCTTGCTGCAGCAGAAACCCCGGCAGCAGCTCTGGGGAGTGCAGGAGGCAAATAAAGATCTGAGGCTTTCTAAATGGCACAAAATGTAAATAAAAAAGAACGCAGAAGAAACGAAAAGCGCGAAAAGAAAGAGCCACGCCAGCGGGGTGATTGTGACGCAGAAGTTGTCACAGCTCTATCTGCCGGTGAGAAGCCTCGGCGCCGCGCCTTCCAGGTGTACGTACAGCTGAGTTCTCAAAGCCACTTACAAATTCAAGCAAATTAATTTCTGCCTCTTCACTTTTTTACTTCTCTGCTTCCGGCCCCAGTGCTGTCGGGGCTGAAGACCCGCGCTGCGGCTGCAGCTTTTCCACCTGAGGTTGCTGGGGCCCCTCAGGCTCCCTTGCAGGCCTCCAAAAGGCAAACAAGACTCTTTAATCGATTAATTTAGTTTTTTTCAAATTTATTGTCAACGTTTAGCTGCTGGCCAGGTTTTTGCTGCAGGCAGCCCCGCCTTCGCCGCAGCGCAAGGCTGTGGCTCCCAGCCTTGACCCCCTAGCTTCTCTCTTTGAACGAAATCTGCACATCTTTAGCTGCATGCGCCTGCCTATAAGTAAATTGGGGCTTTTAAGAGCGCATGCATGCAGCAGAGGGAGCTTGGAAACGGCCTTTTGCTGCAGCCCCTGCTGCAGCAGCCCCCGCTGCTCTGTGGCCGTTCTCTCTCCCCCCTTACACTCCGCCAGAACAGCCCACAGCACACTGGGGGCCCCCGGGGCCCCCTGGGGCCCCCCAGGAGTTTATTTAAAGATTTCCTTTCTTCCTGCCCCACAGGGGGCAGTGCAGCCAGCGGGAACAGCTTGCAGCTGCCAAACAGCCTTAGTAGGTGCGGGTCACTTGTGGCTAGCTACAGCTAGCGACTGCAGCTAGCTACAGCTAGCTGCAGCTAGCTGCGGCTAGCTGCGGCGAGATGTGGCTACCTGCGGCTAGCTGCAGCGAGCCGCTGCGGGTAAGGGACCCCGCAGCTCTGTGCTGCGGCTAGGCCCTTTAGCAGCAAAGACACAAGCGGGGGGGGCCCCAGGTGACCCTGAGGTTCATGGGGGCCCCTCTAGCTCTTAAAAGGCCCCTTAGTGGGGCCCCGTGTTTCGTCCTGCCTGGGGGCCCCTCCGTAGGTACCCAAAGTGCAGCAGGGGGCCCCCGTGGGGCCCCGCAGCGGGCGAGAGGCCCTGCAGCAACAGCAAAGCCTAGCAGCAAGCTGCAGCAGCAAGCTGCAGCAGCAGCAAGCGCAGCAGCAAATAAAGACGCAGTGCTAACTTGAGCGGCGAGAGTCGGCGGCATGTCCGAGTGGTTAAGGAGGTGGACTCGAAATCCACTGGGCTCTGCCCGCGCAGGTTCGAATCCTGCTGCCGTCGTTTTCATTTCACTTTATAAATATTTACTTCTCTGCACAATTCTCCCGGAAAATAACAAATAGATTTAAAATTCTGGTGGCATTTTGTTCATTTATATTTATTGGTTCATTTATATTTATCGTGCTCGGCGCAGCGCCAGAGAATGCAGAGTGCCTTGCGCTCAGCTGTACGTACACCTCAGAAAATGTGCTGCTTCGCTGCACTTGGCACTTTCTGACAGGTTTGCTGCAGCAGCTGTTGCTGCTGCTGCGACGACTGGCCGTGTGCAGTTGCTGCCACGGCCATGCAGCCATCACTGCTGCTGCTGCTGCAGCAGCAGTGATGGCTGGCGCTACAGCTATCAATGCTACGGCAGCCGCAGCAGCTGCAGCAGCTGCAGCAGCAGCAGCCGCTGCTGCAGCAGCAGGCAGCCCGCTTATGCTGCGCGGGGCCCCGAGGCCCTCTCGCGGGCCCTCTTGAGGGCCTCCGCGCGCTGCCTGGGAGAAGTTTGGCCCTCCCAGAGAGTGTGGGGCAGCAGCAAAATGGCCCAGCCCCACCACTGCAGGGCTTTGAGTGCTGCAGCAGTGTCTTGCTGCAGTTTGCTGCAGCCCCCGACCCAGACAAAGCCCAGGCCGTCCGTCTCCACCCTTAGCTGCTGCACTTTGCTGCCTGTCTGCTGCTGTACCTGCGTCTCTGCTGCTGCTGCTGCTGCTAGCCGCGCCGAAGCATGCAGGCAGGAGGGAGGCAGGTAGCAGTAGGCCGTGCTGCTGCTAGTCTCAGCAGCAGCAACACAGACCCAGGGGCCCAGCCGGGGCCCCAGCTGCGCAGCCAAAAGGAGACAGTCGATTTTTCTCTTTGTCAGTTTTTTTGTTTCCTAAACTCTTTTTGTCTCTGTCTCCATCTGCCTTCTGCTCTCCCCACCCCAGCCAGGCCCTACACCCTAGACCGTAAACCCTAAACCCTAGACCGCAAACCCTAAACCCTAGACCGTAAACCCTAAACCCTAGACCGTAAACCCTGCTCACCACCACTGAGACTCCCTCCTCCTTCAGCACAGAAAACAGCTCCTGCTCTACCCGGGGGGCCCTTAGCTGCAGGCCTGGGGGGCCCCCAGCAGGCAGGGGGGCCCCCAGCAGGGGGGCCCCAGGCAGGGGGGTCCCAGGCAGGGGGGCCCCCACCTCGAGTTGGCCCTCTGGGCCAAAGTTGTGGGCCAGGGGCATAGAGAGCACGCGCATGCAGTAGCTGCTGACAGCCTGGGGGAGCAGCCGCACAGACAGCCAGCTGCAAGGCCTGAGGGACGCAGCAGCAGCAGCAGCGGCAGCAGCAGCAGCAGCAGCGGCAGCAGCAGCAGCAGCAGCGGTAGCAGCAGCAGTGCCGGCAGCTGCCAGCAACGGACGCGAGAGCAGCTGCGGTGGGGAGGAATGAGCCTACGTATTGCTGCAGCGCTTCAGCAGTGCTCCTAGGGGCCGGTAGTTGCTGCTGCTGCTGCTGCTGCTGGAGAACACTCAGCAAGATCCCCAGAACTTCTCTCTGCAGCCTTACTGGAGCTGCAGCAGCAGCGGCAGGCTCTGCAGCAGCCGCTGCTGCAGCACTTGCTGCAGCGGCTGCTGCTGCACTTTGTTCGCAGCAGCAAAAAAACGGAGCGGTGGAGAGAGCGTCCTGAAGAGGACTTAGCAGTGAAGTTGACCCCTGAAAACAAATCCGATAGAAATTTGCTTCTTGGGACTTCAAGAATGGGCTGAGACTACAAAGTGCTGCTTACCAAGGAATAGGCAAGAGAGAAAAGCTGCCGCGAAGAGAAACCCCGCTGCTGCTGCTGCTGCTGCTGCTGCTGCTGCTGCTGCTGCGCCACGGTTTCGACGATTTTGCGCAGCGTTTCCGCGTTGGCAGCGCGACGCCACAGGTCGCTGCCTTCTGGCAGCAAAGTGTCTGCTGCAGCATTCGCAGCAGCAGCAGCTGCCGCTGCTGCTGCTTCTCCCGGCGCTGTCGCCGCTGTGTCTGCTTCTGCTGCAGCTGCGCCTTCAGCAGCTGCAGCACGCACAAAGGAGTCACGCAGCTCCCGAAGCTCCTTACAAAGAATTTCTTTCCAATCCCCCACTTGCAAGTTGGCCTTGAAAGGTATTTCAAGTCTAGCTTCAGCAGGGGAAGCTGCTGCTGCCTCCGCAGCAGCCGCAGGAGCAGCCGCTGCAGCAACGTCGCGGACGGCTGCTGCAGCAGCAGCTGCTGCTGCTTCAGGTTCAGGCCCAGAAGCTGCTGCTGCTGCATTATGTCTCCCGGGTACGCCGCAGAGGGCTGCTGTTAGCTGCTGGGACTTAAGGAAGTCCACGAGCGACTGTGGGTAGACTTGCAGGTCCTGCTGCTGCTGCTGCAGCACATAGACTGCCTGCAGCAGCTTCTGAGCTGCAACCAAAGGAAGCGCCAGTTCCTTTGCTGCAGAGGCTGCAGCAGCTGTGCCATACGCAAACGCATGCAGGAGCGTGCAGCAGCTAACTGGGTCCACGGTTACTGCTGCTGCTGCTGCTGAAGAATGGGTGCTTTCGGTCTGCTGCTGCAGATGCCACTGCTGCTGCTGTTGCTGCTGCGCTGCTTGCCGCTGCATCAACTGCAGCGCAGCAGGAGCAATGCGACTTTTGATGCTGTTGGCTGACAGCAGCAAGAAACTGAGAGGCAAGGGGGCCCCCTTTGCAGCTTGTTGGGTAAGGGCCCCCAGCAGCTGCGCTAGGCGCTGCAGCTCGAGTTCATGCGCAGGGGCCTGCAGCAGCAGCAACTGCTGCAGCAGCAGCAAACAGAGCAAGATGACACACAAAGCGCCATCAGCACAGGCAACGAAACGCCGCAGCACCTGAAGTTTTACTTTTTAGAAGCAGCAGCAACAGCAGCAGCAACAGCAGCAGCAACGCGTAGCAGTAGCAGCAGCAGCAGCAGCACAACAGCAGAGCAGCAGCTCGATAGCGGCAAGAGCTTTATTCACCACCGTCTCATTTGGAAGGAACAATTTCAGAAAAGCTGCTGCTGCAACGAGGTCTGCTGCAGCTGCAGGAGATAGCTCGGCTATTTCCTTTTGCAGCTGCAGTTGCTGCCGCTGCTGCAGCGGCAGCTGCTGCTGCTGCTGCCAGCTGTCGATCGCGGCGTTAAGCCGCGAAGCTGCAGCAGAGCGAAGAGACTGAGGCACACGGTGCAGCCGAAGACACCCCAGCAGCAGCAGCGCGAGGTCCTCCAGGGGTGCTCCTGCAGCAGCAGCAGCAGCAGCAGCAGCAACAGCAAAAGCAGAAAACGCAGCAGCAGGGAATATTACGAGCCCTGAAAGGCATTTAACCAGGTCAAGGCCTCTTAGTATTTGCAGCAGCAGCAGCAGCAATGACAACAGCAGGAGCAGCAAAAGCTCACTGGCAACAACAGTCTGTGCATGCACTGCAAGCTGCTGCAGCGTCTCGGGCAGCAAAACATGCAGCTCTGCTGCTGCTGCAATCACGGCTGCGAGGTCTGTGGGGTTCCACAAGCTGAAGCACTCCGCGCAGCACTTGTCCAGCTCCTCTGCAGCAGCAGCAAGAACAGCAGCAGCAGCAAGAATAGCAGCAGCAGCAGCTGCAGGAGTTGCTGCAGTCGCAGCGACGGCAGCAGCGGCTGATTGAAGCACTCCAGTCTGCGGCTGCCAGTGCCAGCAGCAAATCTAGGAGCAGCAGCAGGATTAGCAGCAGCAACAGCAGCAGCCGCAGCTGCAGGCCCAGGGCCTGGCGCTCACGAAAGGCCTTGGCGTCAACTACTGCAGCAGCAGCAAGCGCCTTCGCAGCAGCAGCAAGATCTGGTGGTGCAGCAGCAGCAGCAGAGTTGCGCAGCTTCAGCACGACAACAGCAACGACGCGCATATCTCCTCCTGTTGCTGTCAAGACTTCCAGCATTGATCGCAGCGGCATGGCAGCCAGCTGCAGCAGCAGCAGCAGCAGCAACAGCAGCAGCAGCAGCAGCAGCAGCTAGAGCTGTGGCTTCAAGGCCGTGTGCTTCAACGGCAGTGCGCAGCAATTGAAGCAGCAGAAAGGCATCAAACAAGCAAAAATAAGATGAGGGTCTATGCAAGAGATTCAGTTCTAGGGTTTAGGGTTTAGGGTTTAGGGTTTACAATTGCCAGCACCTGGCGGCCCACACGAGGCAGCAGCTCGTGCAGCGCTTTGCTCTCCGCATCTTCTTCTTTGCTGCTGTTGCTGCTGGTGCTGCTGCTGCCGTTGTTGCTGCTGGTGCTGCTGCTATTCTGCTGTTGCTGCTGTAGGTGGCTCTGCGGATGAGACGCAGCGTTGCCCCCAGCTGCTGCTGCTGCTGCTGCTGCTAAGTCATCTTCATCTTTAGCCATGGCAGCAGCCTCTATGGCGGCAACAGCGGAAGCACTTGCTGCTGCTGCTGCTGCTGCTGCTGCTGCTGCCCGGCGCTTGCGCCGGGCCTCTATGACACGGCTAAACCGCAGCAGGTCTTTTCCGTCCATGTCTGCGGCCTCTGTAGCAATAGCATTAGCAGCAGCAACAGCAGCAGCAGCAGCAGCAGCAACAGCAGCAGCAGCAACAACAACAGCAGCAGAAGCGTGCACAAGCTTCAGATAATGCGGCCAAGGCCAACTCCGACAGCAAACGCAGCAGCAACAGCAGCATTGGCGAGAAACCACAAGCAGCTACGACCATACAGCAGCAGCAAAACCAGCAGCCACAAGAGCAGCAGCAGCAGCAGCAGCAGCAGCAGCAGCAGCAGCAACTCACTCGCCGCAACCGGCTGAAGTGCCCTGCAATAGGCGTCAGAAGGCCACTCTCGGGAAAGGAGAAGAAAAACTGCAGCAAAGCAGCACAAGATGGGACTGCGGCTGAGTCTGCTGCAGCAGCAGGCGCTGCTGTTGCTGCTGCTGCTTGGCGTTTGCTGCTAGACTCAAGGTAGCTGTCTGCACTGTTGCTGCAGCGAGTAGCGCCTCTGCTGCTACTCTGCTGCTGCTGCTACGATTCTCAGCGCTGCCACACCAGCTGCTGCTGCTGCTGCTGCCTCGATTGCTGCTGCTGCTGCACTTGCCCTGCTGCTTGACGGACAGCTCTTGCGGGAGGACAAAGTCCGCAGCCACAGCGAGCCGTGAGGGCAGCACCCCCCCCTCTGCTGCTGCTGCTGCTGCTGCACTTTTGCTGCTAGGCAGGCTTCCAAAGGGGCGGGCCAGGGGCCCCCGGGTGCGGGGGCCCCCAGGGCCCCGGGGGCCCCCCCTTGAGAGCGGCTGCAGGGGCCCCCAGACTGCGCAGCAAACCCTGTCGGGGCCCACCGCCGGTGTACGTACACCTTGCAGACACGGACTATAGAAGCTGGAGGCTGCAGTCAAGGGGGGAGCTGCTGCTGCAGCTGCTGCTCGCGCTGCAGCAGGAGCTGCTGCAGCCTGAAAGCGCGTCCTCAGCCCGCTGCAGCGCGGCGGCGCAGCTGCTGCTGCTGCAGCAGCGCTGCTGACCCGCCGCGAGCCCTGGCTAAGAGCAGCCACAGTGGTCTGCATGCAGAAGAAGACTCTCGGGCTAGGAAGACTGGGGCCCCCCCGTGCTGGGGCTTCCTGTGTAGGCCGCGAGGCCCCTTTTTGCCCCTTAGATACGCCTTAAAGGCCTATAAATTGCTCAGGCTGTATATTTTATCCTTTAAAATGCCATTTGAGAGGAATTTCCCCGAACAACCGGGAGGGCTCGCCACAGGCTTGGGGGCCCCTGCGAGGCCTCAACAGGGGGCCTCAGTCGGCGGCGGGGGCCCCCACACGGCTAATGCTGGAGGGATATCCTGGGGTCTTTGGACAAATTTGAATTGCACTTGACAATTAAAGAATAAAAATGTGTTCAGGGCTAATGAAGATGGTCAACGCGACTCCAGGGGCCCCCCGGGCGGCCACAAGGGCCCCCCAATGCTCCTAGCCAGGCTCTCTGGGGCCCCTAGTTAGGCGCTAGCTTTGTTCTGGTGACTTGAAGATGCCTCAGACATTTTAAATGTGGAATGTTTGTATATTTTAACCCACTAGAATGAACACTTTAATGCTTTATTGCCTACTCAACTGTGTGTGCTGCTGCTAGTGCTGCTAACTGCACTGCGGGCAATTCCTGACCCCAGCATCACACTGGGGGCCCCCAAATGCTCTCTGGGTGTGGGGCTATTTGGGCCCCTGGGTGCTGCAGCAGCAACAAATGCAGCCACGGGGGCCCGCAGTTCATATATGCTTCAGCAGCCTCTGCTGCTGCTGCTCTGCAGAAGCTGCTGCTGTGCTGCAGAGGCTGCTGCTGCGCTGCTGCGGCCTGTGGGGCCCCACAATGCCCGCGTTTGGGGAGGCCCTGGGCTCTGCTGCTGTCTGCTGCTAGGCCTGCTGCTGGCTGGGGCGGCCCACAGCTCAAGGCCGAGCCCTCAATAGCTGCTGTTTAAGCAGCAGCGGGAGGCAGCAGCAAGGGCTGTGGCTGCTGCTGCAGCAGCAGCCACAGCAGCCAGTAGGCAGTCTAGTTGTCACTTAGTCACAGCTGCATGCAAAAATTAAAAAAGAAACGGTGTGTAGAAGAGCACACAGAGTCACTGAGCGGACACGGGCAGCAGCAGCAAGCAGCAGCAGCAGTCCGCAGCAGCAATCCATAGCTAGCAACAGCCGCAAAAACAAGCAGCGCCAGCAGCAGCAGCAGCGAACAGCAGCAAGCAGCAGCAGGGAGGGGGTCTCAAAGAAGGACTCTAACGTGCGGAAAGAGAACTTTATATTCTGTCTTTCCGTAAAACCTGTGGGCGGGACTAGCCGCTAAAAATTGAAGGATACGGCGCCCAGCTAGCTAGCTGCTTCGCTAGCGGGCCGGGCCGCCTACCTCAGCCCTGCATGCCAGCTAGCTAGTAGCTAGCTGCATGGGGCTTTGTCCCTTGGCTAGCTAGCCAGGGTGAAGTGGCCAGTTACTGGCCTAGTAGGCCGCAGACGGCATCGACTGTGTAGCTGAAAAGCTCCCTAGCTAGCCTCTAGGAAGCTGTCTGAGTAGCTAGCTGGGTAGCTAGCTAGCTAGCTGGCTAGCTAGCTGGATCGCTAGCTAGCAGGCTAGCTGGCTGACTCGCTAGCTGGCTGGCTAGCTAGCTAGCCGGCTAGCTAGCTAGCTAACTAGCTAGCTAGCCAAAACGGTCCCCCTTACGCCTAGGGGAGGGGAAAGACGGTGGCGTCTGTCAGCCCCTGGCCTGGGGGGCTGTCCAGCAGCTGCGAGAGAACATCAAATGCATGCAGCGCGGCCATCTCTGAGGGGAACTCAACCCATCTGGAGATGAAAGTTTGTTTCATAGGATCTGTCTCCCACGTTTTGCCTCGGCCCAGGAGCCACTTCCCCACGTTGCTCTGCCGAAGCACTTTCCACCGACCCTGCTGCGGCAGCAGCTGCTGCTGCTGCTCCTCCTGCTGCGGCTGCTGCTGAGGATCCGAGGACTCGCGCTGCAGCTGCTCCCCAGAGCCCTCTGGCTGCAGAGAGCTGCCGCGGCCCCCCAGGCGGGAGCCTTTGACAAGGGAAGTGAGGGTTTCTCTCATGCTGCTTTTTTGCTGCCCACTGGATTCGCTCTTCTTTGGCCAGTTGCTGTCTTTGATGCCTGAAGCTGCTGCTTTCCCTGCTGCTGCTGCTGCTGCTGGTGCTTGCTGGTCTGCTGAGGGGCCCCTGGATAATGGACCTCCAAAAGTGTTGGACAGGGAAGACGAAGACTCCGAGAATTCGTCTTCGAGGTCTTCCGTGGCCTCCTCGTCGGTGTAGCTGCTGCTGCTGCTGCTGCTGCTACTGGTGCTGCTACTGTAGCTGCTGCTGCCGGTGATGGAGCTGTTTGTAGCGGGGGTTTGCACCTGCATGCCGCCCTGAGCCCACATTCACAGCACCTTTTGAAAATGCAAGTCAGCAGTGGCAGGAGTAGCAGCAGCAGCAAGCAGCAACCCCAAAGCAGCAATACCAGAACCAACAAGGACGCTGCAGCAAGAGCAGCTGAGCCTCGAGCAGCAACAGCAACAACGGAAGCAGCAGCAACAGCAGCAGCAACAGCAACAGGAGCACCAACAACGGCAGCAGCAGCAACTGCAACACCAGCAGCTGCAACAGCAGCACCAACAACAGCAACGCCAGCAGCAGCAACAGCAGCAGCAGCAGCAGCAGGCGCGCACGAGTTCAGCTCTTTGTCTGAGGCCCTCTCGGACGTTTCTGGCGAGGCCCTCGTCGGGGGGGGGCCTCCCGTCGGTCCTGAAGTGGAGGACGCTGAGGAAGAAAGCGACGGCTTTGGTGGGGTTGTTGTGATCTGCTGCGGAGGCCCTGACAACCTGCAGCTGGGCCACGTCGCCGCGGAAGCAGCTCCAGATGACATGTTTGCCTTCGAGCAGCCCCAGCTTGCGGAGCCCCACGGCCAGCCACAGCAGCGGGCGCCGCCGCCGCGGCTGCTGCTGCCCCCGGCCCAGCTGCTGCAGCCGCTGCTCCAGCCGCTGCAGCCGCTCCCCCCCGGGCGGGGGCGCCTTCCCCTCCCCCTCTTCCCGCTGCTTGTATATGGGAATTGTGAACAGCAGCTGCGCCGGCGGCGCCCGCGCCCCCCGCCGCACGCAGCTCTGCGCCGCAGCCAGCGAAAAGCTGTAGCTTTCCGGCCGCCAGCAGCCAATGCAAAACACCCGCCGCGGACGCACCTGCACAGCCCCACAAAGCACACTTCCTTGAACTTCAGTGCAGCAGCAGCAGCAGCAGCCGGCGGAAACAGCCAGCAGCAGCAGCAGCAGCCAGCGGCAGCAGCCACGGGGAGCAGGCAGCAGGAGCAGCAGCAGTAGCAGCTGCAGTAGCAGGAGGAGCAGCAGCAGGCAGCAGCAGGCAGCAGCAGCAGCGAGCAGCGGCGCCCGGTGCGAGGGAAGCAGCAGCAGCTCACTGATTCCAACATGGGCACTGCCTGTATTTGGTTGAGTGCGCCGACGCAAGAGGAGGAGAGCAGCAGCAGCAGCGAAGAGGGAACTCCAAAACAGAGGGAGCTGAGTCCCGAGGCAGCCCCAATGGCGAAGCCTTTGCCCCCCGCCAGCAGCCTGTCCTTTTTGCTGTTGAGGGAAGGCTGGGCCAAGTGGATTTGCGTGGCTTTGAAGGGTTTGCCGCAGAAGTTCGCCAGCGACAGTGCGAAGGTAAATGCAAAGCCCTTGCCCCCAGAGCTGCAGCCGCAGCAGCACACAGCAGCAGCAGCAGCAGGAAATGTAGCCAGTGCCGCCAGCAGCAGCCCAGGGCAGCAGCACTGGCGAAGAAGAGACGGAGGAATGGGGGATTGAAAGAAGGCACTGGCTTCGTTTCTAGCTGCTTTTGGCTAGTCATGAGGCTTCTAGTTGCATGCAGTTGGCTTCTTTCTAATCCTCTTTGCCGCTATTCTCTCCAGCAAAAAGCCCATTTCAGCAGGAGGCACAGAGGCAAATGAGGCAGCCAAGGAGCACTGCAGGCGGCCAGGGCAAAAGGACTTGGTGAAAAAACGCAAAAGGCTACTTAAGCTGCAGCAAGGGCTGGAGAAGAAATGCGGGCGAGCGCCTGCTCTCTTTTTTGTTTCTAAGTCTGGTGGCTCTACAAGAACTAGCCCCCCAGGGAAAGTGCCAAATGACCCAGTCAGCTCCTCTAAAGAAAAAGTGCATTTGACGCAAATAGAAGTTCAGCAGCCAGCAGCAGCAGGCAACAGCAGCAGGCAGCAGCAGCAGATAGCAGCAAGCCTTACACAAGCCCCTCTGCAATGCTCCCCGGCTGGTCCGTGAAGCCCCCTTGGCCCTGGGCAAAAGGCATTACGGAGTAGGAGTCCGAGTTGCGGGCCAAAGCCTCGAAGCACTGAAACCAAGACCCAAAAAACCGGCCTGAAGAGTCCAAGAGGCCCCCCACAAAGCCCGTGCCGCACCGCGCGAGGCCCCGCCCGAAGGAGATAAACGCAAAGCCCGGAGTGCCCCACAGGGCCAGCCCCCGGCGCATTTCCTGAAGAAAACACACACAGCCCACACGCCAAACAGTAGGCGCACACAGGCGCGCATGCATGCATCAACGCATGCTAGCACACTTGCATGCATGCATGCATGCATGCAAGTGTGCTAGCATGCATGGATAGCACACTTGCATGCATGCATGCATGCATCCGTGCATGAACGGCGTCTGCATCAATGCACTGGTCCTCACTGGCGTGGCTAGCTCAGCTAGCTCAGCTAGCTCAACTACCGCGTCTATCTCAGTTATCTCAGTTATCTCGTCTGTCAGGGCTATCTCGGCTAGCTCAGCTAGCCCAGCAAACTCAGCTATCTCGGCCGTCTCAACTAGCTCAGCTAGCGCAGCTAGCGCAGCTAGCTCAGCTAGCTCAGCTATCTAAGTTAGCTCAGCTACCTCAGCTGTCTTAGCTAGCTCAGCTATCTCATCCATGTTAGCTAACTCAGCCACCTCAGCTATTTTAGCTAGCTCAGCTATCTCAGCTATCTTAGTTAGCTGAGCTAGCTGAGCCACTTCAGCTAGCAGAGCTAGCTGAGCTAGCTGAGCTAGCTGAGCTAGCTGGGTCAATTGAGGTGTGTGGGGTGCGACGGACGTAGAAGCAGCCCTGGGCTCCGGACTTCCAGTGTTTGCACATGATGACGGGGTTTCCGAAGAGGTCGACGGCGCCGAGGAGTTGGAAGATTTGTTTGATGGCCTGGCCGATGTAAGTTTGGAGAATGTCGGAGACGAGAACTACGAGGGGCCCGCAGAGGCTCTGGTGCACTTCGGGCGCGAAGACCAAGTTCGCGTCGCTTATGTAAGGGCTCGACTTCATTATGGCCAACACCCCGCGAATCAGCTCGCTGTGGGGCTGCTCTTCTTCTTCTGCGCCTTGCCGTTTGTTTCGAATGTTTATCACCAGAGCCACCCGGCCCACGTCTAGAGTTCCCAAGTACACTTTCCCTGCTCCGTCGCCGCTCCCGCGGATCACCTCTGCCAGGGCGCCTTCCACAGGGCCTGCGCAGCACCGCAGCAGCACAGCAGCACAACAGCGCAGCACTGCAGCAGCAGCAGCACGCCTGCAGCTGCTCCCGATTCTCCTGCTGCTGCGCTCCGCGGTTCTCTAGGCCTGCGCGCCTAGGCTTTCCTGACCGCTCGAGACCCACGGCAGATTTGCTGGGCTAGCTGCTGCTGCCAGCCGCTGCAGCTGCTGCGCTGCTGCCTGCTGCAGCGCGAGAGCAAAGGGCTGGCAGCAGCAAGCTTAGTGAGTTTCTTACCGAGCATGGCCCTCCAGCTGGGGCTGCCTGCGTCGGTCTCGGAGGTTCGGATCTCCTTGACGCTTTGCTGCAGCAAGTCCAGGTCGGTGGTCCTCAGCAAATCGTCCACAAACAGCAGCAGCGCGAAGGCCAGCTGAAAGTCAATGTTCACTGACATGGGCGCCAGCCGCAGCACGCACTGGGGTATTACTGTGAGGCCTCTCCCGTCCACAGTGTTGCGCCTCTCCAGCACCAGCTGCGCCACTGCGTCTTCTTCATCCAGCAGCTTCAGCCCTTCGGCCTCTGCATGCAGCGCGCGGGCCTCTTCGGCTTCTTCCAGGGGCAGCTGCGACGCGGACCTGCGCCGCTCCAGCAGGGCCAGCGACGACCGCAAGGGGCCCCCCGGGGCCCCGGGGGCCCCCGGGGCCCCCGGCGCCGCCAGCCCACCCCCTTCCCCCTCCCGTTCTTCGTTATCCCCGGGGTCTCCGGGGGCCGTGAAGGGCACTGCCCCTCTCCGGCCCCCCATGCGGGGGGAAACGCGCCCCGGCGAGGGGGGCCTGGGGGTCCGGATCCCGGGGCCCGTGGGGCCCGGGGACCCCTGGGGGCCCTGGGCCCCCACGGGCAAGTCTTCTTTGCTGAGGTCTCTCTTGAGGGGGGCTGGGGGAGCTGAGGCCGTGGAAGCTGCACTGAGGTGCCGGGAGCTGTCTGCGGAGGCCTTTGGGGAGCTCGAGGAGGCCTCGTCGGGGCTAAAGCTAGCCCGCATGTCAGTGATGGGCCGCAGCATTGTTGGGTAGTAAGCCATGGGCGCGTGGTTGTCGATTTGCACCCAGCCTATGGACAGGCGCAGCTTTTCGCCTTCCTGGCTGGACTTGAAGGCCAGCTGCAGCAGCTGCAGCGAGCCGTAGAAGATCTCTGCGGGCTTGCTGTCGATCAGCGACAGCCCCGCCCCCACCACAAACAAGTTCACGCTCAAGTCTCTGCTGAATAGCGGGGGCCTTTCCACTTCCTCCTCATCGCTTTCCCCCGCCGCCTCCAGCTTCCCGCCTCGCCCGGGGGCCCCCGGGGGGCCCCCACGCCACGGCCGCCTGCGCTGAGGGGCCACCCCACGGGCCCTGGGGTCCATAGTGGGGTCAAACAGCCTCAGGCGCTCTTCACTGGCGCCGCCCCAGTAGCCGTCGGGCATAATCCAGGAGGGCCGGGGGCCCCCGCGGACCTCCGAAGCAGCCCTCAGGGGGGGCCCCCCGTTGCCCAAAAGGGAGCCCGAGTGGGCCTCCACTGCGGACTCCCCTGGTGGCGGGGCGGCTCTGCCATCTGCTGTCGAGGGTTTCCTCGAGGGCTGGTTGCTTCCTGGCGCTGCAGCAGCACCCCCTGCGCCAGCAGCAGCGCCAGCAGCCGCAGCAGCAGCAGCAGCTGCTGCTGCTGCTGCGGCTGTCGAGTCGGCGGACGGGTGCTTTTGCTGCCGCTGGAGGTCAAAGATGTCCGCCGCAGGCCAGGCAAGGTACTTCTCCAGCTGGTTTGCGCCAGTCTCCGCAAAACGCCAGGCATTCTCTGCACCCATGTTGAGAAGAGCCTCGGGCTTCTCCACCCAGGGCATTTGTTCCATTACGTGGCCCACGCCCCCCAGAAGGCCTCGAGACTGTCCCCTCTGGAGCTCCGGGGAGGCCCGGCTGGCCTCGAAAAAGACCAAGTAAGTGCTGCCCTTGACCACTGGTCTCCTCACGCAGACCACCACCCGGTCCACTGGGGGCGGGGGGCCCCCCGGAAGGACTGGGCCGGAACTGCTTTGCAGCACGAGGCGAATGAGGCCCTGCTGTCCGTGGGAAGCCTTCAAACTGATGCTTTCTGCATATTCGCGTCTGATGCGCCGCAGAGTGGCCCCGTCCACCCTGAGGGCCATGTCCTCAGCAGCAGCAGCAGCAGCAGCAGCAAGCGAGGGGTGCACGGGGCCCCGCCCGCCGTGGAAACTTTGCAGCGACCCCGCGGGGGCCATCCCGAAGGCGTGCGGGCCAGCCCCGCTCCCCGCCGGTGGGCCCCCCATCGTAACTATGGAGTTGAAGGCCCTTGCTGTGCTGCCTTGTCTGCTGCTGCTGCGCAGCCGGGAGTGCAGGTGAGAAAGCCGGCCAGAGAGGCGGTGGCCAGCAGGGGGGGCTGCAGACATTCTCCAGACTTCAAGCTTCTTCTCCTTTGTGGGGTCATAGAACGCAAAAGGCAAGCCGTACCTGCAAAAGCAACAGCAAAATAGCAGCAGCAGCCCCCTATTCCCACGCTTCCCCCTATTCCCACGCTTCCCTGCTGTCTGCTGCATCCCCATGCCTCTGAGGCCGCTCCACCACTCCCCCACCCCTGCTGCTGCTGCTGCTGCTGCAGCGCAGCGCTTGCTTGCTGCAGCGCGGGCCCAGCCTGACCTGCCCAGAAACTCGTAGCTTTTCTTCAAGTGCTGGCGGGGCACTGGAAGCACAACTTCGGAGGCGGGGACTCCGTGCTGTCCGACGAAGAGGGGAAAGGAAGTTTTGTTGATTAAGACGAAGTCCGGGATGGGGGGCTCTCGGAGGCGGACGAACTTGGCCCCAGAATAGAGGCAAACCTCCACTTCCGTGAGGCAGAAGGCGCTGCTGCTGCTGCTGCTGCTGCTGCTGCCCGAACGCCCCAGGGGCCTCCCTGCAGGCCCTGCAGCAGCTCCCCCCACCACCTCGGGCCCCTTCACCTCCTGCGGGTGCCTCACCTGCACCAGCCGCGCGCTGTCAATGTCCACGGGCCCTGACCAAGTGAGCCCCACTGTGGATTCCCCCGGGGCCTCTTCTTCAGAAAGCTGCCACGTGTTGCCGAGGCCCCTCGAGAGTCTCTGGTTGTTTTCTTGCTGCGCTGCTGTTTCTGCGGAGACAGGCAAATTCTCTCCCCCTTCTCGCTCCCCGCTCTGCATTTGCAGCGAGACTTTGCGGCTCCCCGTGTACGCCGTCGGCGACCCCGCCACCGAGAAAACTTCCGACTGCTTTCGCTGCAGCAGCTGCTGCTGCTGTTGCTGCAGCAGCTGCTGCTGTTGCTGGATTCCAGAGCCTGCGGCCGACGGGAAGCTCGTAGGCCTGTTGTGCGGCTCCGGCAGCCCTCGGGGGCTCCTGCGGGAGGTCTCGGACGGCTCACTGAGCCCTTTGCTGTGTTTGCGCTGCTGCTGCTGCTGCTGCTGCTGCTGCTGCGGCGTCCTGCTGCTGGCGGCGGGGTCTGCGGCGTCGGGCTGGGAGCTGTCCCAAGAGACAATGACCTTGGCCTGTCTCCGGACAAGTCCCTTCTGGGGAAGAGCCGTGATGAGAATGGACACGGGGCGTTTGCCCTGGGGGTGGAACTCCATAAGAGTCCCGGGCTCGAGCAAGTGGCAGCGGGAGTCCGGCCCGCCGGGGGCCTCGCAGACCCAAAGACACCTTTGAGTTTCGTTGACTAAGACGTAGGCTGGCAGCAGCTCCACCACAGTGGTGCGGGAGAAGGGCGCAGGGGCAATGCCCATGGAGACGGAGTAGTGCAGCACGGGGTTCGTCTCCGTGCGCTCGAGCTGGATTTGGTAAGCCCCCATGTCACTCAGCAAGAACTCGGGGGACCAGGCCGCGGAGTCGCTGCGCGCAGCAAGAGCTGCATGCAGGCAGCGCCGCAGGCGCGTCTGTTCTTCTTTGCTGTAGAGTTCGAAGTCCCGCACAAGTGCGAACTGCGAGGCCGGCAGCCCCACGGCCAGCCGCGAGGCCCCGAAGTCGTGCGAGAGCACAACGCGCTGAAACGGCGGCAAAGACTGCAGGCTTCCGTTCCCGTGCCTCCGCAGCAGCAGCACGTAGCCCGTCCGGTTCACCACCTGCAGCAGCAAAGCCAAGCAGCAGCACATCCCATGCAGGCTCCCGCGGGGCCGCAGCAGCAAAGGCCTCTCAGTGCAGAGCTCGCAGCTGTGGGGCTGCATGCAGCAGCGCGCGCAGCCGGCCCCCAGGCCACGGGGGGCTTGCTGGAGAGCCCAGAAGCTAGCCAGCAGCAGCAAAGGGCATGCAGAATGGCCCGCTCACCCAGAAGTCCGCAAAGACTGTGAGAGTCCTGACGAAAGTGCCGTGGAAGAGGCGCTGGGCAGTGGCGGAACTGGTGGTTTTGCTGCCGCCATTGTGGTCTGTGGTCTCAGCCCACAGCAGCAGCGCCGCGGGCTCGTGCAGCGCCTCCTGCTCCACTGTCTTCACGGCCTCCCACTCGTTCAGCCCGCTGCCCCTGAGGCCCCCCGACTCTTTGTCTCCCGTTCCTTCTTCTGCAGAGTCCGTCGCTGTGCCTTCGCTCAGCTGCCGCGACGGCCGCTGCTCCAGGCTGCCCTTCACCACCCCCGAGAAGGCCCCGCTCCGCGTCGAGCTGTCTTCGCTGCAGTTCTGCATCACCACCCGCTGCACTGAGGTCTGCGCGCAGCAGCAGCAGCAGCAGCAACACCTGCAACTGCAGCAGCAGCAGCAGCAGCCTGCCCCAAGCAAGGGCCTTCTGGCGTTCCTTGCTGCAAAGTCTACGCATGCCTAGCTTGCTGCAGTGGGCCATCCGTGCCACAGAAACTGGCAAGAAGTAACGTAGCGGCGCAGAAAGAAATTAAAATTTGCAGCCTAAGAGGACACCAGGGGGCTGCTAGAGAAGCAAAGATACAAAAGCTGTGCAGAGGCTGGCCGGCCAGCCTGGGCTGGTCAGCCTCAAAGAATCAAAGAAGCTGGGAGAAACAATTTAAAAGGAATAATGAAAGGCAAAAGAAGCAAAAGTGGCAAAAGCAGAAAATCTTCTGTTACCCCAGCGTTGTAGAAGTCAACTTCCACAGGCTTCGAAACTCTCGCCCCAAAGTAAACTGTAATGTGGGCAGGATCTGCAGGCAGCGAGACTTCCTCTCCAGCTTCTATCTGCATTTCAGTGGGTGGCTGGGGGATGAACGAGTCGAGCGTCACCACCTGCTGCTGCTGCTGCTGCTGCTGCTGCAGTATGTTGCTGCAGTCGCGGGCGGAGAAGCGCAAGGTGATGGGCCGCGGCAGCCGATTGCAAACACAAAGACAATGCTCTAAGACCACCTCGAAGAAAAGTCCCTCCACGTTGGATCGAGCTGAAAAGCAAAAAACGTGAATTAAAAATGAAGGCAGGGGCTAAAGGAAAGCCAACAGTGCAGTCCCCCGCAGCAGCCAGAAAAGAAGTCATGACAAATCCCACAAAATAAATATACACTTAGTTCATGAGATACAAAGGCAGCAGCAGGCAGCTGACGCGACTTCGCTGCAGCGCCAGCAACCGCAGCGGTTCGGGAAGGAACATAAGAGCAGCAGCAGCAGACACAACGGCTAGCGTAGAGCAACAGCAGCAGCAGCCGCGGCAGACGCAAAGGCGGGCGTAGACCCAGCAGCAGAAACAGCAGCAGTCACAGGCGAAACGGCCGGAGTAGACCCAGCTGCAGCTGCAGCAGCAGCAGCAGCAGCAGCAGCGTACCCACGCCTTGGGAGCGCAGGGCGACGCCGACGACTGAGGCGGAAAGGGCCACACCATCGCCGATGTGGATTTGTTTGGGGGGCAGCGCAGATCTTTTGTTTCTGTACTTGGCCAGCATTGCGCCAGTCATGGCCCTTTGGGACTTCTCCTGAAACGCAGCAGCAAAAGAAACGCGGCCGTAAGTTTAGAGGCCCCGCCACAGCCAATGACCGCGCGGCCCGGCCACCAAGCGCTCGCCAGGAGCAGCAGCAGCAGCAGCAGCAGCGAGGCAAGCTCAAGCAGCGGCCGCAAAGACAGCGGGAACGGCAGACCCGGATAAGGGAAGCCAGCTGCTAAAGCAGCAGCAACAAACCGAACGAAAAGATACAGCAAAGTCAGCACGACGAGGATAAAGCAGTGGACAAACAGCAGCAGCAGCGGTAACAACAACAACGGCAGCAGGAGCAGCAGCAACAACAACAGCAGCAGCAGCAACAACAGCAGCAGCAGCAGCAACAACAGCAGGAGCAGCATCAGGAGGAGCAGCAACAACAGCAGCACCAGCAATAACAGCAGCAGCAACAACAGCAGCAGCAGCAGCAGCAGCGGAGATGAGGGAGGTGGGTCTGGGGTGAGGCTGACTTCTGCGAGGAAGTCGGCGTTTTTGGGGTTGAGGACGAAACGCTTGAGTTTGTGTTTGTACTTGGGAATGCGTTCTGCGAGGCAGCACCAGAGAGGGGTGTTTTCAGTGAGCTGCCAGAAGAGGGGCAGCGGCAGCAGCTGGCGGTCGCTGCGGTCTAAGACCAAATAGTCTATGCCCAGTGCCAAAGGCACTTTCTCTTGTATGCGTTCTTGCTGCTTGTGGCCTGGGGCCCTGCCCGCGTGGGTGCTGCGGCGGTCTCGCCTTTCGCGGCTTCTTCCGTGGTTTCTTCGGGGTTCTTTGTGGGGCCTCAGGAGGCCCTCGGTTTCGCGAGGCGACTTCAGGGGGGCCCCCGGGGGCCCCCCCTCTTGCGGGGCTGCTGCAGCGCCTGGGGCCCCCTTGTCTTCCCTCAAGTCCTGAGAGGCTTCGCTGAAAGAGTGTGGGTCTGTGGGGTGCTCCCCCTCCCTCGGGGTGGCCCCGCCAGCTGCTGCTGCTGCGGGCTCCTGCTCTGCAGCAAGCGGCAGCTCCTGCAGCCGCAGCAAACTCCCGGAGTCTTGTTCTTCGGGCTGCGTCGAGCCGCTGACTCTGCGGCTGGGCCGGCGCAGCATTTGCTGCAGCTGCTGGTGGTGCTGCTCCATGAGGCCTTCGACAGCGAACTTGACGCGGCCCTGGGCCTGGGAGGAGGTGGCGCTGGGGAATGGCGCTGCTGCTGAGGCGACGGAGGCGCCAGCAGCACCTGCTGCAGCGCTGCCGGCTGCTGCTGCTGTTGCTGCCTCGCTGTCCGAAGAGGGGCAGTCCGCCACCATAGAAAACTTGCGCCCAATGTCCGTGCTGGTGGGGTCTTCAACAATGTAGTGCTCCATGGCGGGGAGCTTGAGGACTGGGGGGAAGGTCCGGAGCTGCTGCTGCTGCTGGTGAAGGTCCTGAGTCTGTCTTTTTTTGCTTTTGCGGTCTTGGTGCTTCAGGGCCTCCAGCACCCGCACAAACGGGGGCATGGAGGCCGTGGGGGGCTTCGAAGGCTGCACTGCGAACTTCTTGCGAAATGCGGCGAAGACAGAAGTCCTTTCGTCTGTGGGGCCCGGCACTGTGGGCAGCACGGCCAGCGAGAGCTCTGTGTCGTTTCGCACAGAGACGCAAGAAGAAAGAAACAAGTCGTGGCGGGGGCTGCCGCCGCTGGGGGCAAACGCTGAAGTCCTCCACAGCAAATAAACTGAAGACCGCGGCCGCGGCAGCGCGGAGGGGATGAACCAGCCGCGCCGCCGCAGCTTCTTGAGGCTGCCGCTGGCTGCGGCGCTCGAGCCCCTCTGGGGGCCCCTCGGGGGGCCCCCCATGCCCGAGGCCTCGCTCGCGTAGTGGCTGCTGCTCCCAACCCCTGCTGCCCGGGGCCCCCGCCCAAAGGGGGCCCTCTTCCGGAGAACGTCTGAGGCCTCGTCTCCACCCTCTGCACCCGTCTCGTGCTGCATGTGAATTGTGGGGGGCAGCGGCTGCTCAGGAACTGAAAGGCGAACCACTTCGCGGGTCTCAGTGGTGAAGCAAAAGATCTTCGAAGGCAAGTCGTAAACGTAATTCAGCAGCCGCAGCCGCACCAAAAACGGCAACACTCTCCCGTTTTCGTCCAGAGGCAAAGAGAAACTGCCCTGGTCCTTCACCACGCTCCAGCTGCCGCTCAGCACGTCCGCCCCGTCTTCTACGTGCAGGTCTGCAGAGGTAGCAGCAAGCAGCAGCAGCACGCAGCAGTAAGCAGCAGCAGCAAGCAGCAGCAAGCAGCAGTTCGGCACACGCAGGAAAGAACCATCATTGAAACTCCCCCGCACTAGAAGCTTCTGCTGCCGTCGCAGAACTCCCCAAGGCCACAACCCACACGCATAGCTCAGGCAGCAAAGAGGCAGCAAAGAAGCAGCAAACAGGCGGCAAAGAGGCAGAAAAGAGGCAGTAAAGAAGCAGCAAAGAGGCAGCAAAGTCGAACCTGTCATGATGGCTATCGGCTGGCCAAGCAAGTTGTAAAGCAGGGGATTGTTGCTGTTTTGGTCCTTGCCCATGGGACCTGCTGCGGGGTTGCCTGCATCTGAAGCAGAAGCTGCAGTAGAAGAAATGTGAGACTGTTGCTGCTGCTGCTGCTGCTGGGGATGGCTCAGCTGCGCAGGCCTTCCGCCGTCCTTTTCCCCCGCCTCCTCGGGAGCGGCTGCTGGCGTGTGTTGCGAATGCTGCTGCTGCTGCTGCTGCTGCTGCTGCTGCTGCGCCTCTTTGAGCTGGTCCCCTGCGAACTCTGCACAGGGGGACATGCGGACTGAGGACCGCTGCAGCAAATGGTCTCCCAGAAGCTCCAGAGATAATGCATCCTCAAGAGGCACAAACAAGTCGAAGCCGCTGCTGCCCACAACTGTCCCGTCTGGCCGCAGCACTGCGTAGTAGCCGGGCACCTCCGCTGCTGCTGTTGCTGCCTCCAGTGCGCGCGACAGCTCGCTGCCCTCAGAGCCGCAGAGGCCCTGGTACTGCAACTGTTGCTGCTGCTGCTGCTGCTGCTGCTGCAGCGCCCCCCGCGGCTCCGAGGCCCCCCGCTCTGTGGGCGCAGCAGCTCCTACGCGGGCGCTGCGGGTCTCGACGGACTCGGGCCTCCGAAGTGTTCCCCCGTGCTGCGTGGGGGCGTTGGGCTCGCGGGCAAGGGGGCCCCCCCCTTGGGGAGGGGCCCCCGAGGGCCCCCCGGGAGAGTGCTTGGGCCCGAGCCTGCGGCTGTTGAGGTGCAGCAAAGTGCGCTGCCTAACCACAACCCCTATGAGCGCGTAGCCGTAGACCAGCAGGGCATCCAGGAGGGCCACGTTGAAGTTTAAGTTGAGCCAAGTGGCCCTGACATCCAGCAAAGTGGCCTCGGAAAGAGAGGCCTTCCGCCCCACAGCCTCCACCCGCCAGGGCTCCAGCGTGGAGTCCGTGGTGCCCTCGAGACGGTTCAAATGTTCTGCAGAGACGGTAAATGTCATGTCCACACTAGCCCAGGGCTCGGAGGCCAGCATTAGCCTCCGCAGGCGCTCCCCAGTTGCGGCCTCGGCCCCGAGGCCCCCCGGGGCCTTGGGGCCCCCGGGGGCCCCCCCTGCTGCTGCCTGGCTGGGGCCCCCAGACCCGCTGGGGCCCTGGTACTGCGATACTAGCCACCGCCGGAAGGACTTGGGCACTTTGAAACGGGCTCCCTTGCCCCTGCCGTGGGACATCATGCTGCACTGGCGGTGGGCGTGTCGGGTCTTGTGGGCCCTGTGCTTCGCCTGCTGCTGCTGCTGCTGCTGCTGCTGCTGCGGGTTGGCAGCAGCAGACACGAGCGTGGCGAGGCCCGGGTCGGAGGCGAAGCCGGCAGACATGGTGAAGCCCGCCTCGCCGGGCAGCTGCTGCCCGTGCTGCTGCTGGCCGCTGTGCAGATTCGCAGGCCGGTGCTGCTGCCGCTCCTGCTGCTCCTCGAAGTCCCGCCAAAGCCGCCACGAAATGTCGCCAGTGGACCACGCAGAGGCGAGGTCGCTGCCGGTGACTTCTCTTCGGGCTTCGGTGAAGGGCAGGGCCTGCAGAGTCTCACTAGTTTGCAGCCTTTCGAGGCTGCTGCCGCCTCTGTCTTTGCTTCTGCTCTTTTCTTTTTCTTTTTCTTTTTCTCCTTGCCGCCTCCGGGAGTTCCCCGTCAGAGAGGCCGAGGCCATGCTCCGCAGTCCGCGGGACAGCGAGCGCGGCCCAAGGTTTTCCTGCTGCAGCTCCTGCTGCAGCTGCTGCTGCAGCTGCTGCCTCCGTTCCTTCCGCCGTTCCTGGCGGCTCGACGCCAGCGAAAGCAGTGAGTCCTTTGGCAGCAGGGGCCCCCCCGAGGGGCCCCTCAGCGGCGTGGGGGCCCCCGTGGGGCCCCCCGCCGGGGCCCCCGTGTGGCCCTCCCCATCGGAGTCCTGGCTGAAGAAGGAGCGCGTGGTGTTCAGGTAGGGTCTCGCCCCCCCTGCCGTCTCTCCCCGCTGCGGCTGCTGCTGCTGCTGCTGCTGCTGCTGCTGCTGCTGGGTGGAGCCGCTTCTGCTGTCCTTTCGCTTGATGGGGGCCTGCACGTGCATGTATCTGCGCCGCAGCCTCTGGTGGCGGGCGCAGAGCTCCTCGTGCTGCAGCACCGCGCAGCAGGCTTTGACGAGGGGGTCTGCGCATGCAGCAAGAGTTGTGGTCCCGGGATCGAGTGGGATCGTCTCTGTGCAGCGGGGCCTCGAGGCCCCCCGCAGCTCCAGGTCTTCTACAGTCAGTGCGAAGCAGCACTTGCGGCTCACGCTGAAAGTGTCCCACAAGGAGACTCGAAACAATTCCCCAGATACTTCGAAGGCCACCGCAGTGGTGTGCAGCAAGCCCTCGAGGGCCTCTGCTGCTGTGGGCACTGGGACTCTTTCGAGGTCTTCCTCCGGGGGGGCCCCCCAGTGGAGTCCCAGGGGCCCCTCGCCGGCGAGATCTGCTGGGTAGGGCGGCGGGGAGGGCATGTCCCTGCTGGAGGCTCGGCGCTGCTGTTGCTGCTGCTGCCGCTGCTGCTGCTGCAGCTGCTCGTGCTGCTGCTCCGCCATGAAGCTCTCGAGGACCGGGTTGAGCCCCCGCAGGGGCCCCCGGGGGCCCTGCGGGTCTTCCTCTGCCCCCGAGTACCCCAGATGGCCATAGCCCTCGGGCGCAGTAGCAGCAGAGAGGGGCCCCCCTGAAGCAGCGTGCCGCTGCTGCCCCGCTGCAGCGGGGAAGGACTTGGCAGCACTTGTGAGGGTGTCGGACATGTCTGCTGCTGCTGCGCGGAGCTCCTCCGGAGAAGAGGGGGCCGCGGGGAAGAGGCTGGCAGCAGCAGCAGCAAGGGCCCCCGAAATGGACAGCAGCTGGTAAGCCAAAACCACCGAAAGAGTGTCAAGAGTAAGCAACACGGGCTCAGCTGTGAAGCTGAGACAAAGGCCCTCAGGCTCGGGGGCCCTCAGAATGCCGTAGCGGCGGCGAATGGCAGCAGCAGCTTCGGGACTTATGCCACAAATGCGCTCGCTGAGAGCTGCAGCAGAAGGCAAACAAACTGTGGCCAGCAGCTGCAGCCGCGTGGGGGCCAGCAGCGGGCTGTGCAGCCGCAGCGGCTCCCAGGCCACTGCGCACGGCAGCAGCGGCGACAGCAGCTCCGGCTGCGTAGTAACAGCACACAAGTTGGAGACTGAAAAGCCCACGCGCAGCAAACAGGGGCAGTAAGGAGACAGCCACTGCAGCAGCCCTTCTCCGCTTCTTTCCATTTGCCGCGCGCACTCCAGCTCCGTTATCATTGCCTCTTCCCGCTCCCGACCGCCCTCCAAATCGCCCTCCTGCTGCTGCTGCTGCTGCTGCTGTTGCTGCTGCTGCTGCTGCTGCTGCTGGCGCTGCAGCGAGAAGCAGGCTACGGAGACTTCGAAGGCCGCAGACACGGCGATCAGCTTGGGCACCCGAGCAGCACAAGCTGCAATTGCTGCTGTCCCCTCGGGAGTGGCTCTCTGGCTTCGAACTACCAGCCTCTTGAGGCCCCTCCAGTAGTCTGCTGCAGTGACCCGCTGCAGGCGCGGGCTGAACCTCTTGCCGCTGCTGCCGAGGGTGCTGCTGTTGTACAGCAGCAGCTGCTGCTGCTGCAGCCCCGTGGTGCTGCGGGCGCCCCCCAGAAGGGCCCTGCGCCCCTTTGCAGTCGCGCTGGAGATCCCAGCAGCAGCGGAGGCGAGGCCGGAGACGATCCCGGGAACGATCCCAGGACCTGCAGCAAAGTTCTCGGGGATGAAGTGGTGCAGCAGCTGCTGCTGCGTCTCGCCCTTGCGGCGGCGCCCCATGAAGCCCGCGCTGGTGCCCGTGTCCGTGGGGGGGCCCCTGCTGTCAGTGGACCCCACATGGTCGAAGCGAAGTCTATTTAAAAGGTGTCTTCCTTTTTTGCTGAGGGCCCCCGCCGGGGCTGCAGCGAGGCCCCCCAGGGGAAGGGCAGCCCCGCCGACAGCAGCGAGGAGTCCGGGGCCCCTGGCGGCGTCGCCGTCTGCGGCGTCGGCCTGCTGCTGCTGCTGCTGCTGCTGCTGCTGCCTCCTGCGCTCGCTGTGGGAGGCGAGGGAGCCCCCCGCAGAGGTCGCGCTGCGGCGGCCTGCAGCAGGGGGCCCCTCGGCCTCCGCCTCAAAAGGCATTCGCACCGGCTCCGTGGGAAACCACACCTCAGCTTGCTGCATGCGCAGCCGCAGCTGCAGCTTGGGGAGGCGGAAGCAGCTGTTGAAGGCCTCGGGGGCCCCCGCGCAGCCCACGGCCCGCACGCTCTCGCCCGCAGCAAACGCACTGCTGGGCAGCGCCCAGCGGCCCGCCTGCTGCAGCAAAGACACAGCAGACCCTGCGAAGGCGCTGCGGCTGCGGCTCTCGCCCTCGCACTCTGTGAAGTCGCAGGGGCCCTCTTCCTCCACAGCGCCGAAGCGGGACTCTTCAATGGCCCGCAGCAGCCGCCCGTTGTCGAACAGGCTCGAGGCCCCCCCGCTCTCCAGCGGCACCCACTGCGGCAGCGCCTCCGGCAGCTCCGCCTGCTGCTGCTGCTGCTGCTGCTGCTGCTGCTGCTCCAGCTGGCTCCCGGAGGCTTCAAAGGTGAACCGCGTCGACGGCAGCACCGGGAACTCCCCCAGGCCCTGGAACGAGGCCGAAGGGGCCCTCGAGCTCCCCGCTGCTGCTGCTGCTGCTGAGGGTGCGGGCGGAGGCGTTGCTGCTGGGGACGACGCTGCTGCTGCTGCTGCTGCTGCGGCTTGGGACGGCGGCTGCAGCTGCAGCGCGGGGTCCGCGCCGGAAGCCGGAGGGGCAGACACGAAGCCCGAGGCCCCGTGAGAGTCCCTGGGATCGTCTCCTCCCGCAAGACTAAACCAGCGGCTGTCCGTAGTGGCAACACTGGGGTTTCTGCTTAGCTGCTGCCTGGAGATGCACCTGCTGCGGGCCAGCAGCAGCCGCTGCACTATGGACTCCAGCTGCTCCTCGGGCCGCAGCTGCGAAGCCGCGCCGCCCCCGCGCTGCTGCTGCTGCTGCTGCTGCAGCCCCTGCGCGGGCTGCTGCAGAGAGCCCCAGGTGGGGGAAGGCGGGGGCTGCAGCTGCTGCGGCGGCTGCTGGAAAGTTGGCAGCTCTTCAGAAAGCTGGCTGGCCACCTGCAGCACTTCGTAAAGAACTTCCCAGACAAGAACGAAACGGGCTTTCGAAAGAGACACAACAGTGTCCACAGTTTCCTCCATGGCGTTGCCCCGAAGGCGCACTTCCAGGTGCGGCCGCGGGGGGCAGCACAGCAGCAGCGGGCACGCGCTGCTGCTGCTGCTGCTGCCGCCGCTGCTTCTGCGGTTGGCCCCGGACGAGCGCCGCGACCCCGCCGCCTCTTCGTGCGACAGCCCGTCGGACATTGCTTCCCTGCTGGCGCTTCTCCCCCGCTGCTGCTGCTGCTGCTGCTGCTGCTGCTTCTCCGGCATCACCGCCCTGGCCTCCGCAACCAACACGGAAGTGCGGGCCCTGTCCAGCCTCTTGGTGGAAAGCTTATTTTCCGCAAACAGCAGCTGGCTGTTGGCCAAGTGCTGCTCCACTGCGCTGCTTTTGCGCTGCGAAGCTGTGGGGCCCGCAGCTCTGAAGGCGGAGGCGCGGCGGCCTCGCTCGGAGCTGCTGCAGTCGGGGGCCCTCAGCTCTGCTGCAGAGGCGGAGCCGAAGTGGGGGGCCCCCCCGAAGGGCCCTGAGCCCGGCTGGGGGGCCTCGGGGGCCCCCGAACCCAGGTACAACGAAGACAGGCACAGCGGGGCTATGTTGGTGTCGTCCCGCAGCTCCACACCCTCCAAAGCCACATGCACGTGGGCCAGCCCCTCAGTAGAAGTCACTGCTTCTATGAAGCACTCGCCCAGCAGCAGAGTGACCAGTGGACTGACCGTTTGGTACGGCCTGTAGGCCTTGCCGGTGCAGGGCTCGGTCAGCGGCAGGCAGGCCGCCAGCCAGCTGCTGCAGCTGCCTGCCAGGAGCGGCCCCAGGGGCCCCGCTGCTGCGGCCAGGGGGGCCCCTTCGGGGGCCCCCTCCCCCGACAGCAGCGACGCTGCGCGCTGCTGCGCCGCCAGGCCCTCTGCAGCAGACACGGCAGTGTGCGCCAGGCTCCCAAAGTAGCCCCCGCCTGCTGCTGCGGCGCCCGGAGCTGCTGCTGCGGGCCCCGCTGCTGCTGCTGCTGCTGCTGACAGGGTGTCGTTCTGCCACCGTCGGCTCCGGTGGGTCCTCTGCAGAGACGCGGACTTGGCCTGGCTGCTGCGGGGGGCCCCCGAGGCCCCGCCCGGGGGCGCAGCAGCGTGGGAGCCGCCCGCTGCTGCTGCTGCTGCTGTGGCGGCCGCAGCTGCGGCTGCTGCAGCAGGGGCGAGGGAGTCAGTGTCTTCGTGGTCGGCGGCGGGCGCTGCTGCTGCGCTGCAGTCGCGGGGGGCCTCCTTGAAACTAATTGTGGGGCCCCTGCGCAGCAGCGACAGCCGCAAGCCAGCCAAGACACAGTGAATTTCCAAAGACATGTCCCCCTGCTGGCTGTTGGCCAGAGTGACTGAAGCAGACACAAGGGCCTCCTGGGCCCTGGCCCTGCTGAGGGCCAGCTGGGTGCCCACGAGGGCAGTGGTGTGGTCCACTCCCGCAGCAGCAATTGAGGAAACAACAGTCTCTTCTTCTGGGCGCGAGGCCTTCCTCTCCACGGCCTCGCCCTCCCGCTGCTGCTGCAGCAGCTGCTGCTGCTGCCGCTGCTGCTGCTCCAGCTCCACGCACTTCGCCTCCATCTGCTGCACTATGCACGCGTCCAGCGCCGCCTGCTGCGCTGCGGCGTCTCTGAAAATTGCGTCAAGTCGGGGAGAATAGGAATAAAAAATCTCCAGAGACTCTGCTGCTATGTTCGCCAACAACTCTATGTCGTGTTGCGAGACAAACACCGCAATGCTCTCTTGAATTATGTCCACCTGCCCAGCAACCCACACAAGCTCCCCAGCACACAGCTCCAGCAGCAGCAGCAGCAGCAGCAGCAGCAGCAGCAGCAGCAGCAAAGCAGCAGTTACAGAAAAAGAAAAGGCAGCTAGTTCTTACGTGGAAAGCCGGAAGGCCCGGCCTGTGTTTGTCGTGGGCCACTTTGAGACACAAAGCGCTGGTGTCTACAGGGCGAACCAAATAAGAGCCACTGGGGGCCCCCCTTCGTTTGTGGGTGAACTCGGTTGTGGGGCCCTCTGCTGCTGCTGCTGTTGCTGCTGCGCCGGCCTCTTGCTGCTTGGTCCCCTTCGGCTGCTGCTGGCTGCTTCCTGCTGCTGCTCCCGGCAACCGTGGGTGCGCCGCAGCAGCAGCAGGCTCCCCGTCTGCTTCCGCGTGGCCTGGCGGGTCGCCGGCTGGCTGCTGCTGCGGCACCCAAGGGTTCCCTCCTGCAGTTGCTGCTGCTGCTGCTGCTGCTGAAAGCTGCAGCAAGCTGCTGAGCCGGCGGGGGAAAGGCACAACGACGCCCCCCAGGAACATCTGCAGACGCAGCAAGTCCTTGCTGCAGGAGGAAGTCCTCGCCACCGTCAGTCCAGCGAGTCTGCGACCCAATTCGCACAGCAGCAGCAGCAGCAGCAGCACAAGATTTAGAGTCAGTGAAGGCAGCAGCAACAGCAGCACTGTGTGCCTCGCAAGGCCTCGAAGCGCAGCTGCAGCAAAAGACCTGCTGAGGAGCTGCAAACTGCTGCTGCTGCTCTTACTCGCAAGAGTATGAGTCAAGGAGAGCAGCAACGTCCATGCTGGGGGGGTAGCTCAGCCTCCTGGGCTGCAGCAAAGACTTGGCCTTGAGGCTGCCCAAGTCCACCTGCAGCCCTTCGCACTCCAAGTGCGAGGCCAGTCGGGGTATAACAAAAGAAACAGTCTTTTGCAGCTCCATGTCCAGCAGCAAATTCGGGTGCTGGATATCTCCTGCAGCCACGGCTGAGCAAAACGCCTCTCCCTGCCGCAGCAGCGCTGCGCGCTGCAGAACCCCCAAGCACGAGCAGCAGCAGCAGCAAACAGCAAAGAATCAGCAACCCCATTCGCAGCAGCTGCAGCTGAGACGGAAACTTATACAGGTGCCGGCAGGGCTGAGACACACAGAGCGGCAGCAGAGCAGCAGCAGAGCAGCCGCAGCAACTGCAGCAGCGCAGCAGCAGCAGCAGCAGCAAGAAGCAGCGCACTTGTATATTGGAAGACAGGAGGAGGTCTTTGGTTCTTGCGGCGTCGAGGAGGTTGAGGCTTTCGCCCAAGACAAGCAGGCAGCGCTGGGGGCTGACCACCACCACAATTCCTGCACAAGAGTGCAGCAGCAAACGCATGTCAGGTGCATGCAAAGTGCGAAATAGCTGCGAGTCCATGCGCAAGTAGACTCCGGGGCTCCAGGCTCTTAAGGAGTCCAGTTTCTTGCGAAAGTCTCGCGCGCCTCCGGTCCGGGAAACTTCCTCCACTGCAGCAGCAGCAGCACTTGCGGTGGCTGCTGCTGCTGCTGCGACTTTCCCAGCAGCTGCGGGCCCCATCGGGGCCCGGCCGCCCTGCGGGACTTCGCCGCCCGCGCCCTCCGCGCCTCCTGCTGCACCTCCTGCTGCAGCCCCCAGCCTCGCTGCTGCAGAGCCCAAGTCCTGCGCATCTGCTGCTGAGTCCTCGGCCCTCCCCAAAACCTTCTGCAGCACATCGAAAAAGGCATTTCCTTTTCGCCTCCGCTTCGTCTTTTGCTGAGAAGGCTCCAGTAGCAGCAGCACGGACACTTCCGGCGGGGTCAAGCTGCTCTCCAAGTCCCGAGCCACCGTCAGCACCGTCGTCGGGTATACCTGCAACAAACAGCAGCAGCAGCAGCAGCAGCAGCAGCAGCAGCAGCACAAGCACAAAACGAGAAAATGGGGAGCTGCAAAGGAGCCTCGAGAAACTTTACAGCACCACTTTTTACAAGAGCCATGAAGGAAGCAAGAAGCAGCAAATCAGAGAAAAGACGAATACTACACTTTTCAAGAACTTCAGAAAAAGAGCCCAGCCAAGACAAATGAGCGGCACAGTCACAGGCAGCAGGGCACACCAAGGAACAGCAAAGAGCAGCAACGTGCATCAAGGTTCAGCAAGGAGCAGCAAGAAGCAGCATGGAGCAGCAAGAAGCAGCAAGCCACAGCAAAACGCAGCAAGCCGCAGCAAGACGCAGCAAAACGCAGCAAGCCGCAGCAAAGGGCAGCGAGGAGCAGCAAGCCGCAGCAAAGAGCAGCAAGCCGCAGCAAAGAGCAGCAAGGAGCAGCAAATAGCAGCAATGTGCAGCAAAGCGCAGCAAAGAGCAGCAAATAACGTTAGGAGGCTGACTTCGACGTCCATGCTGAGGGTCTGGTCTCCAGTGACTCCAATTTGGAGGTGGTAATGAAGACAGGCGCATTCGAGGGCCAGGAGGCGCTGGCCGTAGCGGGGGGGGGGCACAGCAACTCCGCGGCCTTCGCAGACTACGAGGACTTGGAGTTCAGAGAGGGCCAAGTCCAGCGCGAAGTCCACTGAGAAGAAGTGCTCCCGCACTTGCCGCAGACGCGAAGACCCCACGCCGTTCTGCCTGCAACCCGCACAAGCAGCAGCAGCAGCAGCAGCAGCAGCAGCAGCAGAAGCAGCAGCAGCAGCGGCACGCACACAGCAGCGCCACACACTCATCTACGGGTACCGACAACTGGCCAGAAGCCTTTCTAGCGGCCCCACAGATCCCCCCAAAGTTCGGCTATGAAGCCCTTTTGTGCAATTAACTCTCTGCTTCTCGCCCCCCCCATTTGCTGCTGCTGCTGCTGCTGCTGCTGTGCTTCAGCCCACTCAATCAGGCCCTGCACAATGCTGGCGCTGGCTGAAGCCAGCTTCCGGGGGTCTCCCTGAGCAGCAGCAAAGTCCAGACTTTGCTGCTTGTTGAAAAGCCCGCAAGTCAGCCACTGCCACGCCCGCCTCCAGCTGCTTTGTCTTTCTTCCCGCGAAGCCAGCAGCTCTCGCAGGGCCACCAGCCGCTTCAGCGCCTTCGCCCGCAGCACGCTGCGCAAAGTCGCACACAGCAGCAGCAGCAGCAGCAGCAGCAGTGTGGGGCCCCACGCCCTGCGGCTCGCGGCTGCGGTCCAGCTGCAGGGCCGGCTGCCTCTGCTGCTGGGTCGCTGCAGAAAGTGTCTGCCCCTCTAGCGCCCGCTGCCGCTGCTGCTGCTGCTGCTGCGGCTGCTGCTGCTGCTGCTCCTTACCAAATGGTCTGCAGCGAATGTCTTTCTTCAAAAGAGGCGCAGAAGGCGTCGATGGCCTCGAGCGTGTCCAGACCCTCCAGGACGTCCTCGTCGCCTTCCTGCTGCTGTTCGTCGGGGCAGAGCAGCTGCTGGCGGTGCTCGCGCTGCTGCTGCTGCTGCTGCTGCTGCTCCTGCTGCTGCTGCTGCTTGGGCTGGTGCACGGGCACGTCCGTCTCCTTCTTCGAGGCCAACTCCGCGTCGTCTTGAGACACCAGCAGCCGCTCTGCGTCCCGCAGCACAGCCACTGGCTGCGGGCAGCGCAGCAGCTTAACTGGCCAGCAAAGCAAATACCTTTGAGTATCTCCAGGGGAGGCTCTGGCCTTCTCCAAAGTGCCCAAAAGGCCCGCCTGCCAGGCCCCTGAAGGCAGCAGCAGCACAGCAGCACGCGCCCAGGCTTCGCCGCAGGAACCAGCAGCAGCAGCACGGCAGCACGCGGCATGCAGCAACACAACGACATCGCGCTGCAGCAGCAAAGGGCCGGCAAGCTGCAGCAGCACAGGGCCTTCGTGCTGCAGCAGCGCAGAGCCGTCGTGCTGCAGCAGCACAGGGCCAAAGCCTCCGCGCTGCAGCAGCACAGGGCCTCCGCGCTGCAGCAGCACAGGGCCTCCGCGCTGCAGCAGCACAGGGTTTCCGCGCAGCAGCAGCAGCAGCAGCAGCAGCATCTTTGTCGGTGAGGGTCAGCGGACCGTAGAGAATGAAGCAGAACTCGAGCCACTTCCAGAGCTGGAGGGCCTGCATGGCCTCGAAAGTGAGTTTGACTCCCGGAAGAGTTAAAAAGAAAGTGCAAGATGGCAAACTTGCTGCTGCCTTTTCTGCTGCGTTGCGCTCCGCCTCCCGCTGCTGCCCCCAAGGGCTCCAGCACCTCTCCAAAGGGCCGTCCGGCGGCAGCGTCGGCACCAGCGTCAAAAACAACTTCCCCTGGCCCTGCAGCAAAGCCAATATTTATATACATATGTACGTTTATATAACATATGTATTTACATATATGTATATATGTTTAAATAATATATATATTTACACACACACATATATATATATATATGTTTATATAATATATACATATATTTACATATATATATGTATATATATGTTGGAGTTTTATATGCAAGTATACATAAGTAGATGTGTAAGCATCTATAGACACAAGTGTATATATAAGTATTTGTATACGCAAAAATGTGTAAGCACATGCATAAGTATTTACATTTACAAGTATGTGTATATCTCCGCACATAAGTACACATACAAGTATTTACAGATACAAATATTTATGTACAAGCATATCCATATATATATTTATATGCTGTGATAAACATTCAGTAATATAGATGTCAGTTGGGAAATATAATAGGGAGAGAGAAATCCTTTAGAAAGAAGAACTTAACTTTTAAATTTGAGATCTCTTAAGATTTTCTTTTTGTTTTTTTGCAAGGCTGCCCTGCGTACTCTAAAAGTGTCTGGAGACAAAACGTATTCGTGGGGAATATCCCACAGCAGAGAAAGAAACTCCCTGAACTCATTCAGTTTCTCCTTGTCTAGCGGCTGCATGCGGTCGGCCTTCTTTGGCTGCTGCTGCTGCTGCTGCTGCTCTTGCTGTTGCTGCTGCTGTTGCTGCGCACTCAAGGAAGCAGCTGAAGGCTGCCTCCGCGCCGCTGCTGCCGCTGCTGCTGCTGCTGCTGCTCTCTCAGACGGGGAATCTTCTGCATCGTAGAAGTCTTCTTCTGCTGCTGCGTCTGCTGCGTCTGCTTCTGGAATGTTGCTGCTGTTTTCGCTGCTGCTGCTCTCTCCTCGGGCGTGCTGGCCGTAGGGGTCTGCTGAGCTGCTGCGGCCTCTCAAAGCAGCTCTTTCTCCCGCTGCAGCACCCTCTGCTGCTGCTGCTGCTGCTGCTCCCTGCTGCTGCCGCTGAGAGAGTTCTGCTGTGAGCTCGCGGTTAATGGGAGGCAGAAAAGAAGGCCGCCGCAGCTCTTTGAAGGGGGGCCCCCGGGGCCCCTCTCCCGAGCCCTGGGGGGCCCCCTGAAAGCGTCTTTGGGTATCCCCGCTAAGAAATGACTTGGCCTCGCTGATGCGAGCGAAGCTGAGGATCTCGAGTGACTCTTTAGACTCGTGGAGGCAGCTGCTGCCTGCTGCTGCAGCATCCGCTGCAGCAGCAGCAGCAGCAGCAGCACTGGCAGCAGCAGCGTCGGCTGCCGAGTTGCCGCGGTAGTAGCGGCGCAGCAGGGGGACCCAGCTCTCCGTCTGTTCTGGAGGGAGGCATTCTTTTTTGTTTGTCCCGTTGCTGCTTGCAGCGTCTTCCTCGAAGCTGCTGCTGGCGTTGCAGCAGCACCTGTTGGCGGTCCTGACGCGGGTCCTGCTGTTGCTGCTGGTGCTGCTGGTGCTGCTGTTGCTGCTGTTGCTGCTGTTGCTGCTGCCGTTGCTGTTGTCGCTGCTGCTGCTGCTGGGGTTGCTGTCTGCTGCTGCGCGTGGCGGACTCAGTCCAGCCTCAGCCCAAGTGGGGGACTCCGAGTGGCCCTCGCTGCAGCAAAAGGAAGAAACCCCAGGGCACTGCTGCTGCTGGGGCCCCTGGCCCGCGGCGAGGCCCCAGGGGCCCGTAGCAGCAAAAAGACTGAGTGCAGAGTCCCTGCGGTTTCTGGCCGGGGGGCTGAATTCTCCCGCTGCAGTTTCTTCCTGCAGCACCTGCGCAGTGATGGCCTCATAGGCCTCTCTGCAGGCTTCGTTGTAGCTGCGGGGGCCCCCCCCGGGCGTCGTGGGCCTCGGGGGCCCCGCGGGGCCCCCCGGCGCGCCCTGGGGGCCCCCCGGGGCCCCCTGGGGGCCCCTGCGGTGGCGGCGGGGGCCCCCGCGGGGGCCCCGCGCCCTGTCGTTGGCCGCGGGAGAAAAGGCCGGGGAGAGCGAGGCCGGGACCGCGAGAGAGTCGACATAAATGCCAAGTCCTTCGACGGAAACAACTTTGAAGAAAGTGTCCTCCGCGAGGCCCCCGCCAGCCCTGCAAACCCCCCGCTCGGAGAAGTCCACCCCCCGCGGGGCTGCATGCAGCACCGCAGTCTTGAGGCAAAGGCCCAGCGCGAAGGGCCTGCTGCTGAGGCTGCAGCGGTCTTCAATGCGGATGTGGACGTTGGAGAGTCTGGCGGTGAAGCTGGAGAGGAGTTTGAGGAGCAGCTGCCACAAAAGGCCCCTTTCGAGCGAAGAGAAGAGGGCCTTGTACTCGCCAGCAGCAAGTGCTGCTGCCTTTTGCTGCTGGTACTGCAGCAGGAACTCCTCCGCGTCCCAGCGCTCGCTGGCCTCCACCGACAGCAGCAGCAGCACGTCTCCGACTTCGGCTAAAATCGGCGAAGTCCCCAGCGAGTACACCGGCAAGTCCAGCTGCACCAGCCCTATGTAGTTGAACTCTGCTGCTGCTGGCAGCGGCAGCACTTCAAACACTTTTTGCTTCAGCTGCAGATGCCGCAGCAGCACTTTCCCACTCAGCGCCCCCGAGAAGTCCAGCTGGCTCCGGTCCAGGCCCTCCACGTACTCCCCCGCCGCCTCGTTCAGCACCGATATCAGTGCTGCTGCCATTGCTGCTGCTGCTGCTGCTGCTGCTGCTGCTGCTCCTGCTGCTGCTGCTGGGGGGCGTCCTGCTGCTGCTGCTGCGGCTGCTGTTGCTGCTGAGGGGCGTGCTGCTGCTGCTGCTGCTGAGGCTGACGCTGCCTGGCGTCCTGCTGCTGCTGCTGCTGCTGCTGCTGATGCTGCGTGGCGCCCTGCTGCTGCTGCTGCCGCTGCTGCGCGGCTTCCTGCTTCTGCTGCTGCTGCTGCTGGGGCGCCGGCTGCGGTGTGCGGCGCGCTGCTGCTGCTGCCGCACCCAGTGCAGCAGCAGCAGCAGCAGCAAAAGCCCCAAAGGCCTGCGCGGCTACTAGCCGCTGGCTAGCTAGGGCCCCGGTGCAGCGCGCAGCAAACCGGAGGCCCCGAAGGGCCCTCGGAGGGGCTCTGCAGCAAATTGGAAAAGTCCGGAGACAAAATGCTGCAGCAAAGGAGCAGCAAAAGGGACAAAAAGCGACAAAAGGGAAGCAGCAGGGCCCCCAGGTCTCCACAGCGAGAAGCAGCAGCGCAGCAGCGCAGCAGCAGCAACTGGCCACCCGCTGAGGCGCAGCAGCGCGCCCAGAGCCCCACAGCAGCAGCTGCTGCAGCACGGAGCTCTATAAAGCTGGCTGGCCGCCCCTACGCGTCAAATTTGGCTGGGCGGGCCCCAGACAGCAGCAGCAGCAGCAGCAGCAGCAGGCAGCAGTGGGCAGCAGCAGCCGAAGCGGGACTTCTGCTGCTGCTGCGGGCTGCGCCTGCTGCTGGTGCAGCTGCCGCGGAGGCTGCCGCGGCGGCTGCGGCCGGTGCGGCTGCGGCTGCAGCTGCTGCGGCTGGTGCTGCTCGGCTGCAGCTGCTGCTGCTGCTGCTGCAGCTGCTGCTGCTGCTGGCGGCGGTGTGTCGGTGGCTGCAAGCCACGCTAAAGCTGCTGCAGCAGCAGCACAAGGGCCCCCAACGCAGCCCGCAGCCAGCAAGGCTGGGGCCCGCAGGCAGGGGCCTCGAGGCCGTCGAGTGAGCTGCTGCTGCAGCTGGGCGGCGCCGGGCGGCTTCGAGGAGGCCCCCCCGGGTCCAGAAGACTTGTCTGTTTGCAAGAATTGGGAAATTGGAAACAAATTAAAAGAAAAAAACCCAAGAAAATAGCCAAATGGCGAGCTGTGGCTGTGTTGGGGGCGCTGCAGACCTTCGGCGCATTCGAACGAGCCCAGCAGCAGCTGTACGTACACCGCAGACTAAAGGCAGCAGCAAAAGTTCAACGCGCAAAAAACTTAAAGAGCGCCTCATTGACCTGCAGAGGCCTTCTTTTATCTGTAGAATATTGCTGCTGCTGCTGCTGCAGTTGCTGCTGCTGTGCGGCTGCGACCGCTGCTGCTGGCGAGAGCAGCACGGACCGCTGCAGCAGCAATAGCAGCAGCTTGCTGCTTGCCCTATCGAAATTTTGACTGGAGTTTCCCCTTCTAATTTTTGTATTTCTAAGCAGCATAGGCCGCCGAGATGCTGAGTCGCAGCAGCAGCAGCAGCTGCTGGCTGCGTGCCAGCGAGGGGCCCCCTGCTGCAGCGAGCAGAGACAGGGGGGCCCCTGCTGCTGCTGCGGGGGGCCCACGCTCCTGTCTCTCCCCGCAGCAGCACTGCATTTCATTCTGCTGCAGAGTTTGCTGCTGCAGTTCGCAAGAAAGGAAGGCAGCAGCAGCAGCAGCAGCGCCGGTCTCCACTGGTCAGCTGTAGAGACACCCCAGGGACCAGGGGCCCCCCCCGCCTTCTGCTTCTCGGGGGGCCCCCAAACCCCAACAAATGCCACGGGGGGCCCCCGGGGGGCCCCTGTGGGGGCCCCCCGCTGCTGTGCAGGGGCAGCCCTTCTAGCCCGTGCAAAGTACAGACACGGGGGCCCCTAAGGCAGCTCCGGGGCCCCCACTGAGGGCCAGCAGCTCCCACTGCAGCTCTTTAGCAGCAAAAACTGCTTCTGCCCAGTTCTTGGCTTGCTGCTGCTGCTGCTGCTGCTGCTGCTGCTGCTGCTGCCCCGGGGGCCCCTGGGGCCCGGGCCGGGGCAGTGGCAACCGCCAGGCCTTATTACAGGGGGCAAAAGACACTTTGGGGGGCCTTAATAAGGGCAATTTCCGGGTGCAGCAGCAGCTGCAGCAGTTGCAGCAGCAGCAGCTGCAGCTGCTGGTGCTGCAGCTGCTGCAGCTGCAGCTGCTGGTGCTACCGTTCCTCCAGCTGCTGCAGCTGCAGCTGCTGGTGCTACCGCTCCTCCAGCTGCTGCTGCTACTGCTGCTGGTACTGCTGCTGCTGCTCAGGATGCTGTTGCTGCTGCTGCAGCTGCTGGAGCTGCGGCTGCAGTTGCTTTTGCTGCTGGTACTGCTGCTGCTGGTGAGCATGCTGTCGCTGCTGCAGCAGCTGCTGGAGCTGCGGCTGCTGCTGCTGCTGCTGCTACTGCTGCTGCTGTTGCAGCTGCCTCAGTGGCTGCTGGGGCCCTGCCTCCCTTTGGGCTGCACTGTGGCCTGGAGATACACCAGAGGCCCCCTTGGGGTGCTGCAGCTGGCAGCAAAAGAGTGCAGCAAAAGCTGCCAATTAAGTTTACAAAAAGCCAGCAGCAGCAGCCCGCAGCAGCAGCAGCAGCTGCTGCTGCTGCTGCCTGCAGCGGCACGTCGCTGGCTGCAGAGGAGCAGCAGCAGCGCGTGCATGCAAAAGGCCCCAAAACTGCAGCTGGGGGGCCCCACGCGCAGCAGCAGCTGCAGCAGGGGGGGGCCCCACTTGCAGCAGCAGCTGCAGCAGGGGGGCCCCACGCGCAGCAGCAGCTGCAGCAGGGGGGCCCCACGCGCAGCAGCAGCTGCAGCTGGGGGGCCCCATAAAGGCAATTTGAGTTTGGCAATCTGGTAAATTTAGTGTAAAGTTATTTGGGACTCAAAGAACTAGAAATGGAATTCAAAATGCAACAAAAGGGTCTTTTAAAGTCCTGCAAAGTGCTATTAAAAGGATCTTCTCAAGCTGCTCGAGCTGCTGCAGTTGCTGCAGCTGCTGCAGTTGCTGCAGCTGCTGCAGCTCAGCGTATGGGGGCCCCTTTCATTAAAACTCACTTCTTGTTGATGCATGCAGGGGCCCCCGTGACAGACACTTTGTGAGTTTTCCCTTGATAACAGGGCCCCGAAATAAGTCCAAAAGGGCCCCTCGAGGGCCCCCAGAGACCCACAGGAGCACTGGGTCTGGGGCCCTTTGGAGCCCTCGGGGGGCCCCTAGGGGCCCCTGGGGCCGCCTTGGGGCCCCTAGGGCCGCGTGAGGGCCCCTGGGGGCCCCTGGGGCCCCCTAGGGGCCCCGTAGGGGCCCCCAGGGGGCCCCAGGGGGCCCCCGTAGGGGTCTCAGCTCCTGCTTCCAGGGGCCCCTCTGGGCCTCTTCTGGGGGCCCCCCACTAACGCAGCTCCAAGGCCCCAGGGCCCCCTCGCTGGTGGCAGCTGCAGAAGCTTCTGGGGCCCCCACGCCCACGCCGGCGCAGGGGGGCCCCCACAATTCCAGGGAGATAAAGACAGACTTGCTTCACTGCATGCATGCATGCATGCGTGCATGCATGCATGCATGCATGCATGCATGCGTGCATGCATGCGTGCATGCATGCATGCTGTTAGTCTTTCTGCAGTGTCTGGCTCTTTTGGCTGGCCCCAAAGGCCCAGAGCTAAAGCGGCTTTTTCTTTTAGCTAAAATGCCTCCAGTCTCTTTGCATGCGCTCTGCCTTTCTTAAGAAACTCCAAAGCTGCCTCAAAAAGCAATTAACTCAATTAGCCGCGCTGGGCTCCACAGCCACCGGGGGGCCCCCCAGAGACTCAGGGGGGCCCCAGGGGGGCCCCAGGGGGCCCCCAGAGGGGGAGGGGCCCCCAAGGGGGCCCCCGGGGCTCCCAGGGAGCGCTTTGAAGGGGCCCTGAGCTTCAGAAGGAAAGCTAGAAAAGTGTATAACTCAATCTTTAAGTAAGTGAGCCCTAGAGGGGCCTTTTGTGGTGAAACTGAAGCTGCAGAAAGGCTAAGAAGGGGCCCTCTAAGGCCCTGTAGGCACAAGTACCCGTGTTGTGCTGCTGGCCAGCAGCTGCAGCAGCTGCAGCAGCTGCAGCAGCTGCAGCAGCTGCAGCAGCTGCAGCAGCTTGCCCGCCGCAGCTAAACAGCGCCGAGACATGCGTACGGGGCCTCGTGGGCCAGGGGGCCCCCGGGGGTCACCTAGGGGGCCCCCTGGGGGCCCCCCGGGGCCCGTGGGGCCCCCAGGCCACTGACACTGTTAAAGCCTCAGGGGCCCCCAGGAAAGCCGAAGGGCCTCAGGGGCCCCCAAGGCCGCTAAACAGTCTGACAGCCGCAGGGGTGTCTGGGGGCAGCAGGGGCCCCCCAGGGGCCCCGAGGCCCGTAAGACTTGGGAAGCAGCAGGGGCCCCAGGGGCCCCCGCGGCCACTAAAAATATTTATGGGGGCCCCTGGGGGCCCCATAAATACCCCTTAGGCAGCTGGAGTTGTGCTGCAGACAGGAAATAGAGTTGGGCCGACCCGGGGGCCGTCGGTGGCGGCTTGGCGCAGCCCAGTGAGGGTCTGGGGGCCACAGTTTGAGGACTTAGTTATATTTTGCATTTAAAAAACATTTTAAATAAACAAAAAAAGAAAAAAAACTGCTGCTGCTGCCTGGAGGCGCATGCAGCAGCTGCAGCGCGGCGGTAGCGGTGGGGTCGGTGTGTTCGAGTGGCCACTGGTGAGGGCCCTGCTGCTGCTGCTGCACTGCAGCAGCAAACTATAGCGACTTTAGCGGCCACTGCAGCGCAGCAGCAGCAAATGGAGACAGGGGACTCGGGGCGTCTTGCTGTCTCTTTCTTTTTTCGCCTCCGGTGGCTGCCGCCGGTCCCGCTGCAGCAGCTGCAGCAGCTGCAGCAGCTGCCGCAGCTGCAGCAGCTGCAGCAGCCGCAGCAGTTGCGGCAGCTGCAGCAGCTCCCGGCGTTTCCTGGGGTGTACGTACACCCGAAAACGCCCCGGCAGCTCAAGGGCCTCTGAGGCCCAGGCCGTGCGGGCGTTGGCTCCGGCGGCTGCGTCTGCTGCTCCAAACCCTAAACCCTAAACCCTAAACCCTAAACCCTTGACCCTCGCCGCCCTCTGCCCAAGCCGCTGCTCGGCAAGGGCTGCTGCAGCGAGGCTCTAAACTCAGCGCTGTCAGTCGCTCCAGCAGCAGCAGCAGCAGCAGCAGCAGCAGCAGGGGCCCCCGACTTGGGGCGTCTGTACACGTCAGCAGCAGCAGCAGCAGCAGCAGCAGGAAGAGGCCTGCAGCTGCAGCAGCTGCTGCTGGCCCGGCTGGGGGCCCCCCGGGCAACTCGGGGCTCTGCAGCAGCGCATGCATTTTCACATTTCTTTCATTAATTCTCTCTGTCTCCTTTTTCGTCATTTCCGCCAATCGCCCCCGGCAAATGCGGCCAGAGGAGGTGCTGCTGCTGCTGCTGCTGCTGCTGCTGCTGCTGCTGCTGCTGCAATAGCTCCCCTGCTGCAGAGGCCTCTAGCCCTCTCTCTGCATGCATTTTCCTTTCTCTTTTTGTTCTTTTCCCCTTCAGACTCTTCTGCCCGGCAGCGGGGGCTGCGAGACTTCCTTTGGAAGTCCCCGGGGGCCCCGGGGGGCCCCCTGCCCCGCATTGCTGTGGTGGTAAGAAAGAGGCCCCTGAGTGCCCTGGAGGAAATGAGGAATGACATAGACCTTGTGAGAGTGAAGGGGGGCCAGACAGTTGTGTTGGAGGAGCCCAGGTGGGTGGGGTTGGTGTTTATTTGCTGCTGCTGCTGCTGCTGCTGCTGCTGCTGCTGCTGCAGCACAGGCCGCAGCGCGGAAGGCGCCGCCCGGTCTTTTGTGCTGCGGCTGCTCTTCTCTGTCTTTCGGATTCATAAAATAAATTGAAAGCTTAGAAATGCTAAAACCCTAAACCCTAAACCCTAAACCCTAATTCCAGTTGATATTTTGGATTTGGGCTTCTTATGGAGCCACAAGAAAGGCACAGACATTTGGGCTCTCAGCAGCAAATGCAGATCTGCGCAGCAGCTGCTGCAGCAGCTGCTGCAGCAGAACTTTTGCTTAGTTTAACTTCTGCAGCAGCATAAAACCAAAGAAAAGCAGCAGCCGATATGCTACAGCCGCCCATGAGCTGCTGCTGCAGCATGAGCTGCAGCAGCAACTGCAGCACCTGCAGCAGCACCTGCAGCAGCACCTGCAGCAGCACCTGCAGCAGCACCTGCAGCAGCACCAGCACGAGCACCAGCAGCACCAGCACCTGCAGCAGCACCAGCACGACCAGCAGCAGCAGCAGCACCAGCACCAGCACCTGCAGCAGCACCAGCACGACCAGCAGCAGCAGCAGCAGCACCAGCACCACCACCAGCAGCAGCAGCACCAGCACCTGCAGCAGCACCAGCACGAGCACCAGCAGCACCAGCACCAGCACCTGCAGCAGCACCAGCACGACCAGCAGCAGCAGCAGCAGCAGCAGCAGCACGAACACCAGCACCAGCACGACCAGCAGCAGCAGCAGCAGCAGCAGCAGCAGCAGCAGCAGCAGCAGCAGCAGCGGGTGTGTCTGCAGGGAAAAGGTGGACTTGACTCCTTACGTGCTGCGGCACGAGTTTCGGGTGGACCGGGCGTTTGACGAGTTTGCTTCGAACTCTGAGGTGTACAGACAGGTGGTGGGGCCCCTCGTGGTTTGCTGCTGCAGCGCAGCAGCAAATTGTTCTTTCTTTGCTTACGGCCAAACTGGCAGCGGCAAGACCTACACCATGCTGGGGCCCCAGGCCGCCAGCAGCAGCAGCCAGCCCCCCGAGCAGCGTCCGCCAAACCCTAAACCCTAAACCCTAAACCGCCCAAACCCTAAACCCTAAACCCTAGACCCTAGTTCGCCCAAACCCTAAACCCTAAACCCTAGACAGTGGAGCGGGCTACGCGAGGCCCAGCACGGGGGCTGCTCTCTTCTTTTCCTGCCGGGACCGCCAAGGAAGCCGCGGATCTTCGGGGGTTCAGGGTTTAGGGTTTAGGGTTTAGGGTTTAGGGTTTAGGGTTTGGGGCGGGTTTGCTTCAGAGGGCATTTTTGCGCTGGCCGCGCGGGATTCTTTTCTTATTTGAGCGAAGAGGAAAACAAAAGAACAGTTCATGTTTCTTTCTTTGAAATCTACAACGGCAGACTCTTCGACCTTCTCCAAGACAGGTCTGCTGCTGCTGCTGCTGCTGCTGCTGCTGCTGCTGCTGATGATGCTGCTGGGTGCATTGCAGGGGGTCTTTGCCTTTGCTGCTGAGTGCGCAGGCGCGAACTCTGTGAACGACGAGTCCTCGCGGTCGCACGCAGTGCTGCAAATTCACCTGCGGAACAAACAAGGAAAAGTGGCAGGTGGGGCCCTGCGCAGAGCAGCAGCAGCAGCAGCAGCAGCAGCAGCAGCAGCAGTCGCAGCAGGAGTTGGTTGTGTAAGCCGTCGCAGCTAGCTAGGCAGGGCCCCCGGGCGGGTGCGTGTGCGTTGCGTGTCCCGCCTCTGAGCCGGCGTTGCGCTGCACGCCCCTTGGGCTTCGCTGCTGCTGCTGCTGCTGCTGCTGCTGCTGCTGCTGCTGCAGGGCGGCTGGTGTTCATCGACCTGGCGGGGAGCGAGCGGGGCGCGGACACGCTGCAGCAGCCGCGGCAGACGCAGCAAGACGGGGCGGGGATCAACCGCTCTTTGCTGGCGCTGAAGGAATGCATTCGAGCCATGGACAAGGAGCAGCTGCACATTCCTTTTCGGGACTCGGAGTTGACCAAAGTGCTGCGCGAAGTCTTCCTCGGCCGCAGCAGCAGAAGCATCATGATAGCCACCATCTCCCCCGCGTCTTCGTGCTGCGAGCAGACGCTCAACACGCTGCGCTACGCCTCCAGGGTGAAGAACTTCCGGCAGCAGCAGCAGCTGCTGCCGGCCGCCGACCCGCTGCTGCTGCAGCAGCAGCAGCAGCAGCAGCAGCAGCAGCAGCAGCACGACAACGCGCACTCCCCCCCAAGCCCGCTCGCAGCTTCACTCACAGACGAAGCTTCCGCCGAATTCAGAAGCTGCGGGGGCCTCAGCTCTTCAGAAACTTCTCCCCGGCTGCCCCCCCCCACCCCCCTGGGGCCCTATGGGGGCCCCCGGAGGGGCCCCCGCTCCTCCACTTTGGGTTCTCCTTTGCTGGCCTCTTCCGTCTTCTTCCCCGCAGCTCCCGGCAGCAGCAGCAGCAGCAGCAGCAGCAGCAGCAGCAGGCCCATCCGCAGCGCCGGGGTCACCCGCAAGACCGTCTTCGGCAGCGCCTTCGTTGGCCGCGGCCGAACAGCAGCAGCAGCAGCAGCAGCAGCAGCAGCAGACTCCGGGGGAACCGCACTGGGCCCCGGCAGCCCTCGGCGCCTGCAAGACTCCTCAGCGACGGTAGGGACGCGCGTTTGCTGCTGCTGCTCCCCGCCTTCCTACCGCTGCTGCTGCTGCTGCTGCTGCTGCTGCTGCTGGGCATGCGTGCGACAGCAGCAGCAGCAGCAGCAGCAGCAGCAGCAGCAAAATGTGGGTGCTGCGCGCAGGGCGAAGCCAGGGGCGGGCTGCCCCCCCCCTCCCCGCTGGGGTCTTTTCGCCAAAACTTTCAAGGGCCTCGAACTCTGAGAAGAATTGCTCGAGAGTCTTTGATGTCTCCGCGGCAGCAGCAGCAGCAGCAGCAGCAGCGGGGTTCTCGGTCTTCAGCCTGCGGCTCGCCGCTGTCTGCTGCTGCTGCGGACGCTGCAGCGGCTGCGGACGCTGCAGCAGCAGCAGCAGCAGCAGCGGTGAGAGACGAGCTGTCGCCGGCCGCCAGAGAGCAGCAGCAACGCGCCGGAAGCGGCCAGGCCGGCGCTCGCAAGGCAGCAGCAGCAGCAGCAGCAGCAGCAGCAAGAAGGACGCAATTCAAGTATGAGGCTGCTGCAGAGGGAGCCACCAACCGCGTCGCGCTGCGCGGCAAACAGCAGCAGCAGCAGCAGCAGCAGCAGCAGGAACAGCAGCAGAAACAGACGCCCAGCGAGAAGAAACCCAGCGCCAGCTCCGCAGCCACCAACTCTGCCTTGCGGAAGTCTTGGCTGCAGAAGCAGCAGCAGCAGCAGCGCAGCAAACGGGGACTCCTGGGCGATGACGGGGAGACAATTATTTTCATGAAGGAGCCAACAGGAACAGCAGCAGCAGCAGCAGCAGCAAATGCTGCAGCTGCTGCTCCTGCCCCTCAAGACTCGCCGCTGGATTTCCGCAAGATGGCTGTAGATGCAGATGCAGCAGTGAACTGCCCCCAGAGTGAGCGGCTACAGCAGCAGCAGCAGCAACAGCAGCAGCAGCAACAGCAGCAGCAGCAACAGCAGCAACAGCAGCAACAGATGCTGCTGCAAGACGAGCAGACGACTGCAGCAGCAGCAGCACAACTGCCTCCCCTCCTAAACGAGCTGCGAGTCCGGCGAATGAGCGGTTCCCCTTCTTCTCTGTACAGCAACGGCGGCCTCAGCAGCAGCAGCAGCAGCAGCAGCAACAGCAGCAGCAGGCTGCGTTACAAAGCGGGAAGCTGCAGCAGTGTGGAAACGGACCCCACGAAGTGTCTGCTGCAGCAGCTGCTGCCCTCTCCCGAGCAGCAAGCTGCTGCTGACGGCCCCTGCAGCAGCTCTGCTGCTGCAGCAGCAACTCCATTTGATATATCTCGTTTGCTGCGGCAAAACCTGCAGGGCGCAGACCTGAACTCCCTCAGCGCAGCAGAGTTGGAGGGTCTGCAGGCCCAAGTCAGCGGTGAGCAGCAGCAGCAGCTGCTGCTGCTACGTCTCGTGCTGCTGCTGCTGCGTCTTCTGCTGCTGCTGCTCCCGTCTTCTGCTGCTGCTGCTGCGCTTTTGCGGCTATTATTGCTGCTGCTGCTGCTGCTACCTTCGCTTCCTCGCAGTGAACCTGCGAACTCGCCTCGAAACCCGGCCTAAGGTGCTGCTTCCTCTGCTGCTCTTGCTGCTGCTGCTGCTGCTGCTGCTGCTGTTCCTGCTGCTGCTCCTGTGGCAATGCAGGCCGCAGGCAGCACTACATGAAGCGGCTGCTGGAGCTGCTGCGAGGCAGAGCTGCGGAAGGCAGTGGGGCCCAGGGGCACCATGAGAGGCAGCAGGTGAGTGGCACGGCAGCGCCTTCTGCTGCTGCTGCTGCTGCTGCAGCTGCTGCTGCAGCAGCTGCTGCCGCTGCTTACCTAGCCGGTTCCCTAGCAAGCTGACCTGCTGCTGTTGCCTCAGCAGCTGCTGTGCACTCTGCTCGCGTGCCTACTGGGCTCCCCACGTCAGTGGCCTGCCGCCGCCTCCGCTGCTGCTGCTGCTGCTGCTGCTGCTGCTGCTGCTGCAGGACGAGCTGGTGTGCCGGCTGCATGAGGGCAATCCTTGCAGCCCCGAGTTCGCAGAATACGCGAGACAAAAAATGGAGCTTGAGTTCAAGCGGCTGCTGCGCATGCGGTGGGTGGAGGGCCCTTTGGTGCAGCAAACGGGGAGGGGCTGCTGCGGCGCTCACGCTGCTGCTGCTGCTGCTGCTGCTGCTGCTGTGGCTGCTGCAGGCACTGCTGGCTGCAAGCTGAAGAGCTCCGTCTGCTGCTGCGCTATCTCGAAGCTGCTGCGCAGCGAAGGTGGGCTTCTCTTCCTGAGCGCCGTTGGCCGCATGCTTTGCTGCTGCCCCTGCGGGTGCACGCTCATCCCTGCTGCTGCTGCTGCTGCTGCTGCTGTGCTGCAGGGAAGAAGGGCCAGGCGGCGGAGGCCCTGAAGGGGGAGACAGCCACTTGGGCTCTCGCGGGCTACAGATTCGAGAGGGTGCGCCGAGTTCAAGTGTACATACACTTGGAGCTGCTGAGGTAGCAGCAGCTCCCGTTGCAGAGCCAGCAGCAGCAGCAGCTCCCGCTGCTGCTGCTGCTGCTGCAGCAGCCACCGCGTCCAATACGGGCGAGCGCCGGCTGTCAGAATGGCTGGCTCAAGCTGCTGCAGCAGCACGCACACCCCGCTGGCTGTCCAGTATGTCTTCGTGCCCTAGTTTTGCTGCTGCTGCTGCTGCTCTGGGGGCCCCCCCGGCCGCCCCAGTAGAGCTTGAGGAGGCGAGGGGGCCCCCGGGGGCCCCCTGCAAGGGGGAGGGGCCCCCGGGGGCCCCCTCTAAGCTCTCGTCGCCTACGTCGAGCGTGAGGGGCAAGAGGCCCCCCCCTTCAGGTGTAGAGACACCGCAGGGGGCCCCTGTGGGGTGGCTGGGTCTTTCCCCGCTGCACTGTTGGGGCCCCCAGGGGCCCCTGCAGCTGGAGGGGGGGGCCCCCCGGGGGCCCCCCGGAGAGGGCATTGGGGGCCCCCTGTAGTGCGTGGCAAGCAGTTCCGTTTAGTTGCGTCGTTTTGAAATTGCTTCCCCTTTTGTCTCTTTTATGCTGCATGCACTGCATGCACTGCATGCGCTGCATGCACTGCATGCGCTGCATGCGCTGCATGCGCTGCATGCAGCGCATGCGCTGCATGCGCTGGGGTGTACGTACAGTGCAGGGTCACTCTGGCATGCAGGCTGGAGGCCCCAGCCCGGCGGGGAAGCTGCGAGGCGGGGCTTTTCTCAGTCTAGCTTTTGCTGCTGCCGTTTGTAGGGCTGCAGCAGCCTGCAGCGGGACGCTGTCCCGTGCTGCTGCTGCTGCTGCTGCGGGAACAGCAGCAGCAGCAGCAGCAGCAGCAACATGCGCATCATCTTTGCTGTGCGTACCCCTTGCAGACCCTACGCCGCAGCAGCCGCTGCAACGCCCACTGCTGCCAGACCAAGCCTTAGCAAGAACAGCAGCAGCAGCAGCAGCAGCAGCAGCAGCAGCAGCAAATATGGACCAGACCTCCGAGGAGCGGACTCGACCTGCCGGGCTCCACAGCGAGACGCGCCTCAAACAGCAGCAGCAGCAGCAGCAGCAGCAGCAGCAGCAGGGGGAGCAGCGCCTTTCAGGGCTGCAGCTGCACGACTCGGAGTGCTTTATGGACATTGACGCTGCAGCAAGCTGAAGAGCTTTTAGAGCTTCCGTGACCACTGGTCTCTTTCTTTGACACCACTGGTCTCTTTCTTTGATTTAATTCAATTTGCTTCTGTGTCTTTATTTGTCTTTTGAGAAACTTCCGCTGCAGACACATCTCAGGGGGGCCCCCAAAGAGGGTTGCAGCTAGTTAGGGTATCAGGTGTGGGGCCCCTAGCGGGTTCGCCGTGAGCTGGGGGCCCCCTAGTGGCTGCCCTTTTGCTGCGGCAAACTTGTTAAGGGGGCCCCCCGGGGGCCCCCACCCCCCTGGGGGGCCCCCCGGGGCCCCCCCGGGGGCCCCCAGGACCCCGGGGGGCCCCCAGCAGGGCATTCTAGAACTGGCACTGAAAGCTAGCCCCTAAAGCAGCAGCGCAGCTGCAGCAAAAGACGTGCTGCTGTGTCACCGCGCTTAGAAAGTGCAGGCAGACCTGCAGCTGCTGCTGCTGCTGTTTCTGCTGGCCCGAGGGGCCCCCAGGTATTCCCTGAGGGGCACAGGGGGCCCCTTGGGGCCCCCCAGACAACAGGGTCCTGTCCCCGGTTTTGTTGCTGTCTACTGCTTCAATTTTGTCACTATTGACTGAATGTTTATCAAGACTTTTTCCAGATTGCACAACAGGGGGCCCACCCGCAGCAAAAGGCCAAAAAGGGGGCCCCTGCTGCTGTCAGGGGGGCCCCTGCTGCTGTCAGGGGGCCCCTCCTGGGGGCCCCTACAGTTCTCAGGGGTGCCCAACAAAGGGTTCCATAGCTGGAGGGGCCCCCCTGGCAGCTGCAGGGGGCCCCCACAGCTGTCAGGGGGGCCCCACCTAGGGCTTTAGGGCAGCGGGGGCCCCTGCAGCTGTCAAGGGGGCCCCCACTCAGGGCCCCGGGGAAGAGGGGCCCCCTGCTGTCTTGTGCATTTGCGTTTGTTTACTTCTTGCCCCTGCATGCACAGCAGCAGCAGCACACAGCAGCAGCTTGCTGCAGCTTTTGCTGCTGCTCACTAGCTCTGGAGGACCAGTGGACCTCCAGGCCTCGCCAAACAGACCACTGCCCGCCCGCAGTGCTGCTTCTAAAGGGTACAGACAGGTAGGGGGGCCCCCGTAGCTGCTGGGGGGCCCCCCAGGCTGCTTTGGGGGCCCCCCAGGCTGCTTTGGGGGCCCCCCAGGCTGCTTTGGGGGCCCCCCGAGCAGCAAAAATGAATATAAACCCTAAAAAACAACAAAACATGAAAGCTGTTACCTCAAAACTGTTAAAATTGAAGACGGAAGCTGCACCTTCACCGGCACCCCCTCGTGCATCCACACGGGCACCTGCAGCTCCGCTGCAGCAGCAGCACAGAGCGCAGCAGCAGCAGCGCAGCAAGCAGCAGCAGCAGCAGCAGCAAGCAGCAGCAGCAGCAGCAGCAGCAAACGACACAGGAGCTGCAGCACCGCCAAAATCCTCTATCTCTTCTACGCAGCAACTGCACTGAGAGTGACATTTTCTGCGTTTCATTATCCCCGAGGGGCCCCACACTCGGGGGGCCCCTCAAGGGGCCCGTGTCTCAGGGGGCCCCTCGTTTGGGGGCCCCAAGGCCAGCGTCCTCTGGGGCCCCCAGCCAGGCTCCTCTGAGGGCCCCCCGAAGGGCCTCTGGGGGGCCCCTGGGGCCCCCAGGGGGCCCCTGCGAGGGGCCTGGGGATCCCCCCGAAGGGCCTCTGGGGGGCCCCTGGGGCCTTGGGGGCCCCAGAGGGCCCCTGGGGGGGCCTGGGGGGCCCCCCGAAGGGCCTCTGGGGGGCCCCCGGGGCCCCCTTGGGGGCCCCCAGGGGGCCCTCAGGGGGCCCCGGGGAGGGTGAGAGCTTACGGGTAAGGTGCTCGGCGACAGAGGGGCCCCCGAAAAGGCGGAGAGGGATAATAACCTGTAAAGGAACAGAAAAGAGTTTTAAATTGTTTTAAATAGTTTTAAAGAGTTTTTAACAGTTTTAAATAGTTTTAAAGAGTTTTTAATTGTTTTAAGGAGTTTTAAGGTAAAGCAAAAGGAAGCAGCAATAATGGCTCAGAGACAGTGCCTCAGCAGCAGCACACCTCGTCGTAGTTGGGGTCAGACAAAACCACAGCCCCATTTGGAGCGTCTACGTACATCACCTGCAGCAGCGTCTTCTCTGGCTCTATTTCTGCAGCAGCAGCAGCAGCAGCAGCAGCAGCAGCAGCAGCAGCGGGCTGGATAAATGTGTGGGAGCGAAGAGACAGGAGGAGAGGCAGAGACACGAAGCAGCAAGAGCAGCTGGGGAGCAGCAGCAAGCTGCTGCTTAGGGTTTGCAGAGGCCACGCTGGGGCTGCAGCAGCGAGAAACCCTAAACCCTGAAAAAGGGTTTAGGGTTTGGAAAGGGGGAAGCAAAGAGACACAGAAGCAACACGCCGGAGAGCCCCAACAGCAAAGAGACAAAAAGAAGCAGCAGCAAAAAGAGCAGCAGCAGCAGCAAGGCCTGAGGCCCCTACAAGCAGCAGCAGGGGGCTTTTGGGGCCCCCGCCGCAGCGCGCTCAGGGGCAAGCAGCAGCAGCAGCAGCAGCAGCAGCAGCAGCAGCAGCAGCAGCAGCAGCAGAATAAGGGAGCCAATAATTTGCTGCTGCTTTCCAGCAGAGGCGAAGGGAAAAGGAGAAGCAGCAGCACAAAAGAGAAGAAAAATAACCTCAGAGGCAGCCCAGCTGGAGAAGAAGGGAGACTTTAGGGTTTAGGGTTTAGGGTTTAGGGTTTAGGGTTTAGTATTTGGGGTTTAGGCACACTAGCACGGCCCACAGACTGCGGCCTGCCTCAGCCCCAAACCGTAAAACCTAAACCCTAAACCCTAAACCCTCAGCCCTAAAACCTGCGCTCTAAGTGGAAGCGAAAGATAAACAGTTCTAAACCCTAAACCCTAAACCCTAAACCCTAAACCCTAATCTAAGTCCCACTCTCAAGCCTCTTCTGTACTGAGAAAGTCTGGGCGCCGCTCTTGAGGGTCTCCAAGTCCACATAGCTGAGCTGCAGGCCACAAACCCTAAACCCTAAACCCTAAACCCTAAACCCTGAAAGCCCCAAAACAGGAACGACAGCAATGGCCCAAGACCTCAAAGCAAGGGTTTAGGGTTTAGGGTTTAGGGTTTAGGGTTTAGGGTCTACTCACGGAGACTGAAGCCGCCCCGCGGCCAGATTTTATCAAACGGAATTCTGTGACCTCCACCCGCCGTCCTGCGCAGACCCCAAACCCTAAACCCTAAACCCTAAACCCTAAACCCTAAACCCTCGGTCTTAAACCCTAGGCCTTCAGTCCCAAACCCTAAACCCTAAAGGCTCAGTCTCATGAACTAAATCCTCGGTCTCAAACCCTAAACCCTAAACCCTTAGTTCAGACACTGGGCCTTAAAGGCTCAGCGCCAAACCCTAGGCCCTAAAAGCTTTGTCTCAAACCCTTAACCCTAAACCCTCGACCTCAAACCCTAAACCCTAAACCCTAAACCCTCAGCCGCCAGCCTACACTCTAGTCCCCCGCTCTTAAACTCTATGCCCTCCATCCAAGTCTGAAGGCCTCGCCCTAGACCCCAATGCCTAGGGTTTAGGGCCTAGGGTTTAGGGTTTAGGGTTTAGGGTTTAGAGCCCCCAGACTCCACAAGCAAAATAAACCCCACTGGAGAGCTGCTTCCTAACTCTTCTACTGTGCGCCCAGAAAGAAATAAAGCATAATAGAACTCTTCTTATTGCTGCTGCTGCTGCTGCTGCTGCTGCTGTTGCTGCTGCTGCTGCTGCTGCTGCTTCTATTGCTGCTGCTTCCAAGGCCTACCGTCCACAATGAGCATGTTCCCCTGGCGCGCCTCACTGGCCGTTATGCTGGCGAAGCCTCGTGTCCACCTTGCTGCTGCTGCTGCTGCTGCTGCTGCTGCTGCTGCTGCTGGTGCTGCTGCTGCTGTTGCTGCGGGAAAGAACTGACGGGGCAGAAGGCCCCAGCTCGACAGGGAAGCCCGCAGAGCCGGGAAGGAACAGCCCCTGCTGCAGGCTGACAGCAGCATCGCGCCTACAAACCCTAAACCCTAAACCCTAAACCCTAAACCCTAAACCCTCGGCGTTGCAGCCTTAGGAGCACCAGCTAGCGCCAGCCACAGCTAGCCCAATCCGCCCTAGCTAGCTACTGCTGAGCCCCGAAGAACAACTCTCCAGCAAGCCTTCCTTAAGCCGGCCGCAGCAGCAGCAGCAGCAGCAGCAGCAGCAGCAGCAGCAACAGCAGCTGAGAGCAAACGCCGAGGCAGCACACACAACCTGCAGTGCCTCTGCAGCTTTTTTTTTCCTCAATGCAAATATAATTCGCTATGA